ATGAGGGGTATACTGACAAAGAAAGGCCCAGAGGTCCACAAGAAAAAATATTATAACCAATATTTTCATGGATAATGAAGCCTAACAAGGTAACCTAGAGATGAGAACCAAATTGGATGATAGAGAACTGTTTTTGTGCAATTTGAAGCTGATCTAAAACACGGGTCAAAACCAACCGTTAACATGGTGCGTAGTAAAAGCTTACTCAGGAGGAAGGTTAGCCGTGATTGTTGTTTAACAAAGTATGAAGGTTTTTACTGTTATATATCCTGGTACACCTAGCTTACAGATTAATATGTTGGAGCTGGTCGTCATGCAGCGAGGCTGAGGTCTAGACTCTGCCTGTTAGACTGTTTCTAAAGATAGTTGTAGTCAGCATTTCCTACATGACTGTCTCTGGGTGACATCACTGAGACGATGACATTTTAGGCAGTCTATGGTCAAGACTGGACAGTCCGGAACACATCAGCATGTCTACTTGTCGACTTGTAAAGTTTGAGTCAAACCATGATGGACATTTTCTATAGATATGTTTATTCCATGGTACCTGTATGTGTGTGTTTTTGGAGTGAACCAAACTCTCCACACATACACACATACACACTCCCCTCCCACACCCTCCATGTTCCTTCCTGCTTCCTGTTCCGCTGTCCGCTGCGCAGGAAGCCTGGTCCTGCAACAGGAGCTGCAACAAAAACTTGTGAGTCACCAAGCTGTAAACTTTGTGGACATTCATTGCAGAAAAGAATGTGGTTTGTTTTTCCTCTTTTTGATCTCCATCTCTTGCCTCTGACCAAGCTCTGCATTGTTTCTCAAACAAATGGCTCATGGGGTGTTTAACCCCTGTAGTCACAGCTACATTTGTCCACCACGTTTAACCACCTGCTGACTCTTGGCTCTCATATCAGTGAGTAATCCTGGTCCAGCTGAGACGTCTGAAGACTGTATGCACCTGCTTGTTCTGATGTAAGCATGAGTCAATAGATGAGAACACGAGTCAAGACTCCTTTATTATAATGACTCATGAACATTTCGACAATCTGGGTTGCTTTGAAGAGTTTATCCTGCTATTTTAAGAGAACTCTCTCTCTTCTAGTAAGTCATTTTCAAGCAGGTGGACCTCTGGGTTGAGGTGGTGACCCCTATCGAATGTGGGGATGGTGGATGAATTCTGCTCCGATGAGATCATGCCTGGTCAGTCGAGGGAAGTGACTCTTTGACTCGCCTGACCTGACGCCAGATTCAAAGTTCAAAGTTCATGTCATGAGAAACCACACCCCTGCACGGCCTCCCTCCTACTCACAAAATGCTGGACCTTTTCTGGAGGCTGCACTGATCTGAAGTCAGTTCGCAGACCTGAAAGACTCCTGACATGACCGTAACCTTGTGGCCCTCACTTTGTCGGGCAGAGGGGGGTCAAGTTTAGGGTCAAAGTGGTTTCTTTTGATATGTCATCTGCCTCTTGGAGACATTTTTGGGATATTTTGATGCTTTATGTTGATTTAAATTGGTCAATGATCTAATGCCAGACTGTCATGGGCTTTATCTATAACTTTATATGACTCATTAACCCTCCAAATGTGAGAAATAAAAGCACAGCATTTTTAAAACACTCCCAGATGGTAGCAGATAATTTCTATAATCTAACTGAGATAAAACAAAAGGATGGACATTTTTCTCAAGCTCAGACCTGGACACTATGGGCCTGAGTCTCCCAATATTTCCACCAATGTGATGCTGTTGCACAGTAGAACCTGTAAGTCCAAAGGGGTTGTGATGACTGACCTCCAGTTCCAGCGCTGTTGAGAAATTGCTATGAATATGAGGCAATATAGTACGTGGTTGCAGACCAAATGAGATGACAAACTGGTTTCATAAGAGGAAGTCCAAAAATAGAGTTTAGTGTACTGAAAATGCTGACTTCAACTAAATGTAATCTACTGTAAAAGAAATCAGCAAAAAAAGAAGAAAGGAGGCAGTTGCCTCGCCCTTATGACAATGACAAGAACAGTCTGATGATCAAAATCAGATATCTACCCAACTTGAACTCCATATGCAAAACCCTTAGCCTTAATGTAACAAAACATGTCATGAAGAAATTTTATCCTCACACAATTGTTACAAGAGATTAAATGAATTACTGAGGCCGAAATCATTCCTTTTGCAGGATTGTTAAAATTTTAATGTGGGTTCGTGAGTCTTTCTTATCTTTGGAGCTAGCCCTAAGTGGACACCACGGGAACTGCAGTTTTTTTTACTCACCTAGAGTGTATTTATTTTTCTTTAACTGTTTACAACTGAACTCCAACAACTGTGATAAATGGTTTTAATATCGTGGCAACAGTCTTAAACACTGGTTCAAAATAGTTCACCAGGTTTGATATTGTTCTTTTTCTAACTAAAGCACAACAAAACATTGAACAATATTTGTGTTACCATTCCATCAAATTAGACAAATCATCTCAATAACCTGAAAAAAATAAGGATCTACAAAATAATGCTTCACTTCTCTTAACCTTACAATGTCAGTAATATTCCAGACATGTATTTCTACTCTAATATTTGTTGTTTTACTCTTCCTTTAACCAAATATAAAGTTTGTTTTTCTAATATTCATGGCAATACTTCACATCTGCTCTTATAATGAAACAAATGTGTTTCTGCTGTCACTGCTCTTTTTGCAGTGACCATTACAGGCTTAGAGTAAATCCCTTCTTCATCTTCTAGACTGCTGTGCATATGCTGTGCGTGTGTGATTGTGTGTGTGCGTGCGTGTATGTGTGTGTGTGTGTTTTCAGTGCCTGCAGGAATGTCTGCTGTTCAGGCCTTTTATTAGTCTCATCCATACCACCACATTATAGGCTCCTGTAGCCAGGCAACTGCAGGTTCTGGCTGGTTACCATGGCAGGCGCCCATTGAGTGACGTTGCCGGCCCTGTTTGCCTCTCTCCAAATTGGAATGAGGGTCTTTTTTAAAGGTGCACCCCCCACTCCAACACTATCCACACACATACCAACACACACATACTCTCACTTAACCCCTTGCTCACACACACACCCCCGCGCACACCCTGCGCTTCGTCACCCTCTGTGCGGTGACTAGAGGAGTGGAACTAACAATCTGACAAAAACATCTCACTGAAGCAGACCAGGCTGGACCGTCCAGGGAGGGTCTTTGTGTAGAAAAACCCATACAGACCCCACAGAGGGAGTGCCTACTGTACTGAAAGCACTGAGTAATACTTACAAAATCACAGTATTCAAGAGGAGAAGTTTTAAAAACTTTTCGCTACGCTGAGACTCTAATAATCTGTGTTAATGTAATATTTCAGCAGTAAAGTAATGACAACAAAGTTATGTATTTTTCATTAAAAACAATTGTCCTGTTTCTATTTATCTGAAAAAATATCTCACTTAAATTAAGATTGCATATTTTAAAACAGTCTACAAAGCTAGAACACTCCAGCTGATATAAAACAAAACTAAAAACTTGGACAATTTTTTGCCAGTAAATCGCATCTTAAATAAAGGCTCTATCAGGAGATTTTATTTGATTTTGACAGCTTCACTTGTGTACTGAGACCTTCTTTTGACCTACATTATTATTGATAAGACTAATTATTTCTTGAAATCGGATTTCCGAGTCTGTATTCAGGTTATATTTGACATAAAAGATGCTGAGTCTATGTTCAGCACTCACCTGGAAGTGTCTTTGTTTTGAACTCCGCTGGTAAATCTGGCAGTGGGAAGTACGCTGGCATGCAGAGGGAGTTATTTCTTTTCATATACTAATTTTATCCTTATAATTTTTCATGATTATAGAGATCCACTACAACTACAGGCTTTTCTACCTCAACAAGCAAAATGGCAATGAACTGGATTTAATTGTGATCATAATTGACATCATTCATACTTTCAAAGGGGAGCTCATCAAGCCAGAACATTTAGTTTCCGTTTGTAAGCAAGCAAATAGAAACAAATTAGATTTTACAAATTTGTCATTATATTGCAGCTAATAATTTTACATAGCTTCAAATCAATAAACAATATTGATACTCTGCATCTTAAAAGCTGTCTTGAACAAATTACAGCAGTATTAAAATATGATCTTTATTCTAATTATTTGTTTCCACAACAATTACAAGTGTTGGCGAGGCCATGTCCTGGAGAAACCCTTCCTATTTTATCCAAAGGGGTCACTGGAGTCCGTTTAGCATGGAAACTCCTCAAAGAGTCTTTAATTTAACTTTCAGTTGAATAAAAAATAATATTTAGTGATTTTCTTTGTGTTTTGCGGATTTGCTGTGACCAAACTCCCTTGACTGTATGCAGACTTTCTGCATGGCCATATTTTCAACTTTTAAGAGGCCATATGACCAGCTAAGATTCTTAAGTGACCAGCACAAGAATGGATAAGCTTTTGTAATCCAGTCACAGTTTTAAATCAGAAGACTCTTACTCATGAACTGAAATATCTTTTGTTATTGTGTCACAAGTTTAAAAACCCTGCGCTATACATTTATCAAAACACCCCAGTCACTGGCGCGTAGATCACCTCAGTGCCCATGAAGCAGCTGTGGAGAAAACTTATGGCTTCACAGAAATAATGTGTACTCTTTTGCTCTGAGGCCCATCTATCTTAGCACCATCCTGATGGAGGGAGGATGATGCTGTGACGACTAATGAATGGAGTGACTTACGGGAAGACGATTCTAGCAACTTCTCCAATTTGGACGCCTTTCATTGACTGCGGATGGGGAGGGGTGGGGTGGCCTGAAAAGGGTGGGGGTGGTGAGGGTTGTGCAGTATTGTGAGTTGAACAGCAGAGCCCCACTCTAGCTGAATGGGTATTGTCATCTGGATTTCTATGGCCAACCAAAATACTTTCTCCCGCCGTGGGGGTTTATGGATTCATGGTGGGAACGGCGTGCATTACGCACAGCCGTGCAGGACATTCCTCACCATCACGTCCCCGTCAGATGTTTGGTATAAAAAAACACATTTTCTAAAGATTTTAGACAATATACTCAGTTTAATCTTAATAAAACGAAACAATATTGCATCTTCATAAACACAAATAATGAATCATTACATCAACAAACCAACAGAGAAAAACGTTTATTCCGAAAATGTTTTGAAAAGAAAGGATTTCCTGCCGTGACAATGATGAAAAAACGTCGCAGGTGTTTAGTGCAGCCAAGTTCTGGACTGATACTTTTCATGGTGGGAGCTGTTCATTTAGGATTCCTGGGTCTGCATGTCCACGTAGACTGCAAACCTCTCCTCAAAAAGTCTTCGGCATTAACTGGGGAACAATACACAAAGTCCTGTTCGAAATTTATAAGGGCTTTCACATGTCTACACGCTTCTTCCTCTCTCTATTTTATTGCTGTTGGACATTGTTGGAGTCCTCAACATGTCGGCGTAGTTCCATTAAAGGAAATGGTTCTTTGTGGGAGTGCAATCATTCTCAGTTACTGTACAAGTCTGTGCTGACAATACACATCAACGCAAAAAGAACAGAGTGTATATTCGCTGGCAGAGTTCCTCTCGAGAAGATAAACTTTGCAGTTACAACAGTAAACAACTCAAAATGCTAATGATATTTTCGAAGACTTACAAAGGCAGGTACCTAACAAAGATACTCCTCTTTGTCTTCAGCTACCTCTTGTTGTTGATAGTCTTATTTTAATCTCCTGTGGATACAAAAAAGGATGTGTAAATTTGTGGTCCGAGCGCATTGAAGTGGGTGCCAGTGTAAAAATACAGCAGAGGTGCCTCCAATGATTTCAAAGTTCACATCTCTACAAAACAAAAACAGCAGGTGCAAAAAAAAAAGAACGTCCGTCAACAAAAGAGTTTTTCAAAAGCTGCAGATCACTTTTACGCACCGTCTGCTGTTGGCCAAACAGCTAGACATAATTCCTCTTATCATAGTCCCCATTCTGCGTGGCTCTCTTGGTCGGTGCGTACTTTACCGAGTATCCAGAGTTCCCGCTGGAGGGACAGGAGCAGCACAGCAACGCTCCTCCGATCAGCAGCAACGCTGAGGCTGCCCAGCCGATGTAGAGCGCAGCGCCGATCTCCCTCTTTTTGGATGCAGGCACCTGCGGGTTGTAGAAGTCCGATATGATGTTGTTGGCCATCCAGCAGAGCGGCACCAACACGAACAGACCGCTGATGATGTAGATGACCCCTCCGGCGTTCACCACCCGGGCTTTGACGTATTCAGCGCGGATACAGTTGGTACACTGCGCCCCCGCGATGACAACCATGAGCCCCAGCACGCCCATCACAGAGGAGATGATAGTAAGCGCTCTGGCTGCCTGCAGGTCGTGGGTGAGGGCGAGGACGGAGTCGTGCACCTTACACTGCATCTGTCCCGTGCTTTGCACCACACACGACATCCACAAGCCGTCCCAGATCGTTTGAGCCACCACGATGTTTGCTTCAATGAAAGCCGTCACCTTCCACATGGGCAGCCCGCATGAAACCATCACCAGGAGCGAGCCAATTACGCACAGGGAAAGTCCCAGGATCTCCAGTCCAGCCGACACCATTTTCGCTCTTTAGGGTTTTCTCTGGTCCGCCTGTGGCTTTTCAGGGTGCCTCTTATTTCTCCTATAGAGAGCAAGGTGTGTTTCAGCTCTTTGTTGCTTCTTCTCTCCTCGCTGTACAGGAGCGTCGGTCGTTAGTTGCGCATCACTCACCACATTTACTCTGAGATGAAAGAGACAGTAGCTCTGACTCTCTTTGTTGGTGCGGGGATGTGAAAACAACTGGAATCACAGTAGCACCGGACCACGAATATCTGCGGGGTGGGGGTGTAAAGACTCGAAGAGTAACTTTCATCCAATCAGCGTCCACCGCATCCTCAAGGGACCAATGAAAAGGCCGGGAAGTTGTGCGGCTGAATAAAGCGGTCCAGAGCGTATTGTGCGTTTGAACAGTTATTTACAATGAATAGAGGGGGCTGGAAAGGGGGTGGGGGGTACGCAGGGGGTGAGTTAAGGGTATGGAGAAGCTGAAATGCATTGGCTGGATGAATCATGGCTCTTGTTATTGAGTTTCCCAACATGGCAGCTAATCCCCATATGTCTGCAGTTTATGTACAACTGAAAATGTCATTTTGACGTCTACTGGTAAATTGATTTAGATCTTAACGCCTACAAGAACAACAGACAGGACACTATAGTCAATGCCATGTTCATCCGCTTTATTTTAAGAAAAACAAACAGTATTGTTAATTATTAATAAGGATGACTATTTTTAAATATCTTCGATTGGACGATTTCTGATCAAGCACTTAAATCCCAGAAATCTTCGAGATTATCAGAAATTCTGATCGATTTTTGATTAATCTGTAATTACTTCTCCTTTCAGGAATAAGATAGCACTCGTGACGTGATTGTTCGTGTTTTTTCTCATGATTTTTAATACAAATATCCTTTGTAAAATGCAAGTTATTCATATCAACAGTTACATTTCTTCACATGCTCTTGGAATTACATTTTGCATGCAAGAAGAATACAATGTGTGTTTACATTAAAAGACCCTAATTTCAAAGAATAGATTGGTTCACATCCACTCCAGAAGTGTCACCTAACATGTCCCATATGGAACTTTTTAACCCCTTTTGAATTTATAAAGTTGGCATAAATCCCTGAGATAGGGGAGGACGTGTTTTATGTAGCCTAATATATTTTTAAAAGAACATTTTTATTTGTGGCAAAAAATAAAGTAGCCTAACTAATATTTGGTATTTTTTGGGGAAAAAAGCAGTGAAATACCGTAAAGTAAAAATAAAGTAGCCGAACTAATATTTGGTATTTTTTTCTGAGGGAAAAAGCAGTGAAATACAGTAAAGTATGAACATAAACGGAGCTACATGTGTAAATATCCACGAACACTGCTTAATCTCTATTACTGGATACAACGTTTAATTGAGGACACGAGGTGTAGTAATGGTTTATGAAACTCATTAACAGCCATATGATGTATTTTTGAATTAGTAGAATACACACTATTACTGTTTAGACGAAATGATTCGTCTGTGCATGAAAAAAAACTCCATGAACAACAAGCCGACACGCGCAAAACAACTCTTCCAGTTGTCAAAGAGACTGTTACACGCAGGTCGCCATGTTGGCTCTGGTAAGAGATGGAGCTCTAACGTTCGGCCGTCGGGTCTGTAGAGCCATAATGGCGGCAGTTGCGCAGCCAGACTCCCATCGGTAATGAAAAGCTTTCGGGACGAGGGCGGACTCACGGGAACGGTTTCCGGGTTCCCCTTCCTGGGCTGGGACAGCGGCAAGAGGCAGAAAGCTCCTGTTGATTTACATTATCACAAAGTTACTCTCAGGTAAGGCACCCGGTAGTTTTTCGTTTTGTTTTTGTGTTTGTTTTAAAAAGTCTTTAGTGAGACAGAACTGGATAAGAAGGAGACACTTGGATCATTTAGAAGAAGTTGGCAACATGACACCAGTCGCGACAACAACTGTTGCTGGCTAAAGTTTGACATCTTAACGTCAATGAAGTCTCTGTGTTTCAAAAGTCTCAATTGAGTTTATCAAATTGGCTTTTCAGTGAGAAAAAAACAGAAGTTGAAAGAACTGCGATATCAAACGAGGCGACACGTTTTAATGCCATTGTAGCAGTTGATGTTTGGTAAACTCGGTCAGTGTCTCACAGACTGGGTGTGGTGGACATCTAACTGTAACAGACACTCAGGCCTACGCGTTTCAAAATCCCCGGGAAAGTTACCAAAGTATTGTCTTGTCTTTTTATTATTATTTTTATTTAACTAAGTCTTCCTCTTCATACTGTCTAAATAGTGAGAAGAGCCTAATTAGTAGATGCTTAACCTCACAGTGCCTAGCTGTCCTTGTCCAAGCTTCATAAACAGGGAGACTGTCTACACTTAGGTGGTTTCTGAAGTACAAAAATCAGAACCATATGAATCTGAAATCCTTAAATTCAACAAATTACCCATAAATCCCTCCTGTGTAACATTCCTAGACTGTGAATCTACTTTCTAACATCCAACTAAGCCTTGACCAATGATTGTAAAGCACATTTGGACTAAAATAGGTTTTCTTTTCAGACAACTCCACAAAAACATTTTCTCATTATGCCCCAGTCCAAGACATGGCTTTGGGCCACTATTGAGGAATTATCATCCATCTTTGCTTGTGTTTTTGGTTCAGTGAAAACATGCATATTTCCCTTCCTTTCTCACTGAGTGGTGAACACTGTGAGCACGTTGGATGGCAGGCAGTCCAGGCTTTAATCTGGATCTGACAGCTGCCTCTTGATTTTAGAAACAATTCCAAGTTTTACAAAGCTGGACATGGATCAGTTCTCTCGCAGAAGGTCAACAACTCTGAGTATTGAAAGACATCAGGCTTCTGATCCAGCTCCTTCACCGCTCCCTGACCTTTTCCCTCACTGCGACCTTTTCACATAAACTCTTGGAGCACCAGGAGGGCATCTGTCAGAGAGTGGTGCTAACCTTTTTGTACTATGGTGCAGACAGAAAACCCAAACTTGACTGAACCAAGTGAACTTGAACTGTCATGTCAGAGGTTTGAATGATGAGACATCACAACAGGACACTTGGTTCATCCTTAGAAGTACAAGATTTACCATCACAACAGGAAAACACTCACTTGACATTTGATCAGTATCTTCCATGGTGTGATGCAGTCACCTTCCTGCCAAATACTTTAATGTAAGGCCTGAAACTGCACCTATTTTGATAGGGAAATAACCTGACATAATGTTGAATCATATAAATGAATATTATTTCATTTGAAGTGACAAAAATGGGGAAAAAAAGGCTCAGACCTTCAACTTTCTTGCTTTGTGACTGTAGGCTCAAAAACGAAGTTGATATTTTACGATATTAAAGAAAAAAAGAGTACTTATAACTTACATTAAAACTATAAATAGTATTTTCTTTTGTTTTTTTTTGTGGCTTGCTAATTTTTTTTTTAGTTTAAATCTGTACGATTTTTTTTGCTAATTTTAAAGAAATTAATCTAATTTTAAATCAAGTGTTTTGATAGGGAAATAACCTGACATAATTTTGAATAAATGAATATTACTTCATTTGAAGTGACAAAGCTGGGAAAAAAGGCTCAGATCTTTAACTTTCCTGCTTTGTGACTATTGGCTCAAGAATGAAGTTGATATTTAACGATATTAAAGAAAAAAGAGTACTAATAACTTACATTAAAACTGTAAATAGTATTATCTTTTGTTTGGCTTGCTTAATTTTTCATTTTTTCTGTTTAAGTCTCTATGATTTCTTCTTGTCAATTTTAGTGAATTTTTTTGTAATTTGAAATCATGTATTGTGACAATCCTCAAACATTAACCAAAAATACTCCTCCACACTAACACATACAGATCCCTCAAACTATCATGGAGATTAAAGTTGATACCATCTACTCCTTTAAGCCTACAGTCTGTGTTTCACCATCAGTCATTATCGCTTAACTTCATCACACTCAGAGTGAATGACTAAAAGAGACAGTCTTTCGATAATATTCTGTTTTTGTATGACTCCCACTTGTTTTTAGTCACTTCCTGTCCTGTCCCCATCATCATAAATGCTCCATCCTGTGCTTTAAACTTTTGAGTATGTCCCAAACAGACCTGCTGGTTTCCTCGCCGTTTAGAGGCCTTATTATTCCGCCTATTGTGGCTTTTTTCCTCCCTCTGAGCTCATATCATCAAGTGTTTCTGAAACTACAGCTTAAAAACCTCTATTATATCTTTATTACTGTTGCCCACCGCCATTACCTTTGGTCCCCAGGGTCCACTTAATTAAAGTCAACACCCCCCACTCCACCTCCACCTCCACGCCTTTTTTTGTTGTAGAGTCTGTTTATATTTGAGCCAAACGTCACGTTAGTTATGCTCCAAAGCTCTGGAGTCTTTGTTGCTGTGATCAGCTGCCAGTAAATTACCATTTTCGTTGTTATGCGACTGAGTTCAGCAACCTCTACAGTGTAAAATTATTGCTTTAATGTTTTTACTTCGAGAAGAAAGTCTTGGCTCAATGGAGGACAGGTTTGTGGGCCCTCATCACCGCCTGTCAGGAAGGTGAATAGTTCTACCATTTCTGCTGCCCCTTCATGGCATCAGTCCAGACAATAAATCATCTGTAAATACATTACATGCCAACAACTTTGGCTTAACTAAGGTGGCATTTTTCCCTTTTGGCCCTTACTGTTTAATCTCCCCATGTCTGGCCTGTTGATAGCTGTGTGTACGTGTGTGTGTGTGTGTAAGCGGCTCAGCAGCCCAGCCGATTAAATGGCCATTATTAATAGAGTATTATTGAAGTGTGCCTCCTGCCTGTCTGTCCTGTAGTGTTGTCTTTGTGATATTACAACTACAATCTTGGAACGCTTTAATTAATCTGCCACTGGTTCCCACAGTGCCTGACGGGGAATAACACTTGAGTGTGTATGTGTGTGATACACATGGAGATGCTTGTGTGGGCTGCATTGTTAATTAGATTCAAGGTTTATTAACAAAGAAAGCTCATTTGTTAATAGCTTTATTGTGTTTTTAAGTCCAAAAGTAAATATTAAGCTGTGAGTGCTGACTTTTACTTCTGTTGGATGCACTGCAATGATGACAGATACTTATACATCTTCAAGGTGAATGTGTACAACTTAGATTCCCAAGCTTTAACTTCTGATTTAAGTCTGTGAATTTCACTTGGTTAATGTTTCTTCCTCCTTCACTCTCCAAACCTGGCTCTCTTGAACCCCAAATTTAATGTGGCCCAGACATGTGGCAGGTCCCAAATGTGGTCAGGAGTGAGGCACGTGTTCTACGTCCTGCCTCAGCTGAGCTGTGCCGCATAGGAAAAGCTTGAGGAACCACAAGGATAAACAGCCATTGTTCTTTCTGTGGGCCTGGTGAAACCACCCTGTCAGCATGAGAGATCTCTGCCCGCTTTCGGATACAGATACAGAGAGCCCCCCAACCACCATCTATTAGCGTGAAATGGTTGCCCAAGTGTCCACAAATGTGTGCTGGTCCTGTGCCAAAAAGAGAGCGGTCAATTGAGGTTCCCATGCCACCTCTATCATTATATAACAAGAGTGCATCTCTTTTTGGCAGCGCACGGCAGCCTGCCTCTTTCCAATGCTTATCACACTCCACCTGTCAAAGGCCACTGTGTTGGTGATAAAATGGAGCCTGTTCTTCCTGCTCAGTCATTACAAGGCTAATTTATCAGGGGGGCTTGTTGCTCTGTCGTCTGCTTAGGGTCATAGAGTGGGGCAGGAGTACGGGGCGCGTGAGACTTTAACAGTTTAATGGGTATCTGGGAACAAAACCGTCGCTCAGACTTCTTAATGTCCTTCCCTGTGGAAGTGTGAAAGAAGAGTGTCGTCACCCTGACCCTCAACAGGGATGCAATTTTATGTACAGCAGAGCAGCCTGAATATGCACTCTCAAAATGTCAGCTATGAGTTGTGTAGGTGTAGATTCTTTCAGTTTGGTAGAGTTAAAATCTAAAGTGAATGTTTGACAACAGATCTAATCAAAATGTTTGAGGAAGTGGTTTTCTTCTTGCAGAGGACAAGTTCACTCTTAACTGTTTAAACTCTTTTTTCCCACCAGAAAGCCCTTCAGACGTCAGTAAACAAAAGCCATGTCTCAGTCCGGAGAGAAAGGGAAGGTAAGTAGCCGGCAAACACTTCCCTCTATTACAGCTGTGGTGTTGTACAGTTGTTGAGGGGGTATCTCAGTGCATTGCAGTGGTCATTAAGACTCATGGTACTTTTAATCTCAAGCAAACACGCCTACACAGGCATCCAGAGAGGATATCCTGTATAAATGTAAGTGTTTCACTGCAAGGCTTTATTGCCTGTTAAAATTTGTCATCAATCTCACTCTTATAGACTCACGTGCACAATTACATAAACGCTTCATGAGGGGCAGAAATGACTTTGAGAAGTGGATTTAATGGGTGAAAAAAGTCCAAAAAGTGCAGGATATCAGAAAAAGTTGAAAAAAAAATGTAACCCGTGTACATCAACATTTTAACTGCTCTTTTTTGTACTGGATTTGAATATTTGATGCATGTTTTTGTGCTGCACAGTTCCCAGATGCTGCAGGATATGTAGGCTTTGCCAACCTTCCAAACCAAGTGCACAGGAAATCTGTGAAAAAAGGGTTTGAGTTCACCCTAATGGTTGTAGGTGAGTGATCACTTTTTTTTTTTTTTTTTTTTTTTTTTAGGCCTCATGAATTTTTTCAGAGCTTCAACTTTATTTTCTATCCTCTTTGATTTTCAGGGGAGTCTGGTTTGGGCAAATCAACACTGATAAACAGCCTGTTCCTAACTGATCTCTACCCTGAACGCTACATCCCTGGTGCTGCAGGTATACTCTCCAGTGTGCATAACCCCACACACACACATGCAAACATGAACACAAATACGCACACTGTAATAATGGAGAAATGTCTGCAGCAATGTCTCCTGCAGAGCATTATTTAACGAGGAATGTTGGGAATGCCTTAGTCTGAAAATATGACCCTGCCCTTCTTAAGACTTGACTTAGATTAGGACTTGTTCTGGCTTGTTATGTAGGCCCTCCTTGGTCAGATTGTGCAGAAGTGTTTGTAAGAAAATGCTAGAAACCCATATCTCTTTGAAAAAAGGTGTATCTGCCATGTTCAATCACTGAGGTTTGTATTTAGAAAGACATTCTGCCAACTGATGTTTCTCTGACGTGTATACTTAATATTCTTGTACTTCTCCTTCCTCAGAGAAGATTGAGAGGACTGTGCAGATTGAGGCATCAACTGTGGAGATTGAGGAGAGAGGAGTTAAGCTGCGCCTCACTGTGGTTGACACTCCTGGATATGGCGACGCCATCAACAGCCAGGACTGGTGCGTTAATGAGGCGTGGAGGAGTAGGGAGTGATAACAACTTAGGACAGATTTCCTGCCCGGCATGTTCACCCATCCTTCCCTCCTGTCCTCAAATACTCCCTTTTTCAAGCTTCATCTCAAACTCCCTATTTCCTACCTCTCCTCCTGCTGCATTCCCCGTCCTGAGTTTCCTGAAGTGTGTGAGTGTGTGTCCTCATGTAAGTGCAGAGCCTCTCTGTCCTTCTTGCCTTTGATTGTCCTGACTTTGCTTTCTAGATTCTTTGACTGTCCCATAAGGGCTACAAAAACAAACTCAAAAGAAAAACACCACTGCACAACCAGGGGATTTAAATCCTTTTAACTGAATGGAGATCAGTTTAATAGTCAGTTTTACATCATTTAGTGGACTATACAAATGAGGTTCTGAGAATGAAGTCAGAATTCTGAGATCCAAAGGTGGGGTAGGCAGGATCTGAGGAAGTGCCAGTTTTTGGGAGAAATCTTGAATGTAAACACTACCCTGCCCATAAATAGATGCTCCTGCTTGGTTGTGTTGTTTCAATTAAATTCAGATTTAATGCAGATAAACACTTAAGATAATTACAAATGGAGCCCAGTCAATGTCAAAGTAAAAAGCACTGGTGCTACTGTAGATGTCAACAGACGACCAGCAAACACAATGTTTGCAGGACTTCTACAACTAGGATAAAGTGACATACTCCAGGACCCGAGGTAAACGGTTTAGCGGCGCTACAACATGCAGGAGGTCCCGTTTCTCAAGAAACTCTTCTGTTACAGACACTTGGCTTACTTGGTTAAAGTGGTTTACCTGTCCAACAGAAAGGTTACAGAGTCCGTAAGATCCCGAAGCATCCCCCATTTATGTTGACCCGGCTTTTTAGCTCTTGTCCGGGTGGTCTACCTCCTTTTTAAGCACCTGTTATTCCGCCAGTGTCTCCGGTATTTACCTCATTTTCTTGCTTGTGTTGGCAGTCGTGGCCAAAGGAGGATTCAGACAATTTTCTCTACTTTCTGGTTGGTTTCTGTTGTCCAATATTGTAGCACGCTAACTTTGTTTGGGCTCGTGAACGACACAGGGGAGCAGCGTCTGCCTAACAACCAATCAGGTTGGGGGAGGCCGAGAATGGCTTTGTGTACAGTCAGAAAGAGCGGAGCGCTCTGAAATTTTAAAATGTTGACTACACAGACATAACAGAACACAGCGATATTGTGATATTCCCAAATGTCATCAATAACTAATAGCTATTGACTGACATTATAAGCTTCTTTGTACATACACCACAAAAAAAGATGCTTCTTTAACGGGATCCTGCCTACCCCACCTTTAAGTGAAAATTATGAGAAAAAAATTTGAATTCTGAGATAAAGGTCAGAATTATGACTTTTAAAAGTTTGATCTTTTTTTTTGTCAGTGGCCCCAATCTACTTCTATAACACTGTTGAAGTTCCTGCTGCTCAACAAAAACAAACTCAATGTAGACAGTATTCTCTCCACACATTTATTTTCATACTGTGTTTTAAAGCAGAAAGATACTTGGAGCGGCTTTTGGAAAAGTTTATTCAGCAAAGTGTAAGAGGTATCTGAGGTCATAGAGGAACACAGACCTTTTCAACCAAATAAAGCTTATCACAAAAGTTGAAATTCTGAGGTTTTGACAGCAATATTTAATCTCCAGACAGGCGATAAACACACCACTGAGTCATGTGGGAGTTGGAGTTCCTTGGAGCTAAATCTATTTTCACTGTTTACTTTGAAATGGATTTTTTTATGGTGATTATTAGGGAGTCATCTGACTGTTTCTTGCTCTAATTTCAGTTTCAAGACCATCATCCAGTACATCGACAATCAGTTTGAGCGATACCTTCATGACGAGAGCGGGCTGAACAGAAGACACATCGTGGACAACAGGGTGCACTGCTGCTTCTACTTCATATCTCCCTTCGGACACGGGTAACTGAACATGAAACCACTCAACATCTAACAGCTGCTGTCGTGTTTAAATGTATATATGTGTGTTATGTTAAACTCACAGTTTGATCCTACTGAGGCAGAAATTGAATGTTTTTTTTGTCTTAAGTGTTTTCCCATCTATGTTTTACTTCTATGCTCCAAACTGAGCAGTATCACATGACGTCTGTTTGACTCCTTCTTTAATATTTGCATTTAACATTATTTTATTGTATTAACACCCTTGATTTTCCTCTCATGTCTATTTTCCTCTCCAAGGTTGTCTCCCTTTCTATGTCTGCTATGATTTTATACCCTGTTTACACATTTTCCGTCTTTTGCTATGATCTTCATCTTTTTTAGTCTCAAGCCTCTGGATGTGGAGTTCATGAAGGCCATCCACAGCAAAGTAAACATAGTTCCAGTCATTGCCAAGGCCGACACACTGACGCTGAGAGAGAGGGATCGCCTGAAGAGGAGGGTGGGTTCATGACGCCACATGCACACGCATACAGTTCTGATCGATAGATATACTTTATTGATCCCAAACTGGGAAATTCACATGTTACAGCAGCAAAAGATACAAAATAAAATTAAATATAAGAAGAAGTAAGTACAATACAGACTAAAAATACTAAAAATAATAAGTATATCGAATAAATACAGACTAAAAATGCTAAACATCCTAAGAGAAAAAAGTGAGATATGAAGAACGTGGGCTACATGAGTAATAAATATGAATATGAAATGCGAAATATACAGATGGGATGAGATCTGTTAGAGAATGGTTCGACTGTTTGGGCAGACAAATAATGATCATTAATCTTTCAAAACATGCGAATATATGACCCAGTGACCATTCAGCTCTAGTCCGATGTGCAGTCATCTTCCCTATGGATATTTCTCTTGGCTCAAGGCAAAGGCTGGGATGTCTGAGCGCTTGTTGTCAGGATGTTGAGGAATGTCTTGGTGTGTTATGCGTTTCTTGTCTCATCTATAGATGGTGTGGTTTAACCATTAGGAAGTGGCGTGAGCAATAGATTTACCATCTGAAGTCTCATATCTATCCCATTAGTGTGTCTGATATTTGTTTTTACAAGTAAAGATGCACAGGTGGGCACACCTGTAATTGCAGAGTTGTATGGTTTACATTTTGAACTTCTTATTGTTCTGGAGAACAAGGAGAGGCGACAGGAAACAGGAGGAGGCACAAGGATAGGAAAAGAGTGTTGTGTATAATATAGAGGCGGCACATATCATCCATTTTCAAACGGTCCCAGATACTTCCTGTTGGAGGTTGCCCAATTATATGCCTGGCTGCACGCTCTTCGGCTTCCTGCTGTGCAAAGAGGGGAAGACAGGGTTTTAATATCACACACATACAGCTAACCACAACATGCTCAGCTGATAACCTCTCCCTTGCAAGATGAATTACTTTCCCTCTGTATTTGTCCATGACTTTCTCATTCCTGATGTAATAATACTCCACCAGTACGCCTTCAGGTGGCAGCTAGTTTTTCAGTGTTTGGATGTGAGGTTCTACTCATACATAGTGTGGAATCATGTCAACTTTCTTGCACAGACACGTACATCTGAGGGCAAACACAAATGTTTCACACGAAAAAGTTAGAAACTAGAATAATACAAGATATTAAAAATTGTAATGAGAAAAGTTAACCATAAAAAATTAATGTTCACCCCTCAAGCCCTGAACATGCAAAAAAAAAAATTCCCTTTCCACACTCGAAGACATGGTGGTCTGACTTTACGCAAACATTCATCTGGCTTGGAGAAGTCAAAACGTCATCAGATTTGTTTGCTTCACTGTTATTAGAAAGTCCTGAGGGTTGTTTCCACGCACATGTAATTTTGCCCTGAGTGGTATGTTACTTCCAATCATCTGAAATAGATATGGGACAGCCTTTTTCCAAAATATCTGTATGTTTGAAAGCTCTCGTAAGCAAAGGAATGATGTTTTGTTTTTTCACATTTGGGCGTTTTAACACAGCTACTCAGAGTGTTAGGGAAGTGTTCAGCTTCCCCAAAGTGAGAAGTTCCAGCTGCCTCATTACCTCCGCCAAGGAGGTTATGTGTTAGGTAGCGTTGGTTTGTTTGTTTGTTTGTGAGTTTGTTTGTCTGTTAGCAACTTGACGGAGGAAGTTACAGACGGATTGACCTGAAATTTTCACCAGAGGTGCGTCTCAGCCCCAGGAGGATCCCATTACATTTTGGTGGTGATCAGGACAAAATTCTGGATACTGTGATCTAGAACACACAAAAATAGGGTGTCGTTGGAATTTTCAATGCTGAAAGATAACCAATGGGCGGCACAGTGGTATAAATAGACAGCACAGTGGTGTAGTAGTTAGCACTGTCGCCTCACAACCAGAAGGTCCTGGGTCCGAATCCTGGTCAGGGCATTTCTTGTTTTATGAACAGTGAACATACCAGTTTAAACACAAATAAAAGTTAATAAAAGACACGTAACAGTAAAAGTTTTGCTGTGAATCACAATATAAGGGGGGACATGAGCTGCTTGGCGGAGGTCTGCGCTCTTCGAGTGCTTTTCTAGTATTTTAAATGGGATAACTTTGGTCTATGGCGAGTCATTATTGTCTGAAGAAACATGTGTTTGGCATTTTGAATTTTTATCATATATTATAAGACATATGCCAAAAAAAAACCAAACCTAGAAAAAGAGTGACCTTTGATTGAGAGTAGTCATTAGTTGCAGGTTTGGTTCAGAAACAATGGCAGCTTTTTTGCTAATTAATTTTTCCAGCTCAGGACTCTTCTTTGTGTTTTTTTAATTGGAAGTTAGCCCCAGTGTCCCCACCTGCCCTTCATTCAGGTCTCAGAGCTGGTGGTCTGGCAGGGCGTCAGGCTGGTGGAGTCCAGCTCAGCTTTGTTTTCTTTGGTTGAATCTCTTTTGCTGCTCTGGCAGTCAGATTGCCTAAATTTGCTGATGTAGCGCCTCAAAAAGACAGGTACCAAGTATTTTTTCCCGCCTGAGTTGCCTGATATAACAAGATTTCATATTTCCTCTGTTAGGATAACAAAAACTGTGGCTGTGGTCTCCGTGTTTCACTGAGTACGGACATTGTCCCAGCATCTGAGGTGAAACTCCTCTTCTGTGTTGTCCTTAAGAGACCCACCAGTTTAATTGTGCCTTTTACGGTTGTTTTGTATTGTGCCCTTCCTCAAACCTTCTGAATGTTCCTCTGGCACTTAACGTGAACAAAACCATGTTTCCTGCTACCACTGAACCCCGCCCCAAACCACAGAAAACCCCTGAGCTTGTTGGCTGTCTGATCCAGCTGGCAGCATGCAGAAGGTCAGCTGTCTTGATCAGAGTCTTGACATAACTCTTCTTTGACGCTCTTGTTTTACTTTCCATCCAGTTCGCAGTCAAAAACTTTTATGGGGAAAAGTAGGCCAGTGGAGAAATTCCATCCTCACAATCACTTTGATCTGACCTCTTGGCTTCACTGTCACTATCTCTCCAGAAGAGTTTGTTCACATGCTCTGTTGAGTGTTCCTGTAACAGACGTTTCCCACTGCAGGAGCAATTAGCCGGACCAACCCCCACACCAACACACACAAGCCCACAAGCAAACTGACAACAAGCATACTCACAATCATACTAAGAACGAGGAACAAGTTCAATTTTGAAATTCATTCCGAAATATTATTTTTTTGCAGTGTTTAAGCATGAAGAGGTTTTAATTTGGTTTTGGTGTTGTGAGAAACACTTCTGGACAAACCATAACCGTTGGTAAACAGTGTCTTAATTGAGCGGTGTGCTCCACTTGTAAAAGGACATCCTGCGTCTCTTAGGAGGACATGTTATCTCTTGTTTGGCCACAGTTTAGGCAGATAAGACTTTGATCTTCAGTTTGTCAAATACGTTTGCTGCAGTTTTGCATGTAGGCAACTTCAGTACATTTCAAATAAACAGTTTCTCTGACTTTTTTTTTACCCACAGCTGTCGAGATATTTGTACTTTTAATCTATTTGATTATGATCTTGGCTTTTTGCAGATACAGTCTAGTTATAAAGACATGTTTATATCACAGTCTACATTATTACACTGCGCTGACATACAGAAGTTCTTCAATGTAAAAGCCCTGAATTATGTTATCTCAATTGTTGTCCTTTCCATTTTTTCCCCCCCGAGCATTTTTTCTAGTCAGCTTCTGTTGGATTAATGTTTTTTTCTTGCCAGCCAAGTTTGGCAATGAGTCTTTCTTTATATAGCACTTTTTATACAAAACCAAGTAGCGCAAAGTGCTTTACACAGAAAAAGGAATAAAAGAAACAAAGAATACGTAAATCTACCCCAACCGAACCCCTTATTCCCATCCCATGATAAAACACAATAGAAACATGTATTAAATTGCATTAACTTGAAAAGGACTTGATTTTATAGAAATAGGAATGTGCGCACTTTTAAATTTCAAGATAAAATGAAATTTAAGAACTGATAAATAAAATGAAATTTAAGAACAGTAAAAGATACTTAAATAAGAGCACCGAAATAGCTCAATAAAAGATGATCCTGTCATTAAAACTAGAAAGAGATAAATGCTAAAACACCTAAAGTCAATGATATAAAATTTAGTTAAAAGCAAGACTAAAAAGGCACGTTTTGAGGGTCACCAAAAAGGCCTTCAAAGTCTCAGTTTAACCTTAAACATGGGCTGAATCCCATTTCTGGATGTCATTTGTTACATGCCAGTACATTTGAACTACTAGAAAATAGTGCAATGTGTGCAATTCAGCTGTCACAGTCAAGGCTATTCGCCCTGAAAAGGAAGCAGTCATAGCTACAACTGATGCTGCATCAGTCCAGATTCTCTGACTATGGGAATGTGGCAGCATCATTATACTTCCTAGAGGTGCAACGGCCCACTGTTGGGCCATGACTTGGATTATGGATTGATTAAAAAAAATCAATCATAAAATGTTTTGAATCAATACAAGCATCAGAAAGATGTCTGTCTGTGTAAACCTCACATGTGCATCCTCAGAGTGTAATTGTGAGGGTTTGCCTGGGTGCAGGCTTGAGAGTTCGTTAAGCAAAAAGCTGAAGACACAAAATAAATGACAGGACTTTCCTGCATGAGGAGAGGTGATGAAGTCATTATGGGCTCTTTCAAAACCAACATGTGGCGGCACCTGCAACGTCTGCATGACAGTTTCCCAATATATCATGCAGATATTTGTGTAGGAAGAAATGAAATCCACAACTTTGCTGTTTACTGATACACACATTTATTGTGCAGCATTAGTCCCATTCTCTGTTTAACCGTTGGTCAGAGAAGAAGCATCACTCCACTCTCGTAAACACTGCTGTCACGGTGAGAGGGGCATAAGAACGACACATGATGGAAGTCACAAAAGACAAGGAGGTCCCAGGCGGCATGAGTGCAGGAACACTTCACATGACCCTCAGTTTGTACTGCTGGATCGCTGATACACACAGAGAGGGATGACCAGGGGTTTAGTTGTTCACTGATTTGAGTTAAGTGATCTTCCTGTGTTGTTTAGTTTAAGTTTATGTATCATATAAATAATTGTTGTAACATAGTCCTTATGAAATAACCCAATTTGTTAAATGAGGCTTGTAAAGGGAAAGTCCTGTAACTGAGCTGCATGAGGATGCATTAGGATTTGTTGTGCCTTGGATCGCACGGTTAAAATAATGGCTTAGAAAGGAATAGAAAAGTCACATTAATAAATTTTTACATTTTTAGGGCCGTATTCAACCAAAGACATTCTTGGTTGTCCAAAACCCTGAAATTTTCTTACCAAAATCCACCAAGGCTCGACAGGGTGGTAGAGAACATGGATGGTAGAGGAGGACTCACATGAAAGTTGAAACGCTCAAAATAAAAATAAATACTCAGCAATGTGAACGCTCTTCAATCTCTCTGTCTCTATCCGGTCCCAAAATGGTGAAAACAGGGGCGGTGTTCTGAGACAGACTGTTACCTGTGAAACGGGGTTGCTCTGAAAACACCCCTATTAGCACTTGGTACGTTCCTCCTGATGAAATGAACCACAGACTGTAAAATTGACGCAAAAAAAAAATTTGAGTCGACCAATCAGAATTTTAGTCGACTCAGGACGTATTGACCAATAAGCCGACCAGGCGACTAGGACTTTATGCCCCTACTTTTTTTCACCTACGTATGATATTAACATATTCAGCTGTAGTTATATGATTCCTTTCAAAGTGAACTATAGACATACTGGAAACTGAGTTCCTGCTTCACTATTGTATCACCGTGTTCTGGCTTCATGAGAGCATAGAAACATAATCATTGTGTCCGTTTAGCGTCATAGTCCTGGTCATTCGTCTCTCCAAGTGTCTCTCAGGAGAACAAAGATATTTGGCTGGAGTATTTGTTGGTTTGATCAGATTAGCTGAAGTGGCTCTTAGGTATACATGCCTGATTCCTGCCATGCAGCCCTGTACATTGTAGCAGAGCACTAGGCTTTCCTTTGAGGTCAGAGTACCAGCAGCCAAGAACCTGCCAGGAAACTGAGCGCTCCAGAATGATTAATAACCCCCAGAGTACCTCCCACTGAATTTATTAGTTTGTTTTTATGTAGGGCACTTTCTCACTGTTGGAGTTGTTTGTCTGTCATAAATGAGACCTTCTCTTTCTCTCTCTAGGCTCGTTAAGTCTTTTCTTCGTTTACTAGCGGGAAACAGCTTGTACAGAACAATATAAGTTTCCTGAAATGTGTGAAATCTGTTCCACGGACAAGACACAACCTGCTGCCCCGTGCAGCCCGGGCTAACAAACCTCCCAGCGTTCAGCTTTCATCCCCTCAGTTCTGCCCTCCTCTTTGCTCAGTCCTTCCTCTCCTGGCAGCGCCTCACTCAGCTGCCTCTTACTTTCTTCCTCTGAGTCTTTGTGTCCTTTTTTTTTTTAATTTGCTCTAATGCCAATTTCCTTCTGCGGGGTCACTGTGGTCTGAAGCTCATAAGTTACCCTGAGGAGGGTATATTGAGGGACTGATCCTCTCAGTCTGGGACCTTACAGTCATATCCTGTGCAGGGATTTAGCCTCAGAATGCTTTAGTGGTTGTTTTCTGTTTGAACATACAAAGCTGGTTCAGACTGGAATCCTGATGGCACAGAAGAAAGGAAAGATGCCCTCCTTTACCTTTTACTGTGTCTTGGTTTTTGTCTCCTGACTTTAAAGAGCAATTTGTGGTTCAGACAACTCACAGACGGTTAAACCTCAGTCCCGCTTCTGTCTCATTTTTGTTAAATAAAACTTTGGCTTTTAGTTATTAAAAAAAAGCCTGCTATGCTTGTCTTTGTAAGAACAAATAACTTAAAAAACCACCCCGAAGCCTCCAGGGGACTTGATCCAATTTTACAAAATTGTGGTGTCCATGGATGATGAGCTGTAAAATTATTGTCAAAGAGGAAAATTAGTTCATATTGGAAAACATTGTACGCATTAACTGTATATCCAAGTGTGGGAATTTGCCCAAATACAAAATTTATGTGGATCCAACAGTGACTGAGTGGTGTAGACTTTGAGTTTCATCACCAAAAGCTGTTTTATCTTGATGTTTTGTCAGTTTAAGTGCTGGAGGGGTGTTCAGATACGCGAGAAGTCATCTGCTAAACGTCACAATCTTTTGAACGCAAGAATTTTAATTGACATTTCATAACCTCCTTGGTTTGTTTTGAGCAAAGTTCAGTCATCTTGGAAGCATAAATTAAACTTTGATTTGCTAAGATTGCCAAGAAAAAAGAAGAAGAATCCAAGAATTGAGATTTTCTATGATTGATGAAATGTAACCCAAACAGGACATATAGTTAAACACTGAGTGTCTTACACTGCGCTTTCTGAGTGAGGTTATTTTAAGTCAAGTGGGCAACTTCTTTCTTAAAAATACACCAGAGCATGTTTGCCTTCTTCACAGGCCAAGATGAGAGCTGTAATATGGTTGCACTGGATTATTTTGATTATGGTGAAGATTTTTAAAAGCTGACCGGATGCTTTCTTTTCTCAGTCATCATTTTCTTTTCTGTGCAGAGCAGAGGCTGTTCCCGTAAGCCACAGGTCAAAGATTGCCAGTGAACCCAGCTCCTCCTCTGTTCCCGCACAAGCAACAAACAATAGTCCCTCACTCTCCCCGCTGTGCTCCATGTCTTCACCCCACATCTCTTGTCCCTCATCCTCCTCTTTTATTTTTCTCTTGCCTGTCTGTCATTGCTCGCTGTCCCCCATGCAGAACCCTCCCTCCGTCTCTTATGTTTGTCCCCTCAGCTACCATATTTCACCCTTCAGCAAAGGCACACTGTCACAGTTTTCCCCTCATTGTCTGGCTCTCTGTTCTTCCCCTCAGCCGCTCCACGAAGGTCCTGTTGTGTGAGACCCCTCTACAGCCCCGCTGGGAGCCATAAACTGTGCTGAACTGCTTGTATCGTCGTAGTATTGTCGTCAGATATTTTCTGAATGGCTTTAAAAGCGATTGTAACACTTTAAACAGAAGTTTGGTCTTCTGAATTTATAAGTTTAAACTAAGTATTTGGGGGCAGCCATCAGTAGCAAATTGCAAAACTCTTATTTTTTGCGTTTCTTCCTTCATGTATGGGTGGCCCATGAGTCCAGACTGAGCAGTAATGACTTCAGTCTTACCTCATAGCCCCTGTGTGTAAGAAGGTGTGTGTTTTCGTGTAAAAGTATGACCCCCTGGTCGGCTTTTGGCCGGTCCTTTTCCTGCCAGTGTTTCAAACACGCGGATATATTTATTTATCTGCCCTCCGGCGCTCATTGTGCTATGGTATGTTTCACGTCTCTGCAGATTCTAAAACAATAAATATGCATTTTTCCTCATAAAGCACACAGCTCTATTTCACACCGTCATCCGTTCTCAAGAGCCGAAAGTCTAAGCAGACCCTGGTGTGAAAACAGCAGGTTTCCTTGTTGAGGGCCAACCTGAAAGGATGGTTTCCGGACTTTGCAGTGCTGCTAATGAGTCACATTCTGCCCCCCTTTTGATTACCAGACTGAGTCACACAACCTAATGTGTGGCTGAAATCTTAAACTCACTCTGTCACCTTCTTAATCTCACTCAGATACAAGATTACATGAATACCGTGATTGTTCCCTGCCATGCTCTTTGATCAGAGGGAGAAGTGGGTGGTCTTTTGTAAACTAATTCTTACCCCAGACATGAGGAGTGTGCGTGTGCGTGTGTCTGATTTTGTGAATACATTTGTGTATAGTCCAACATAATTCATATGATGCCTGCACGTTACCATAGTGATGGCACCGTCTTTTGTTCTTGGCCAGCACCTCCTGTTCGAACAAATCCAGCTGTTCTGGTCCAGTCTGGCCCAGACTCTGATCAAATATAAGTGGAATGTGTGTCTGCATGCATGCGAGTGTCTTTAATCCCCTCGACAGTATAAGGAATTGTTTTCCCACTACTGTAACATGGAGGAAGCAGTGTTTTGTGGGTACTTTTTGATATCTGAAAAGTCAGAGGGATTTGCTCCGTGGATGGTCTGGTGATCCACTGGCCTCCTGGAGCTTCATGCTTCATACTGGTTACTTTCTTGTCTTTCTGCTGACACCAGATCTTTAAAAGTGAGGCAGTAGTTAGCGGTGTGTGTTATTGTGCGTGTGTGTGTTGTGCAAGAGGCTGGTATGAAGGCTAAATCCCCTACCCCCCCAGGATCAGGTATTGTTGGGGCTCCCTCAGCCCCTCAGACTCCCTGCAGGCAGGAGAGAGCCGGTCAGCTGAAAGGCGTTTCCTGGAAGGAGAAGAGTATTTGTTCTCATGTGTCTTAAGGTTAGCAAATTAAGCTTGGGAACTAATGAACACTGGTAGGAACCTGGCGAGGAATTCGATTTTCTTTTCAAGCTATCAGAGTCAAGTAGTTGGCCTTTTAATCTAGTCATTGCATTCTGTTATAAGTGTCCAAGATATTTATTACAGTGAGATAGTAATTCCCCTCAAGTGTAAATAATTACGCTTGTTCACAGATTTTCCTGGAAGACACGCTGATGCCTCGAGTAAGAGTCAGACTTAAGTTCTTTGGAAGTGAGAAAAGATTTGTTGGCAAAGATACTGAAGCTGCTCTTCTCTGGAATTTATAGACATGATACACTTGAAACTTACAGTTTTTCTACTCCCCAAGACTCATGATTGAGTGCTTAAGATGCTGGTACTCATCACATTTTTGCCTCAAAAAAAAAAAAAATGGTCGAGTGTATATTCTGTGTGATAGAGAACACTTTCTGATTTATCCAAGCTCATATTTTACATTTAGAGTTTTTAGCCCATCAGACCCATCGTTGCTTTGCCCTGACACCCGCTCTTGAAATACAAATATTAATGGAGGAGAATAGAAAAAGGAATGAATAAGAATAAAAAAGAAATTGCAACGGTTAATAAAAAGTGCAGAGTATTAGAAATAAAGCTATTTACAAAGCGCAAATTATTAAAGAAATAAGTTTTGTACAAGCATTGAGAGTAGGAGAAATCAGTTTACAGAGTATTATATACTTTAACACAGTATTGCACAGTTAAGCATAAAAAACAATGTTATTTGTAGTATTGCACTCTTACATTATTGAAGTTTTTACCGGATTACAAACAGATTGCACTGTTGATTGCAATTATATGCAGTGGAGGAGTTTACGACGACTACATGAGGGTAAGTCTAGAGTGTGTGACACTCAGAGGGAGGGGTTTTCAAGTTTGAGGGCCATACGCAAGAATGACTTCCTGTGATGCACCCGTGGATAGTCGTCTTGATGTCAGCGCAGATGTTTCAGCACAAGGGTTTTCACACCCTGCTTTTACTTTGAATTAGTTTACCAGTCATCCTTGAGTCATCTTCCGAGAATTTATCAGAACAGATTTCTTTTACGTAAACATTGAGGAATATCTTTTAGCGTTTAAGTGGAAAGGGTTGCGTTTCTTCTGTTTATTTAGGACTGAATACAGATTTGTGGTAACATAGCAACTTGGTGAAAGTGCAGCTAAAGTGCAGATAAGATAAAGAGGAAAGCTATGCACAGGTTTAAACAGCTGCTGTTTTAAATACTCGATTTTGATTGGGCAAAATTCCACACCAATGGTGATCAGTTCTCAACAGCCAAAGTAAAGTTGGGGACAACCTGATGGTACATGTCAAATCAAGTCACTGAAAGGAGTTCTGTCGCATTTCAGCACTGCCTGTTAACACTGTGGCCAAACTGATAGTGTATTTTCATGGTGGTGTTCAGAGACAGGAAATAATGACAGTTACCTAGCACAGGAAGAGGAGCAAAATCCTGTCCTGCAATCCGTGCACTGCCATCAGAGCCAATTAGGGCTGGGCGATATGGCCTCAAATCAATATCATGATATATTGAGCAGTTCACCTCGATAATCATAAATTGAAGATAAATACTTAACAAGCTGCTCACCTCCTCCCACATTAACTTCGTCTACTTCAGCCGCTGCTCCAGCCGCTACAACTCTTGAACCGTCCTCCATCTCCTCACCTGTCTTTCCCTCTTTGTTACGGACTGGCTTGGGGGGAGTCATGTCCCTGACATAGGACAGCATCTTAAAGGGACATGAGACCAGGGCCTACCTACACACATCCAAAACCAACTTTTATTCATTTATTTTTTTGACACCGAATATATTGACATGGGCAAAATGACGTCACTTACTGTTATAAATTTCAATATCTGTAAATTTTCGGTTTATCGTCCAGCCGTAGCGCCAGTGCTCACCCTGTCAGGCTTCTAATTTGCCTAATCAGCTGTTATCCCTCACACAAATGTGTCACCAGATCAATTTTCCCTTCTGAAAACAGTAAAACATACCAAACTCATTTCATGAAAATTCCCCACGTTTCCATCAGCAGGGATTTCTGGGTAAATTAATTAGATTTTGAAGGTGCAAAGTAAGCTGTTTATATTGCTCACTACTTACAGAAACATAGTATGACAGAGAAATCCCTCTATAACAGATTTAATGGTCACCAGGGTCAGGATTTTCCTTTCATTAACTCTGCAGTTTGGGAAAAAGAGGGCCCCTGTCCCTCAAGGTGTTTTCTCAACAAGGTTTAAAAGCAGCACAAAGCTGATCAGATATGCTCCTTCTACTGGCAGCGATACACCGTTTCATTCCCATGGCTGCTCTGCAGTAGCTGGCAGGCAGCTATGAGGTTACATAAACATTACATAAAGGCGCTGCTGCTCTGGTCCCTCTCTGGTCACCATCCCTGCTCTTCTTAATCAGGGTTGATTAGCCTGGAGATGCAGTTTGATTGTTTTGTATTCTCTGTTTTTCTCTCTCCCTGTGTTGTTGATTTCCTAAGGATGCCCTGCTGCATTTTTCTACTTCCAAGTATTGTTCCTCGTCAGAGTTGTAGGTTGATATGTATAAACACCATGCCATGGGCAGAGGAGGCTCAGCTCTGGTCTGGACATACACCGCAGAAAACCTAATCATGACATGTTTGTCACTTGCGGTGTTCACTGCCATCACTGTGTTGTTTCTTTCTTCTGCTGCCGCTGTTTGTTTTCTTCCTTTGTTTCCTCATCCTTTATTCCCCTCATCCCTCCTTCAGCAGGTGTTTGACTCATTCTTATTTTCCTTGTGGCTTTGCTTGTTTGAATGAACAAATCACACAAATATTATTCCCTCTGCTGGTTAATGTGATGACGGTTGATCCCTGTAATGATCGGTTTGAACCCTGTTTGATGATGATTGGAGGTTTGGGTCAAACATGCTGCGCATTTGAAGAAAAACTGCTTAGCCGTGCCTCTCATGACTTCAGCCAGTGTAATTATATCTATGTATAGACCTGCGGGTTTGCTTATTTTGGGCTGCACTTCACCACTACACTATATTTAATAGTGCTATTCCTGGAACTGGATTACTTTGGGTTGGAAGTAAATAACTTGCGTGATTCACCTGCAGTTCGTCACGATTGTATCCCAGTTTCTAATTGGACAGTTTTAGCCTCCACCCTCACACATGAGGAGATATTTTCACAAACAATTCACAATATGAGCCAGAAACATAGTCGATAAATCTTGGGCTTCCTTTTCTAATTAATACTGAGTCAGAGTCTTGTACAGTATTGTTTGTCTACAGGCCTGACAGCATTGAGTAGACCTACAGGGCCAACCATAACAGCACACTGAAGGGTGGGGAGTTGTTGGAGGGGGCGAGGGGTATTATAGCTGGACAGGATGGTCATAAAATCAAAATGGCTCCCACTGCCAACTTCTCAGTGCCAACATAAATACACAACTGGGAGAAGCAGCAGGAGGAGGAGAGATTGGTGTAACATTAGGGATTAAGGCCCACATTGTGTACTGTAAATCAGCAGTAGACAACAGGGATTTGGAGCAGTCGGTGATTTTGACATGTGATGATCCCTGAGAGGTCTTGATTATAGGTGTCAGGCCGTACTAAGCACACGTTACCGAACAAAATAATTCAAGTAAACAGCTATTTTGCAGCATTTGGCTTAGCAAGGTCTGGAAACAGATGATAGTCGACAACAGACTCGTGTTTTTTGTGATGACCAGATATTGTTTTTGGCTTTTTAATAGTAGTTTCACATTCGTAAGAAACATATTTATCTGCGAATGTTCTGTATTCTAGTTGATACGTTTTTATCTGATTTGATTTTTCCTGTTTTATGAACATTTGTGTCTTTCTTATCTACTTGTGTAATGTTTGTTTCATTTTTTCCTGCCATTGTGTCATTTGTGTTTATTTTCCCACCGAGCGCACAGCTTCCCAAAATTCTTTATGCTCTGCCCCTCTGTCCAGAGTGATGTTTGTTCAGCCACCATGTTCGACCGGTCTGTACATCGTGTGTGTTTGAGTGAATGAGGGAAAAAAGAGGCTCTGGTCCTGTGTCACGCTCTCCTCCGAGTCCTGCAAAGCCTGTTTGTTTTTAGATCTCCCCCACAACAATACCCTACTCACCCCTGCGTACATACACTATCTCGCTCACATTGCGCTCAGAGCTCGCTGAGAAAACAAGCGACAGCCATAACAACGGCTCAAACAGAAGCTGCGCTCTGTAGGAAAACCTGCGCTCACTTCCCAGGCTCCTGGCTGACTGACCACTGTCCTTTTATACACTACAGTACATGAAAGTTCCCCAAAAGTCAGGAAAACAACCTCTGACATTTTTTGGCTCGGTTACATAAGACCACATTGTGACTTTAAGAATACTGTACCGGGAAAACAAAAGTAAACTGCAGCTTTGATGTGTAGAATAATAAATACTGACATCTGTCCCTAAGGTAGCCAAGAAGAAAGCTCCTTTGTCTAACTTGTTTCTTCACCGGTCAGCCCATAAATAAAGCAGGGTGAGAACTTTGTCTCTCAATTCCGTCTGAACTTAAACGCACACACACATGCTCATACTCAGACCATTATTATATTTCACCTGTCTACCCTTTCCTGTCTCAGCCCTCTATTCCTCCACAGGGGGCTTTAATTAAATGTGTTGCTGCAACAACAGGTACTCACTCACACCCTCCCATTAGCTGTAAATGCTTTCTTACTTTCTGAATGCGCCTTAGAGCTGCAGCTGTTCTTTGAAACAAAAAAAATCTTATTTCCAAAGGTGTTGGTTTTATTATATCAGACATTTACAAGAGGAAAAAACAGCAACAAGTACCATACAAACCAAGCACATCTTGATAGTGAATTAGATGCGTCACTTTTCTTAGATAAAGTAGATTTTTGGATCATAGTTTCAGTCTTTTTTCGAGCTCAGGTAACAGAAAGCCATGCAGACCCTCTGAAAGTGACGTCCTCACCGGGCTCATCCCCGGTGCAGTGCTAGATGTGGAGAGGTCACGACGAGGTCACTCTCCTGCTGACTCACCCTACATTTCTTTTGTTTCCACCTCACAGATCCTGGATGAGATTGCAGAGCAGGGGATCCGAATTTATCAGCTACCTGATGCTGACTCTGATGAGGATGAGGAGTTTAAGGAGCAGACTAGAGTCCTGAAGGTGAGAGAGAGAGAGAGAGAGGGGGAGAGTGATGAACCGCTAATGCCAACTGTTTAAACCTGCGTCAGAGAGTTTCCTCTGCACGTCCAGTGATTACGATATCTTCCTGTTCATCCAAAGAGATATCTTTACTTTCCATACCCTGTTCCCTGACTTTCCTCCTCTCTGGAAACCTACTCACCTTTATCTTCCTTTCCCAGGCGAGTATTCCCTTTGCTGTGATTGGCTCCAATCAGCTGATTGAGGTGAAGGGAAAGAAGATTCGTGGTCGTCTCTACCCCTGGGGAGTTGTTGAAGTGGAGAACCCCGAGCACAATGACTTCCTTAAACTGCGCACCATGCTTGTGTGAGTCTCCTGGGACATACAATCTCTTGAGTGTTGACATTTTCAGATGAAAAGTCCCTAAACCTTCACTTAATTTTCTCCCTTACTTAGCCGATCATAGAAGTCTGATAGAGCTATACTGCCGCCTGGTGTTTGAAGGAAGGATTGCATGTTTGTGTTTTGCAGGACCCATATGCAAGACCTCCAGGAGGTAACTCAGGATCTGCACTACGAGAACTTCCGCTCAGAGAGGCTGAAGAGAGCGGGCAGGTGAGACACGTCACTTTAAGAGAAGATGAGCTGAGCTCCTTCAAGTCAGGCTTTGTAATTGATGTTTATTTGCTCTGCAGGGCTGTGGACGAGGATGTGGTTGATAAAGACCAGATCCTGCTACAGAAAGAGGCTGAGGTAAGAGAATCCACGCTGGTGCAAGAAAACTGTTTTTCTTGCGTCACTAAATGATGAAATACCGTATGTCTGAGGTATATTCAGAGGAGGTCATCTGTAGAGGCTTCTGACTCTAATAAAACCAGCGCAGAGGTTAGGTCAACACCATATAAACTAGTTTCTCCATTAAAATGTTGAACCCATTCATAGTTAACCAGAGATATGTAATGTTTACCATTTGTACCATACACATGCACATATATAGTGTCCTCCCTGATTGCTTTCGATTGGCTTGTTTGTATTGCCGTTGCCGTGCATCAATGTTAGTGGGCGGGGTGCAATCAGAGGCTGTTGGTAAACAATGTGCCCATGCAGGATATGCCATCACGTCCTGCCTGGATGTCCTGGCCCAGTTTTATGGTGGGAATGACCTCAGTAATGTCAGGGACTGGAAAGAAAAAGAAGTAGTTGATTTACATGTTGTCAGAGCTTTGCTGTGGGAAAGGATTACAATAACTGATGTAATCCTGTTCCCTGCTGTACCTGGACTTGCTTTGACAGGCCTCTACCCTGTTTGTTTTCTTAAAGAAGGGGCACTATGTCCCAGAGGAGGTCCTGAAAAGAATTTATGATTACTTTGGTCAAAGTAGTGTCAGTGTTTGGACACAGCAGGTATGCTGTCGAATCTGTTTTTAGGCGCATCAACAAATTCGTAATAGACCAACAAGACAGAAGTTTCTAAAATAAACAAGATCGTTTTCTATTGTTATAGATTGCATATCTGACCCTAACTTATATGAAGACTCTCCTTAGTTTTGATAGTGTTTTTTTTAATGTATATATATATTTTTTTCTTTTTCCTTTGGAACATGTGCATGCAACACAAGAAAGTAAAATGAAAACAAAAACAAAACCTATGAGAATATTCAAAACAACAACAATAATCAAAGCAAAAAAAAACAAAAATAAAAAATAATACTAATAATAATGTGAACCCAACTTGTCCGAAAAGGAGTAGGATGAAGCATTATGCTTTTTTAAACCTACCTCTTCTTAATAAACATTTAGTCTGCAACATATTTACATTATAACTTAAAACTCAACTCAACTTTATTTATATGACACTTTACACACAACAGAGTTGATCCAAAGTGCTTTACAACAACACTGAGGAAAAAACAAAAGAAGAGAACAAACAGACGATGAAGAAGAAGAGCAGACTGAGTGACAGTTATAATAACAATAGCAATAAAAATGTATTTTCAATTCTATCACTATCATCATCATTCATAATAGTGATAATAAATAACAATACTTGCAGTATAATGAACATCTTAGATGACCAATGTGAAGTTCTGTACCCGGCCACAAGGTGCCGATAGATGCCAGAAAAAAATTCAGACCCACAGTAACATACAGTAGGTCACATGAAAGGAAAGGTCCTCCTTATCTAAGACAATGAGTTTTTTTAGACCTGTAAATTATGCACAAGGCCTCTGTGAGCCTCCATTAGCATTTGTTTACAATTTCGCCATTATTTATTTATTATTGGACATTTATTTATGCGTTATTTACTCCTTAACACCTTTCCTTCACTCTGCTGCTACAATTACTCCTATTATTATGAGCTAAAACACATCTGTTTGAATTGTAGTAAGCCTCTGAAAAGGTAGCCTGTAATTTATTTCCACAGCTCAGTCTAGTCAGGGATCACACTGAAATGTACTGATGTCATGTCCTCACAGTTTTAATGGGATTCACTCTGCATCATTGTGATTATGTTCTTTTCTTGTTTCTCTGCAGCTGAGACGCATGCAGCAGATGATTGCTCAGATGCAGGCACAGATGAAGATGCAATCAGACGAGTAAAAGAGTGGGAGTAGAAGGGAAAGCATAATCACACAAACACACCTGATCTTCCTTATAATCCATCCCTCTCTGCTGCCAATGTGAAGATCCAAGGAGTCCAGGTATCAAGGATCACGTCGACTGTATCTGCATATCACCACCACCAATACTGTTTCCTATTTTCCCTCTTATTCTAAACATCCATCCATCAGCTGTTCAAGAGCTCACAACTCTGCTCAAAGCACATATGAATCTGAATAGTTGTCCTATTTTGTTTGCACTAGTTTGATACATTGGACTGAGCAAAATCAAAAATCATGGACAAAAAGGCTGAATATGGCATGATTGTGAATGACATATCAAATATATAGTGTTTTATTTTAATCACAGCCACAGAGCTGCAAGTAAATACGGTACTAAGAAATTTCTTAATCACACTAACATGTTTACAGATCATGTGTGCAAGTTGTGCTTTTTGTTCAGGTCTAAAAATCACGTCTTCTTTGTGTTGAAAGCAGGTTAAGATTATGTTGATTGGTTTATGAGTGAGTGAAAAAGATTGTGTCTTATGTTTGCTGTCAGCTTAAAGCTCCTGCAAAGAGTTTTTGATACCTTGTAAAACAGACTGAAATGAACAGTGGTGCGACTCTATGGGTTTCAAGACTGTCTGTTTCTGTGTTGTAATTTTTATTGCCTGTTATTCCTGTGAGGGAGTAGGTATGCTATAAAGAAACAGCCTTTTGTGAAAAGGTCCAGATATAATCAACAACCGTACAAGGGTTACCACTTTGTCCACAGAGGGCGCCAAAATCACCACAGACATTAAGTCCCTTACAGGAGCTTTAAGCTCAGCAGCCCATCACTTTTACCTCTTGGTGGTGGTTTCAGACTTTCAGTGCCCTTTGTGGCTTCAGTCTGACCTTACAATAGCCATATACACTCACCGGCCACTTTGTTAGGTACACCATGCTAGTAACGGGTTGGACCCCCTTTTGCCTTCAGAACTGCCTCAATTCTTCGTGGCATAGATTCAACAAGGTGCTGGAAGCATTCCTCAGAGAGCTTGGTCCATATTGACATGATGGCATCACACAGTTGCCGCAGATTTGTCGGCTGCACATCCATGATGCGAATCTCCCGTTCCACCACATCCCAAAGATGCTCTATTGGATTGAGATCTGGTGACTGTGGAGGCCATTTGAGTACAGTGAACTCACTGTCATGTTCAAGAAACCAGTCTGAGATGATTCCAGCTTTATGACATGGCGCATTATCCTGCTGAAAGTAGCCATCAGAAGTTGGGTACATTGTGGTCATAAAGGGATGGACATGGTCAGCAACAATACTCAGGTAGGCTGTGGCGTTGCAACGATGCTCAATTGGTACCAAGGGGCCCAAAGAGTGCCAAGAAAATATTCCCCACACCATGACACCACCACCACCAGCCTGAACCGTTGATACAAGGCAGGATGGATCCATGCTTTCATGTTGTTGACGCCAAATTCTGACCCTACCATCCGAATGTCGCAGCAGAAATCGAGACTCATCAGACCAGGCAACGTTTTTCCAATCTTCTGTTGTCCAATTTCGATGAGCTTGTGCAAATTGTAGCCTCAGTTTCCTGTTCTTAGCTGAAAGGAGTGGCACCCGGCGTGGTCTTCTGCTGCTGTAGCTCATCTGCCTCAAAGTTCGACGTACTGTGCGTTCAGAGATGCTCTTCTGCCTACCTTGGTTGTAACGGGTGGTTATTTGAGTCACTGTTGCCTTTCTATCAGCTCGAACCAGTCTGGCCATTCTCCTCTGACCTCTGGCATCAACAAGGCATTTCCGCCCACAGAACTGCCGCTCACTGAATATTTTTTCTTTTTCGGACCATTCTCTGTAAACCCTAGAGATGGTTGTGCGTGAAAATCCCAGTAGATCAGCAGTTTCTGAAATACTCAGACCAGCCCTTCTGGCACCAACAACCATGCCACGTTCAAAGTCACTCAAATCACCTTTCTTCCCCATACTGATGCTCGGTTTGAACTGCAGGAGATTGTCTTGACCATGTCTACATGCCTAAATGCACTAAGTTGCCGCCATGTGATTGGCTGATTAGAAATTAAGTGTTAACGAGCAGTTGGACAGGTGTACCTAATAAAGTGGCCGGTGAGTGTATGTTCCCGCAATAAAAGGTAAGTGTGCTAATGACTGAGCTGAAATGACTGCAGCACACGCAGGAATAAACCTTTTACTATCATTATGCTTAATTAGAAGCCTTTTTTGTAGCGCACACTATGAGTAGTTTATTGTTTGTTGGTTTTCGTTTTTTATTTGGCTTCTTGGTCAGAAATCAACTTTATGCAAAATTAAAACTATTACCATTCAGTTATAAAAGGAAATAATCATATTTATTATTCAATCAAAGGCCATGTTGTTAATATTTTTGTATTTATCATCAAGAGCTGCTTAAATTGAATGTCTGTGCCAAACTTCAAACAACAGACTGAAAACTAATCCAATTATTCAGTCAAGTCATAAATCATGTCCAAGTGTGCTCATCCAGAGTTTTTAACGTGTTAGATGCTGTGTTTGTACACTACATGTGCGGTCATTCATTGTGTTGTGTTTGAGTTTTTACCTGTTCAGAAAACACATTATCCCCCGACTGTATTGCGTATGAACTTCTTCCAGTCTTCTGTGAGCAGCAGACTGAACTTTTCTTCATCAGTGCAACTAACTGTATTACTGGTATTAAATTTCCTTTTATTTTCTGTTGCTCTGTTATGCAAATGTGTCATTTATACTTAAGACACACAGAATTTTTATTCCTTAAACATACCACAGTAGAAAATCATTTGAAAACATGAACTTGTTTTTGTATTTCTCTCTTAATAAATATGTCTAGAGAAAAAAAAAACATTTGATGAGATTGGTGTTGCTTTCTTTCACAGACATCTTAAACATTTTCTTTCCTGGTACAAAACCCAATTCCAATGAAGTTGGGAAGATGTTTATATTGTAAATGAAAACAGAATACAAGGATTTACAAAACCCTTTCAACCTATATTCAATTGAATACACTACAAAGACAACATATTTAATGTTCAAACTGATAAAACTTTATTTTAACATCGTCATTTTACTTTAACATCTACGGTCCATAATATCATCAAAAGGTTCCGAGAATCTGTAGAAATCACTGCACGGAAGCGGCACGGCCAGAAACCAACATTGGATGCCCGTGACCTTTGATCTCTCAGGCGGCACTGTATCAAGAACCGACATCAATGTGTAATGGGCTCAGGAACACTTCAGAAAACCACTGTCAGTAAATACAGTTCGTCGCTACATCTGTAAGTGCAAGTTCAAACTCTACTATGCAAAGTGAAAGCCATTTATCAACAACATCCAGAAACACAGCCGACTTCTCTGGGCCCGAGCTCATCTAAGATGGACTGATGCAAAGTGAAAAAGTCTCCTGTGGTCCGACGAGTCCACATTTCAAATTGTTTTTGGAAATTGTGGACGCCGTGTCCTCTGGGTCAAAGAGGAAAAGAACCAACCGGACTGTTATCGACACAAAGTTCAAAAGCCAGCATCTGTGATGTTATGGGGGTGCATTAGTGCCCAAGGCATTGGTAACTTACACATCTGTGAAGGCAACATTAATGCTGAAAGGTACATACAGGTTTTGGAGCAACATATGCTGCCATCCAAGCAATGTCTTTTCATGGACGCCCCTGCTGCTTTCAGCAAGACAATGCCAAGCCACGTTCTGCACGTGTTACAACAGCGTGGCTTCGTAGTAAAAGAGTGCGGGTACTTGACTGGCCTGCCTGCAGTCCAGACCTGTCTCCCATTGAAAATACGTGGCGCATTATGAAGCGTAAAGACTGTTGAACAACTGAAGCTGTACATCAAACAAGAAGGGGAAAGAATTCCACCTTCAAATCTTCAACAATTAGTCTCCTCAGTTCCCAAATGTTCATTGAGTGTTGTTAAAAGGAAAGGTGATGTAACACAGTGGTAAACAAGCCCCTGTCCTAACTACTTTGACACGTGTTGCAGCCATGAAATTCTGAGTTAATTATTATTTGCAAAAAAAAAAAGCTTTATGAGTTTGAACATTAAGTATCTTGTCTCTGTAGTGTTTTCAATTGAATATAGGTTGAAAAGAATTTGCAAATTCTGTATTCTGATTTTATTTACGTCACAATTTCCCAACTTCAATAGAATTGGGTTTTGTAGTTTGGTTCACTTCACTTACACAATTCCCTCCACCATCTTCTGAACGCATAACACTTCGATAAAGGCAGATTTTGTTCTTTCCGTACATTTTTTTTCGGTACTGTTTGATCATTGAAGCTACATTTAAGATTAAAATCTAACATTTTAGACTCTGTCAGCAACCTTTTCGTTAAACTTTTCCACACTTTAAGCTTATAGCTTGTGCAAGGAAATTTAAGCAGGATATGAAACAGACTGAAATGAATATTGTAGACCCTATGACCTACACAAGCAATCTACAAGACGGATCATTGCTGTAGTTATTTTTAGTGCTCTTACTTTAGTAGTTCTCCAGCACAATATGTGGGTCCAATAAAATGTGTTCATGTACTTTTGCGACATAACTTCATGATTTATGACCTTACATTGAAAGATTAAGTTTAAGTAATGCTTCTTCTGATGTCAGTGAGGTTGTTTTGGACCAAACCTTTCCTCATGGCATCTTGGTAGGACTCACGCTCGTAGAAAACTGCAGCGTGACTGGCTGAGTCTGGGTGGAGGAGGGGCTTTCATCTTTCAGCTAGGCCCGCCCTCCTGCTGTCTGTCCGGGGTTTGGAAGCAAGGCGAGGGGGCCGCTTTTCGAGAGCCGTCGCTTCGGTCAAATCGAGGGAGGAGAGTGGTCAAGATGACTAGCAACATCAGGTACAAAAGCCGGATCCCGGTCAAAACAGGTGAGCGTGTTTTCCAGCTTTTATTCACGGTTATGTATTTATGGAGAGCAGATTCATTGATTGCTTCATGTTTCTGTGTCCCTGGGCGTCGCTCCGCATCCCTGCACCTGCGCCGCCTCCTCATCCATCCTCTGATGGTCAATAGATGAGAGTGCAGAGGTAAGAGACCCCCGTTTATGGTTATTTCTGCTTTATAAAACGCTGTTTAGGATGCATCAATGATACAACACGCTTTGGATATAATCGTGCTTGCCACGGCCAAGCTGCAGCAGCGCCAGCAGCAATATTTGCGTTTAAGATATGACATTTTATTGCCTTTATCTGCGATGTGCACTGCTATTTAATAAGTGAAAGGTGCTTTGAGGGCAGCCATGCCATCACAGGCTGAGCTGTGATCAGCAGACTGACAGACGGAGGGGGGTGAGATCTCATTTTTAGACGCATATGTGGAGCAGGCCGGCGTGCAGCCAACATGCTCCTCAAACAGCAGCATCCATCCTCTCCTCCCTGACCCTCCTCTGCACAAGGAGTAGCGATTATCCGTCACAGGGTGCACGAAAAGGCCTGCTAAAATCAAACATAACATCAACACGACTCGTAGTGTTGGCTGTCTTTAGTGAAGCCTTCCTGACTATTGTTCGGCTCAGAAACACAGCTGCCACATGAGCCTACAGGGGAGGTCGCATCTCTGATGACCCTGGACCTTCCTCCTCCCCCTCCATCTCCTCTTCCTCTTCGCATGCAGCGTGTCTGCTGACCGGAGGAGAGGAGTATTTGCATGTGCTGAGCCTCATGGTGCCTGGATGATTCAGCCAAGCTTATACTGCTAGTAAATGTGGAAAAGAGCAGAATAATTTATGATGCAAAAGAGCACCATTTAAAGACACTAACAGCCTTTAAGCAAACTATCAAAACCCTACAACAACAATTAAATATGAAGCTCTACTGAATCATTTATTGAGCTAATTGGAGCAAGATTTCATTTGGTAGAAAGACCTTGCTGATTTTTAATGTTTAGTTCTTGCTTTTGTTGAAATTGTTATAAAAAAAGTGTCTCTATTTCAACCTATTCACTACCAATAATTCTTGCACGAAACTCTGATTGCTGGCACGTTATTTGCTGATGTGCCAGTGTCTTTGAAAAGACTTAAGATTTGCTGATACAGATGTTTGACATCAGTGCATCTCCATTAGGTGGCCATAAGAGCCGGGATCTGTGGTGCTGTTTCTGTAATGCTGACATTTACTAAAGGTGCATGGCGTAAATGTAAGAATAACTCCTTAAAGATAACACAATACACGCCCAAACTGACACAAACCACAGCCCCAAAATGACCAACAGCCAGTCAACATCTCCCTGAATCATCAGCAGCAAAACCTTTATATAGATATGAATTATTTCTGATCTTTTGTATTATAATGCAGAAGTTGTGTTATCTATGAGAACCTGATAAAAAGACAGATTAATAGATGAACTTATGACTTATGGCACAGAAAAAACTACTCTTACTACATCATTTAATGAAAATAAATGTAAAGACAAGTTATCAAATGTTGAGACAAAACAGTGTAGTTTCAAAGCATATCAATACCTTTTTTTTAGTTTAGTGTGTCACCTGGACTCTTCTCCTATGGAGCCATGCTGTTGTAATATTCGCAGAGTTTGGTTTGGCATGGTCTTGATTATGTAAGTTTTTCCCTGAAAAACTTTTCGTCTACATGGCTGCACATGTTGCTCCAAAACCTTTACATTGTTCAGCGCTAAAGGTGCTTTCCCAGGTGTGTAACTTCAAACTTCTGTGTAAGCTGTTAAATGCCCCCTGGGCTAGAGACATCAGAGGTGTTCCTGGATCATGTTTCTGGTTTCCTCTTTACATGGTTCAGTTTTAACCTGCGTTTGTGAATGCAGTGGTTGTTGGGAGTGGTCCTGAGCCCATTCAGTGATTTCCACTGCAGAGTCATGCCTTTTTTAATGCCTGAGGGCTCAAAGATCACTGTCACTCAGTGTTGGTCTTTGGCCTTGTCCTTTTTGTACAGTGATTTCTCCAGATTCTTTCTATATTTAACGCTTTTATTTTTCATGATAAATTTCCCCCAACTTTCGCGATGTTGCATTGAGGAATATTAGGAAGTTGTTGAGCTTTTTGCTCATGCAGTCTCTCACAAAGTAGTAAACCTCTTTTGAGAGATTGAGCCACTGTGGGTAACCTTTTTTACTTCTCATGTACTTTCCTGTTGCAAAATAACCGAACGAGTCAGGAGATGTTCCTCCTGGTGTTTCTTGAGCTGAACAACTTTAACAGTGGTTTGTTGTCCCTGTCCAAAAATGAGTAGAATTTCTCAAAACAAATGCTTTTTTTTCAGTTTCATCCTTGTATGTGTCATCCTTTACTATCTTTGATTTAATATAGGCTTTAACTGATTTGCAGATTAACAACATCTGTTTTTAACAGCCTTCTATAGCGTGCTGGCTCTTTCTGTTACTGGATTTGTATTAGCTAAAGGAGTTTATCCTCTTCGTTATTTTTTGCACAAATGTAAGCCTGTAAAGATATCAGGTAAAAAGTTCAGCACGAGTGGACATTGTGTTACGTTTGCCTAACGTAGGATACTTGCAGTAATAGTGATAAGAGTAGTAGTAGTAGTAGTAGTGGTATTAAAGGCTGATCTAGATGGTTAGATGGGTTAAATTCAATTAATAGCTCCTGTGTTTTCATGACTGAGTCTATAGCTGGCCAGTATAAAGCTTTTTCTGTTTCTCTGTCTGATATTTGTCCAGTATTTTGTTGTCTTTGTGAGCTTTGCTCTCCTCCCCCTCCTGACTGCTGGTAGATATAAGCTGGTTATGTTACAAACAGATTTACCAGAAATTCCCACTCGGGTTAAATCCAGTGGTTGAAAACATTTTGCACACACACTCAAGCTTATGAAATCACTGCTAAAATATGTGGATTATATGATTGTTTCTTATAATCGTGTTTTTAGATGCCACGTCTCCAGTGAATAAGAAAGGCTGAAAATGACCTTATATCTCAGCCAAAGCAGCTGCTGTCCTTTCCAGTAAATATTCATTCACCCACTCTCAGTATTTAGATCATGATACAGTTTTTACACATTGTGAGTTTTGCGATGTTGGTTTATCACTCCCACATACTCTACTGCAGCTGACCCTGTTGGTCACTCGGAGAAAAATATCTCAGTTTGGATCATCCAGGCTGCAGCGGAGGAGGAACGAGAGCCTGAAATAAAAAATAATGTTACACAGAGTGACTGACTGAGTGGTGAGATCATCACTGCTGAAAGATTTTTAGTCGATTACCAATCCTAAATCAATATTTTCCTAGCTTTCTCCTCTGTTCTCCCCTTCCTCATCTTTCCACACCTCTCCCTCATTTCACTGAACTATGCCGTCACTTCCCTTTGCTGTGTAATTACGTTGCCAGGCAACAGTTTTTTAAAAAAGAAAAAAGCATTTTCATGACTTCTATGAAGGAGTGAGTGGACGACACAATCTGACCTACCCACAATGCTGTGTGGTGGTTGTTTTCTGTGTGTGTGGGTGGATATTCTCTGAATAGTTATCCATCACAGAGCAGAAATTAAAATTCACAGTTTTTAAGAAACACAATCAAAACATCGACCCTGATACGACAGAGCACACAAGCGTAAAAATAAATATGCCTGTTGTGGTTGTCACACAAAAAATAGTCACAGCAGTACATTTATTATTTGTGAAGTGTTTATTTACAGCATGTTTCTGCTATTATTCACTATGAAACAAGCAAATATGTTCTACATCCAGTTAAATATGGTCACTATTACAAAACCATCCCAGTCTTGACAAATGTATTTTTGTGAGTATGCTCTTCTTCAGGGGTTTTTCCTTTTATGATGGAGAAAGGATATTTTTTTCCAGATTAAAAAAACCTTATTCATCCTGACTGTCTTGAGAAGTCTGTCAAAGTCTTAGATTTTGTGTAACATACTGACGTTCTTAATTGAAGATTTAACCTTAATTTTACACACTTTCATCTCTTATTACTCATTAGCCTTTGCAGGATTTACAGCTCAAAGACTTGTTATTTATCTTGTGCAGGTGTCGGTGAAAACCCTTGTTTCTGCTGCTCTGCCAGAAATGCTTAATTTCGCCTACTCTTCAGCAGTGTAAAGTTAGACACAGCTCGAGGGTGTTACTTTTTTACAGTGTTGTTTCATGGTCACAAAATAACCCAAAGGTTAATGGGTAATGTTTTTATAGCACTTTCTCTTGTGTTATGACCACTCAGAGCACTTTTAGATCACATGTTCACCCATTCACACCACATTAGCCCACTGATGGTTGAGGCTGCTATGTATAAAGGCCATCAGTTTTTAGCTAATTCTGCAGCCAGCAGGGTCAGGGGGGGTCAAGTGTCTGGCCGAAAGACACTTTGGCATGTGGATAGCCCTGGGATCGAGCCTCTGACCTTCCATAAAGTTTTACCTTTACAGAAAACAGCTGAGGCTTGCCATGAGTGCCCATGCTGGCACCCCATTTGGGCACAACATTTGCTAATGTTACCTTAATTGTTGTTATAATGTTACTTACAGCTTGTTCTCCTGTGGCTCCTAATGTTTTCTGGTGCCATATCTTTGGGAAGAGAGGATAGCTGAAACTCTTTTTTAACACCAACAGTCGCTTACAAGCAACAGAAGTATTTCTGAGAATCTGCAAAGTGCAGAGCAAAAGAAAAGTGGAGGTGAAGTAGACCTTTCAGCTTCGAGGTGGGCATGTCCTTGACAGAGCTGATTGTTCCAGTAGGACTGCACAGACTCCAGGGTGAAGCTATGTCTTGAAACAAAAACTGCTCTCCTGTTGTTACGAAACTTCACAGAGGTTTAGTATTAGTATTCAGCATTGTAACATAATATGCATGTATGTATGTTAGGGCTGGGCGATAAAACGATAATGATATATATCAAAAATTAATTTCCCTCGATATCAATATGAAACATGGTAAATATGCTTTTCGATAGTCAGCAGTCTGCAATGTTTTGGTAGACTATACAAATTGCCAATGAAAAGGGGAGTTGCTCCGAGACGCGCCAGGCTGAACCAATCGTGCTGAATTAGAACCAAGTAGCAAACAACTGCATAGTAAAAGGCTGCAGCTACAGCCGAACGCACTTTTGGTGAGAAAAAAAGAAAATGAAATGTCTTATGAAATGCAGAGATGCAGATGAAGGCTCAATAGATGATGATACCGTTGACAACACTGGCATGAAAATGTCGGTGGTGTGGAAGTATTTTGTTTTTTTGAGGTCGAACATGAAGCAGAGTAATGTGCACTGAAAATTATGTTGAGTACATGATAAATTTAATTTAACAGGGAACATTTAAGATTGACAAGTGACTTTTTATATCATGATATATATGGATATTGACTGATATGAAAAAAATTTATCATGATAAATTTTTTCCCATATTGCCCAGCCCTAATGTATGTTTTAAAAAACTCTTCGCTATGAAAGTTTTTTGCAATGACTGAATTTTAAAAAATAACTTTTTAAAACATACAAACTGTCCAAGAAAGTGATGTGAAAGTAAAAAGTAATGTAGGGATAACACAATGTTGTCACGTCTGTCTGGGGAGTCATGACTGTTGTGATAAATTAGGGTCAGCGGTTACATTACATCCTGGAGCGGTGGACAGGAGTTGAGTCAGATGCATTTGTCTGTCCATATGTGTCACTTCCTTTCAGATACACTCGACTATCATCTACAGCTCTCACTCCACCTCCATTACTGAGCCCTCCCCTCTCTTCTCAAACTAACACCACAGATGGAGGCTGCACTGTCTCCCATTGAGGACCAGCTGTGGACCAGGAATAGGCGTAACTCCAGGGGGAGGGTGGGGTGGGATGCAGGCACTTGGATTAGAGCCCCCCCGTGGATCTGGCTTTCTTCTGCCTTAAGAAGAGAATTAGAGAAAGGCCAATTCAAGAATTCCTGGACTTTCTTCACTTTGATAGCTTTTGCTTTATCAATTCAAAGTTTTGTGTCATGTTTCTTTAAGCAGCTTCTGAGTTGGAATCATGATCATAAACGGGAAACATTTAGACCTGAGACAAAAATAGTGTTTTATGCATCATCTTACATACAATTTCTCAAAGTTATGCCTCATATTCTGTGGGTCTGAACTTAGTCTGACTGTAGCATCAGTTTGTAACGACCCACACAGCTGCATCACATACTTCTTACTGCACACGCTGGAGAGGCATCAAGGAATATTTGTGCACACTGACACTATAAATGAAGCAGTGCGTTTAAACACTCCCAGTGTTCATGTCTAAGAGTTGGTAAAGTCAGGTATAAAATACCTTTTCATAATGCTGACGAGCTAGTCAGCCATGGTTGTTTGACTCCAAACAGTCAGGGTCAGCTTTTTTTTTACCCTTTGCTGCCACAGCCCTCTGCTTCTCCTTCTTTTAACACTTCTAAAAACCTGTGAAATAGATCTGACACAATATTTTCCTGTGTTTGTGCTGGTGGCCGTAACAAAACTTTCCCACGTGATAAATGACAAAGTTTACCAGCTGCATTTACTGTATATCTCACCCTGGTTCCACAAATATAGCTATGAATGATAGGGTGTTCAAAGGTTTGAAGAACTTTCAAACAGCAGCTTAGAAAAACAGTAGGATGTGCTTCATATGTGTATTTGTAAAATCTCATGACGATTACTCATATGAGTCGCCACTAAACTGGGAGCAAATGAGAAGACCAGCGTTTCCATCTGGGGAGCTGTGCAATCAGCTTGACTTCAAACTAAATATAAACCAGGATGCCATGTCTGTCTGTGTAATCCTGCAGTATTTTGATTGTATGGCACTGTAATCACAATAACCTACTTTTCTCAGTATCATGCCTGATGAAGCAGCTACTCTGATCTCTGTGTGTCTCTCTGCTGTGAGAGTTGGTGTCTTTGTTCTTCTTCAGGTGTCTCAGGAGTTCAACCCTGCACTGTGATAACACGCACATACTGTACTTTAACTCCGTCACGCTGCAAACATGCGTGTAGAGCCTGTAACTAAGTGGAGCGTGTAGTTTGTCTTCTACCTGGAGCACTTCACCTCCTTTCCTCTCTCTGGGTTTCAAACATAGCGCCGCAGAGCTCGTCGGGCTGCAGCTCTGAGTTTCAAGAGGCTTTTGGAGAGAACTGGAGGCTGCCTGACCCAGATTGCGAGAGTCTCAGAAAAATCTTTTTCCTTGGACTTGATATGGTCGGGATTACAAATTCTGTGGAAAGAGGGATCAGGAGTCTTAACAGTTAGGCAACGAATCAAATGAAGAGATTATTTCATAGCTGTTTTTGCCCTAATTAACAGCAAATCAGTTATTGTTTTAAATAATGCTCATATATTGACCAGAATTGTTTGGTCGCGAGTAAACAACAGTTTTCCCACGGTTGAGTTTTTGATAACAATGTAAGTCTACAGTGTTCCTGGTTTTAACTCAGACCAGCTCCCTCTGAAGTGTAAGGACAACTTGTGCTCTCTATTTTGGTCTAATGCTTACTCATCGACCTTCCTAAACATTTTTGTCTTCCTTCATATTTATAATACCATTCAAGGGTATAGCCACGGCCACGCTCCCTCAAGGGTCCATTGTCATTGGAAAAGGCGGATGCTAAAACTGGGCTTCTACAACAGAGTGTCCTTCACCGAAGCAATTTATTGTTGCTCGAGCAATTACATGCTGCCAGATTTGCATGTAAAAGAGACAAGTGCACGCAGGCCTTTGCATCTCCATGGAGAGAAAATAGAGGATAAAAAGAGGGGGGGGACTCATGGTCCATTTATGTTGTTTTTCTACCCCTCTCCTTCTGTCTCAGCTCGGCCCCCTTATCTGTCCCCCTCACCCTTTTTTGCCATCCTTACTGGTGGACAGGCAACAGTCCAGCCAAAGCCATCAGGGTTAATGGTGTGGAAGTGTCAGCTGGACGACTGGGAGATGCAGAGAGTCATCGGTAAAGGTCACCGCTCTTCACTGCTACTTCACAGCCGGTCTGAAACGCAGCCTGTAGTTTGAGGCTGAGTAATTAACACAATTTCACACAGAGTGACAACTGAGTGTAAGGATCACTGTCGAACATGTTCTCCCCAAACTGGAGAGGGATGGATTTGACATCTTTTACTTATTGTCAATACCAATTATTTCCACTTCAAATTCTATTGAACATTTGTTTTTAAAGTCTTTATTTTGATTTAAGATAATGCAAAAGATAATGCATCTTTGCTGGATTCAATACAACGTGGAGTCTGTCACTATGATCTCACTAATTCTGATATCATCTATAGCTCAGTTAATTGGGATCTTGGTATGGTCATTGTGGTACAACAGATATGATTGTGTCAATTTGTTGATTATGAAACTCCTCTGAGCTTGTGGTTATCTTTTGTGCTGGATCTTTGTACATATGCCCCTTCTGTTTGTCCTTTTTTCAAAACTTTGCAACTACATTTCCCCTAAAGCTGTGTGACCACCAACAGATCAGAGTTGCTGGTTTGCTAGAAGCTGCAAATAAAGCAACAAGACACTAACTTAGAGAAGAGGGAGACTGAAGTTAATTTGATTCTGATGTAACACCTCCAGATTACTGTTGTTTTTTAAACTTTAAATCTTCAACCCCAACAAATGTTCAGCAGACGGTATTTAAATTCATCATCTAGAAACACACCAATTGGTTTTTACATACGGTATGTGCAGAGTTGGATGTGGAAAGCATGTGTAGTTCCCCTTTAAGGAAGGTGCTCTCATGCACATGAGATAAGCAGCATTTTGGTCAGAATCAGCTCTGTAGTAAAGTCAGATCTGCGTTTTCACTCATTTCAGTATTTTCAGCCTGACTACACAGTTAGTAGTTGTTGAAATCAGCGTCCTCTTTGAAAGAGCTACATTTATACGTCTGTAAGTGGTGTCCCACTTATAGAAATGCTGCTCCTCTTTCACACTTTGATCTATGCAGAAAATAGGACACGTCGCCAAGGATATTTCTCACATATTATCTTGTACAAACATGCTAACCAGTGAAACTATCTGAAGTGATCGTGCAGTTTGCACATCTCGAGTCTTTTCACATTCTGTTAATACTGTAAGACGTCTTCTTCCGCCTTACTGTGCAGTTGTGTGTCTCACAACTGCAGCCTCTCTGAACTATCTAGCAGCAGGGGATGATGGGTATTCAGTTTGACTGGACTCATTTGATTAGTTACGTGTTTGTATGTGTGCATTTCTGTGTGTGTCCTGGCAGTGAAGTCGACCACTGGGGCCTTTTCAGAATCATTTCCTGTAAGGTCATGATTTTGTATGAGTGAGAGGAAGAAGCTGAGCGCTGCCTGCTGGTTCATGTCTGGACCTCTGCCTCTGCAGCTCAGTCCAATATATTGACACACACACACACACACACAGAAAAAAGATTGACAGATGCAGTGTTCATTTATAGACTGGAATAAATATCCTGACCGTGAAAGAGTCTGTTTTTGTACTTCTTGTTACAAACATTAGTCAGAGTAGACACAATAATTTGCCTGCATACTGATCACAAACCAGATATTGACAGATATTGTGGATTCATCTGTGGATTTAGATTTAAAGCTACAGTGAGGATTTTTTTTAACATTTATGAAATACACCAAAATTCTTACTGATGCCTTTTTATAATAGTATTCAAAAACAGGCAAGACCACTAGCAACAAGACTGACATTTTTTATACTGTTATCTTAATGCCTTTAAATTGGTGTTTGAGGGTAGGTGTCAGTCAAGTAGCTGAAGAAACAACCCTATATCCACAATCCATGATACTTTTGACTTAAAAAAGGCAGAATTGTTTTTTTCTCTTTTTGTCTGATGACAGAAAAGGCATGTGGAGGACAAATTGAAAAGAAACACTGCTTTGTCGACAGGGCATGCTAAACTTGACAAGAACTAAAAGCCCCTCACAGGAGCTTTAATTTAAGGTTTTAAATCCATGATGGGACATTCCCACTGAGCATTTTTTGGTCTAAAAGAGGTCTAATAGACGTCTAAATGTAGCCTAGATGACTGGTCTGAAACCAGGCTACCACTGGTCTAAAAATGACAGTTTTTTAGACGTCTAAATTTAGACCAAGTGTAGACTAGCCGGCTAACAGAGGTCTAATTGTATATTGCTCAATGGCGATCATAATAGTTTTGGTTTAGTACTTGGAGATCAGTTATGCAACTCACATTTGCTTTTTGAAATAAATAGTTATTGAATAATGGGTTAAAGTGCAACGTCTAAATTCTGTCTAAAAATATACTGATTCTTTATGGTTGAAAAAAAAAAAATTAGACGTCCAATAACCGTCTATTGCTCAATGGGATGTAAAACAATACAATTATACATGATACAGTCTGATATGACAAGGTATAATGCAAAACAATATAATACACAGGTTTAGGCACAGTACAACATGACATAACATAATACACTATAACACGACAGGATATGACACAGTGTGCCATAATACAACATTATACAACAAGATGAAAGATGGCAGGATAAGACACAACACATGGTACAACACAACACATCACAACATGATACACTAGATCTAATCTCTGAGAAATTAATTTGGACTTTAATCCTGCAAAAATTATGACAAGACATGACAAAACAAGGCATGACACAGGACAATACAACACAAAATGACACAATAAGATACAACACAGTACAGTTCACTTGATTGTCTTCTTATTGAAATTCATTTAGACTTGAGCACTACCCCCACAGCGGTGTAAATACATAATAATACGACAAAAATAGGAAACAACAGTACAGTAATAGTAACTAAGTAAATCACTTTCATAGTAGTGGGTAAAAAAAGCATGTAATGATTGTGTTTCAGTTGACTGACAGAAAGTAGACAGACAACTACTGAGAAGTACAGCTGAGCTTAGTCACTTCATAGAAAAACATTCCAGAGGATTTTTGGCTTGCAGAGTTACACTCTGAATTTTCTCAGCTTTTGTTTTTTTGTTTGTCTATTTTTTTACAGTTTGATGCTGTCAAAGATTATTAACATCATGAGAGTTGATCAGACATTGCTGGCTTTAAATGAAGTAGCCTCTGCTGTTAGTAGATTACATGTCATGGGTGATATAATCTTCAACTTAAACATGAAGTGCCACATGTCAACCCTGTCACTATAAAGCTGAAGTCACAAGCTGTTTAACTTAGCTTAGCATAAGACTCGTAACCGGATAATCCAGAAATCTCCCTACCAGCATACTTACCTGTTCATGATTTATACCCTGTTCCCTGAATCTGTAGAGAAACTATGAATAGCAGGAGTTTGTGAGTTTACAGTCAGTATTTTTAATTAGACAAGGCCTGGTGACTTGTTTCCTCTCTTTACCTTTTCTGCTTTATTGACATCAGACAGATATAGAGACAAAAGATGCAATAAATGCTGTCTTAAAAATGTGCAGACACACACAAAAAACAGATTTCACTCTCATGTAAAGGCAAAGAAGTGAGTTTTAATCCTTTTCATGTTTCCAAATAGCCCATTATTCAAAGTCTAATCTGGGCATTAATTTTTAATTCATTTTTTTTGTGCAGAGCTGAATGAAGACATGAGTTTTTGGCCTCACTTTGTCTCCAGGGAGTTGAGCACAAAGATGAATTAGTAGCTCACAAAAGATAACACGTATTTGTTCTGAAGTTTTCTACATATGTGTGTATTGGAGAAAGAGACAGCTGGCAACTGTGAGGGGAAAGGTGGGGGGTTTTCCTGGGGGCTATTCTAATACCGTTTCACGACATCTGTTCCTTTTTCTATTCACATTGAACCCCCCGCCCTCCTCCGCACACACTCACACCCTCTTTTATGTCTCTATAACAGTTCAAACTCTCCATCAAGCATCCTGATTAACTTTTACATCAGAACCATGAGGACAAAAAAAGAGGGCTTTCCCCTAAAGAGGCAGCAGTACACCCAGACCATCAAAATGTCATCTGAGTGGAGTCATCTGTCTCCCCCTGGTGGTGTGGAGTGGAACTGTAACATCCTGCACGTGGCATCACGGCTGGGTGTGCCAACTATTCAGGGAAGAAAAGAGAAAAAAACGTTTTTTTTTTTTATGTCAAAGAGCGTTTAGGTCCAGCTGCCCACATCATGTATGAGTTGGACACACCCTTACACACACACACACACACACACACACACACACACTGTCACATCTGGAAGCAATTGGCTTCAACCTCTGTGGGTCTTATACCTCATTTACCTCCACACACACGCCTGAAGTAAACAGAGGTGACACGATGACTTATCTGCTTTATGTCCTTTTCATTACAGTCTAGACTAGAACTAGAACACAGACGCTTTTAGACAATCAGACCCCTTGATGTTCGTTTAACCACGAGCACAAATAAGCCAGCTGTATGATGACGTATATCTACCATGTGGTTTAATTTGAGCGACCTAAAAAAAACACAGATAGACTGACGATAGAGGATATATATCATTTAACTTTCTGTACAGGAGTGAAAGAGATTAGAGTCACTCCCATGATGCTTTCTGCTTTGTCTGAAAAGAAAGTTTGGAAAATACAACAAGCTCCTTTAATAATTAGTTGAGTCTTAATAAATCTGTAAAAATCTAAAGTGTAAAAGCCACATATAAAATAGACTTTAAAGTACTTTTAAATACGTTTTTCCTTTTTTAACTATCATGAAATTGGCTGAAATTCATATTTATGCCTTTTCATGATATCCAGGTAAAGCCATGCTTTGTCCACAGAGGGCGCCAAATTGACTCAGGCAAAAAGTTCTTCACAGGAGCTTTAAAACAGCCAGGTGGACTAATTCAGCCAATTTTACTCTTTAACTGTCTGTGATTTTTAGCTTTAAAACACGAGTTGTTTAAATTTTAATATCAAGCTTGCAGCATAATGAGACTACAAATCTTCATTAATCTTATCTGGCATTAAGTCTTTATTTAATTTAATTTTATTTTATGTTTTTCACTTTTAGTCCTTCAGAAGTGGTGACTGGCATTGCAACATGAGAGCGCTCCCATTAACATGACCCTGTATAATTATTTGGTCTGCAGCAGCCTCTGTGTCCACACTTGGTTATTAAAAGGACGATGGTAACCACTAAGAGTGGCGTTATGAAAAAGAGGACTCTCACTGTCAGCACATTTGCTGGCTTTACTTCTGACCTGAGTAAATCCTCTTTGGGACTCCTTGTCATTATTTATGTAACTTCAAAATGTAAGCAGAAGGTTTTCTCTTTCGACTTCTTGAGTATGATAGAAGAGTGAAGAAATCCAGACACCTGCTCAAACAGCAAAGAAGGAAATGACTTTGAACAAGTGCAGCTGCAGTGAAGTCTTTCTTTCTGTTCTGAGATTTATGTGGAGGATATTATTACTTTACACTCTGAATACGGTATTTTTTAATAATATTCCCTATTGTTGCACTGATTTATTCTTTCTCTCATCTTAAGACTCTATAATCCACGGGTCTAGACGGTTCTGAGCGCCCTCTGTTCAGCCTGTACACACAGACTATTCACCGAACTCTCTGATTGACAAGTTTATTTACTGAATAATCTGATAGTCTCACTCCACAGGTCTGAACTTGAAGACCTTGTGTCTTATGTTTCGCCAGAGTCACACTGCGGCTTTCCAATGTCATGTTCAAACTAGTTCTTTTCTGTCTCTTGTCTTTTAACCCCTGAGGTCAAAGAAACGTCGACACTTTCTCTCTGCTCCTCCTTTTTCTGACTTTCTCTGTGAGCTGGTGGTCACTTCTCTCAGTGTAGAGTTTTATTTTTCAACTGTCGGAGCTGGGGGAGGGAATACAGGCCGAATGAATGAGTTTCTTTTAGACCTCCGCTTCTTCCATCCCTCCCTTGTTTCCTCCCTCAAATTGCCACCTCTCTCTTACTCCCTCGCTCCGTTTCCCTCCCTCTCAGTTAGAATTCCTCCGTACCTGTCTGAACAGGGAGAGTCAGAGCGCCGCAGGGCAGACGGAAGAAAGAAAGTGAGAAAGAAAGGCAGGGGGGAAAAGAGAGAGAGAAGGGGGAAAGTAGGAGGAACAGAGGGTGCATATTTAAAGAGCAACAACAGGAAAAAGGTGTGTTAGGGGACAACAGATAGAGCGCAAGGAAAGAGTTTATCAAGGTCTCAAGGCTTCAAGTTTGCTTTTCCTCTTCCCTGCTGGGCTGTTTGTTAACTTCTGTGGGACCCGTGGCTATTTTGGTCTGTCAGTGTCGGAGCGGTTTGGGATGGATGCCATCATGCTGCAAGAAAAACTGGTGGAAAGGCTGCTTTGCCCACGAGTTAGAACGGCCAGGCAGAAGGTAAAAAAAATGATTTCTGTAAGGAAAGTCATAGATGGAACAATGAAAAAAAGTTCAAATGTGATTGAAACAAAGATAAAGACTTGAGGATTTGTTTTAGATAGTTAAAGCTGAACCATCCACAACCTCAGACCTAGTGTGAGCATCTTTTTCAGCTTATATTTCTCTCTATGTAGCTGTTTACTCTTCATGGTGACAGATTTATCACCGGGATTTCTTTATCATCACTCACTGATCAATCCATCGCTTTCTTCTTCACTTTCAGCAAGTGAACAGTGTCTGACTGCACCACCTGTGGTTTTTCTGTGTGGATGTGTGTGATTTTTTGTCCTCACCCGCGGCGATGGTCGGAAATGCCTGTGACAAGTTATGACAGCTTATGAGGACTCCGGCTGTGTCTTTTAGTGGAGTGTTTGCAGAGTGCAAAAAGAGCTTTTCAGGTCTGTTGAATGAAGCCTCTGTGTGTGTGTCTGTGTGTGTGTGAGTGTGTGTGAATGCTCTTGCAGGCTTTGAGTGTGTATTTACATCTGCACATGTCATGGCGTACTGTAGGGTGAAGATGACGCTCTGCCAGATGCAGCACTGAGAGTTACTGTCTGACCGAGAGAGAGAAAGAAAGAGAGACTAGTATCCTCCAGTTCCCTTTGTGTGTTTCAGTCAGAGTCTTAGTGGAAAGTCTGAGGCTGGGGTTATTCTGGGGAACGCTGAGCACGTGTTTTTCCACGCACTTGTAGATCTTCTGCATTATAGACGTCGTCTTGTCTGTTGTGGTTTACTTTATTGGATCAGACTCTGCCAGACACATTTTGTTTTCTCATTAGAAACCCTCCTAACCCCTTTACAGTTATTCTGTGTGCCTCTGTTTCAGCCCTTTGTATTTGACTATACAGTATGACCGAAGCAATTTGTTGAAATCACTGAAAGTTACTTGTTTTGGTAGTTTAATGTTTCACTGATATCTGTTAAGAACATATGTTTGTAGTTTTTAGATGAGGGCTGTTCCTGCTAATGCAGTATCTTTCACAATGTGGAACATGAACAAAAATGTGCCAATTTATGTCCCACCACCAATCTTTGGTCTTGGGGACATGGTGAATATTTCTGTCAAACATTTCATGTAACGACTGATTGTTTCAGCTCTACAAATATCACCATAACAATCATTTCAGCCTCACAATACCCAAGAAACTTGAGTCTTGATACTTTTTCTTTTATTCATTTTTTTTGTCATAGGAGAAACAGTATGTTGGATTTGCAACTTTGCCGAACCAGGTCCACAGGAAGTCTGTGAAGAAAGGCTTCGATTTTACTCTGATGGTAGCAGGTCAGTATGTTGAGGAAGAAACATCAGAGCAATTTCTCAACCTACGCCTCAGTGACCAGTTTACACTATTCACCAGCTAATGCTAACTAAATCTAACAAACAGGCCTACAAGTCACCTCACATTCATTTACATTGTACTGTGTTGTAACATGTTTCTCATCTCTTACTCCAGGGGAGTCTGGCATGGGTAAATCCACTCTGGTTAACAGCCTGTTCCTCACAGACCTCTACAAAGACAGGAAGTTACTGAACGCTGAGGGTGAGCTCACTGATTGTCTCTCTGTACCAGTAACACTGTTGATAATCTTACATTTGATTTCAGATTTGTGACAATATTTAGTACAACTGTGACCCTCGATCTCTGAGTAATGTGAGTTATTCCTTGTTCACACCATCATGACCAGGCAGGTTATTAGATATTTAATAAACATAGTAAATTTGAAGTAAAAGGCGCAAATATCAGTGCGCTAATGGCTATAATATGTAGTTTGATAGAGCTGTTACTTGTTTCTGTGCGCCAAATCTTTGATAAGCAGCTAAGACTGAACTTTGGTCGTGCTTCACTCAAAAAAACCCTCATTAAATGTTCCATTTAATCCTGTTTAAGTAGTGTAAGAAAAATAACTACAGTTCCCAGCTGAGAGAGGCCTTTCTATGATCCCTGAGCTGTATTTCAGCTGCATAACCTCATTTTTTCCCTCCTTTGTGTCAACTGCTTTGTAGAGCGAATCAACCAAACTGTGGAGATCATCAAACACACTGTTGATATTGAGGAGAAAGGAGTCAAGCTCAAGCTGACCATCGTGGACACACCGGGGTTTGGAGACGCCGTCAACAACAACGAGTGGTGAGCTGAGCAGGAGAAGCTGATGATGTCTGATTCAGTGTGCTAGTTTGAATCTCCAGAGTATTGTAGAAGTTGCTCACTCATCTGTGTGTGTGTGCTGGTGTGTTTGTACTCTAGCTGGAAGCCAATCACAGACTACATCGATCAGCAGTTCGAGCAGTACTTCAGGGATGAGAGCGGCCTGAACAGAAAGAACATCCAAGATAATCGAGTCCACTGCTGCCTCTACTTCATCCCTCCGTTTGGGCACGGGTAACTTCTCTCACACACCTATACTCAGACTGAAACATCATCCTTTCTGCCCCTAGATTTCCCTGCAGAGTCCCTCACTGATACTTTCCTTGTTTTGAGGGACTTTGAGTACCTCTGTCTCATGCTCAGTCTGGATTTGTCTCCTCAGACTGCGTCCGGTGGACGTGGAGTTCATGAAAGCTCTTCATGAAAAGGTGAACATCATCCCTCTCATTGCAAAAGCTGACTGCCTAACACCCAATGAGATAAAGAAGCTCAAAGACAGAGTGAGTCCCAGAACATATTTATTTATGGCTGTTCATATCGTTCCCATGAAGGATGTAAACTGACTTTTGTGGTGTGTGTGCGTGTCTCCAGATACGAGATGAAATAGAGAAGTTTGGGATCAAAGTGTACCAGTTCCCTGAATGTGACTCGGATGAGGATGAGGAGTTTAAACAGCTGGATAAGGAGCTGAAGGTGAGTACGAGCAGCCAGATACCTGACACAGAGTCCACTTAATTCAAGACTTAGTGCAGGTGAGTGTAAACTTAAGCCCCAGACTGGGGTCAGTGAGTCCTCTGCAGTTGTGTTTTGCAGGACTTTAGTCTGAAATGTTTCTCCTGAGGCACCAAAGAAAAGCCTCTAACGAGAATTTTTAAATAGTTCTTCATACTTCTTTAATTATTCTTTCCCTCTTTTTTCTCTCATTCTTTCTATAAACTGAAACAGTCGTCAGTGCTAGTTCAACCTTAAATCTTCTTGTACTTAAGACCCAAGCTGCAACTTCTAGTCTTGTGAAATGAAGTAAAAGCAGATGCAGAAGTGCTAAAAACTGCAGTTCCTTGTGCATGAATTTGAGGCTGGTTGTGAAAACACCAGGCGCCTCATACACCCACTGAAAAATCATGTATTTAACATAAAAACAAACATGTTCACAGCCAGGTTCAGAAAAACTAATCTGGTCTTAACAGCAAATTGCTCTGTTAGCACGCCCTGCTTGGAGGTGTTTTTTTAAAATAACTGATTTTAAAGATATTGAGATTATGAGTTTCACATTATAGAGACATAAGTGACTTGATTGACAAGTGGGAACACTGTTGCTGTTTGCTAGGGGGCTAAAGGCCCGTCTCAACACCACCCCTCTGCCTCATGTTGAGTTGACAGTTTCCAACCGCCTTCTAAAAGCTCAGCTTCAGAAACTAACGGGTGATGTCCCTTAGACTGCGTCCATGTTATACAGAGTCTGTGTTAAGACCCCAGAAAGTATGCAAGTATACAGTTTTATAAGCCTCATATATCATAGGTTGTAATTTTGAGCAATCCATTCATTTTTCACAACTTCACCATTAATGTTTCTTTTTATATGAGTGAGTAAAAAACACTCAAGCATTACTGTAAGTCCTGATTGTAGAAAAGGCATTTCTTAATAGATGATTGAAATTGAACTGTAACAGTTGAACAGCAGCTGTTCAAAGGTTTTAGACCGAATCCACATATCAGCTGGGAAAATCTGTGCTAGAAAAATGAACCACAAACAGCCTCAGCCACCATCATAATGCCTCTGCAGCTGCTCAGCAGTCTTTAGTGAGTAACTGTGAATACGTACCAGGTTCCAGCATGCTCAGTCAGCTTTCTTCGGATTGATAAGGGATAACAAAAACAATCCACCCCCTTGTTTCTCTGCGTGCAGGAGTGCACCCCCTTCGCTGTGATCGGCAGTAACACTGTGGTGGAGGCTCGAGGGCAGAGAGTCAGAGGGAGGCTGTACCCGTGGGGCATTGTTGAAGGTGGGTTGATGAATTATTATTACATCACCTGTTCAAGCCTAAATGCAAATCTGACACAGTTTGAACATCATAACTTTAATGATTTCAAATGTTCTTTGCTCAGTGGAGAACCAGTCGCACTGTGACTTTGTGAAGCTGAGGAACATGCTGATTCGCTCACACATGCACGACCTTAAAGACGTGACCTGCGATGTCCACTATGAAAACTACAGAGCGCAGTGCATACAGGAGATGACCAGGTGAGCCTGAGAAATTAAATGAAAGAGAGACACGGTGTTTTGTAAACATCTCAAATACCTGCTGAGGTCTACAGATTTTAAAGGAGATTATTTTGCTTCACTTCACTGTATCCTTTCATCTTTTCCCTCCTCTTCCACTTTCTTCTTCTTGTCTTCAGTAAACTGGCTCAGGACAACCGTATGGAGAGTCCCATCCCCATCCTGCCTCTCTCCACCCCAGATGTGGAAACTGAGAAGCTTATCAAAATGAAAGATGAGGAGGTATAACTCACTCCTTCGTAGACACATTTCAACAACACACTACATATTTGTGATAGTTGCGGGGTTTCTGCAAAATATAGATTAAAATGTGTTTCTGTATCGGTTGATTAGAGGGGAAAACGTAGAAAAACTGAGTTTAAAGCTCCTGTGAAGAGATTTAAACTAATTTTTTAACTTGTTTTTGATGCTTGCAATTGGTATGTGAGGTTCTATGTCAGCCAAGCTGCTGGAGAAACAGCCTTTGCACAATTTCCACATAAGATTTACACAATAAATTATACACATGACTGTCAAAAGATTTTTCTGCCAAAAACCATTACTCAGGCATGTGGAGGACAAGATAAGCACAGACTGTTTTGTCCACAGGGGGGCACTAAAGTAGATACAAGTGAAAGTTTCTCACAGACACTTCAATGAAAAATATACTTAACAATACAAAAAGAAAGAAAAAAGACAAGACAAATAAAAATAAATCAGTCAAACATTAACAGAAACAGGAAAAATCTAAAGGTGACAAAAAAGTAAAAAAAATAGTGTGTTAATTTTTATATTACTATCTCATAATCCTCTCAAAATCAAAACACAATAAGATTGTGAAAATATAATGTGCACTAAAATACACATAATTCATGAAAATGTTGTCATTTTAAAAAATGCAGGCGATCTAAATAGATAGGTTTGCATTACCAGCATTGTTAAAAGAAGAGTTAGCAGCTGTCTGCAGGTCTAGCAGAGACAAATCACAGCAGTAATAGGACCAGAAAGGAGACCATGGAAACACACTGAGGCTGTTGATAGTGATAAATAAGTAATGAATCACAGATGCCATAATTGTAGGGGTTTACTTCAGGCTGCAGTAGTACAAGAAGGTAAACACTGTGTTACTGAAAACAGTCAAGATTAAGTTTAAAGTCTTTTCTGATTTGTTCTCAGAGTCCCCTCTTTGTTGAAATTGGAAATTAAAGTCCACCTATTTTAATATTGATCAATTTTTTTTACTGCCAGTTTCTCTTATTTATTTATTCATGTGATTTTATTTTTAAATTAACTGCATTGATTTGGATCTGTAAGCTATCATCTGTATACTGTATATATCATTTGAAATGCATTATACTCAATCGAAGACTAATGCATCACACTCTTTATCTGCGGTTTAATCACTCTTAAACCTCTCTCTCTCTCTCTCTATCTCTCTCTCTCTCTCTCTGTGCAGCTGAAGAGGATGCAGGAGATGCTGAATAAGATGCAGCAGCAGATGCACGACAAAGAACAGTGATGTCCCCCCACCGCAGAGCTGTGCTGCAGCGCCCCCTGCTGTTTCCCCCGCTGAACGACAGCAAGACCTTCAGATGTTGAACATGGATATGACGTGTTAGTGGCGACTCTGGCTGTGCATTTCTCCTCAGTTTGGTGCTTTGTATAGTTTGTCTGCCTGGATGGTTTTGATCGGAGGTTTTTTTTTTTCCTCTCTGGAAATATCCGTACATCCGTTTTGAGCCCCCTCCCACCCCTGGTGTGGTTTAACAGTCTTAACATATATAATATAAATGCATAATTTAAAATACTACTCAGTGTATCTAATTTATAAATGCAATGCTAAACTTTTTGGATATTTTGTCAGGGTATGTGAACATGTGTGCTACAAGATGTTTTGTAAAGAAACCGAGTTTGTTGTTAATGTTGAAAACTGATCATGGATATTGTTTTTTATTATGTGTTTGTAAGTGTGTGTTTGGATGTGTGAGCTTGTGTATCTCATGAAATTTAATCCAGTATCAACCAATTATCCGTCCATTTAACTCCTGTTTTTTCTCTGAACCTCATACTCTGTTATTTTGCTCTTCGATTCTCATGAAAACCTTAATAGGATGTTTTTATTTTCACATATGGCAAGTCAAAATATCCTCTCCCGGCATTTTTTACATGCTGGCTGGGCTGGAAATGCACTTATTGCCAGTGGCTTACTGTGAATGAAGAGCCTTTGACATAATGAGAGGGTCGGAGCAGTGCAGGGTGCATGTGAGAGCATGCTGCCATTACTCATATCTGCTAAATGCTGAGGGCCTATTTTTACTGCTTTATAGTCGATGCCCTGTGCTTGTATTAAAAACCTTTCATGATTTACGGTCCGCTCTGTTTTTTAAAAAAAGATCAGTAACAAAGAGAAAATACTGTGTCTTTGCTTCAGTTTTAATTTACTCTGAAAGTGAGCTGCTGCATTTTGCCAGTGAAGATGTGTGTCCTGAGTGCGTTATGAGCGTTCAGTGTGTGTGTGAGTGAGTGTGTGTGTGTGTGTGTGTGTGTGTGTGTGTGTGTGTTTGCTGAAGCTGAGAAACAGTTCATATTTTGCCTGAAGTTTGTGAGCTCAGCCTGTGCCCTGTTTATAAAGGTGTTAAAAATAAATTTCTTGTTTCTGGAAACTTTTTTGGTTTTGCTTGTTTCTCTGCAGATTTCACAGCGGTGGCTCCAGTCGTCTTAGATGGACAGCCACTTTCACTTCCCGCTGTCAGACTCCGAACATACACTTGCTCTGAGCTGCTGCAGGAGCATTATCTGCCGGTTCATGTTTATCTCCTAAAGACACTCTTCCCCTACATTGCAAACAGCATCTTTTCCTGACAGTCAGAGGAGCTACAGGCATAAACGACTTAGCTGTGAAGGGTAGAAGAATCTATAACTGAATCAAAAATGTCAGTTTCATTTTAGGAGAAAAAAAACAGATAACGAAAAGTTGAAAATATATGTAGAAGTTCTGGGTTTAATTCTGTAAAACTGCTACAACCATTCACTTCATTGTAATATTTCATTTTAATTTGTTTTACTAAAATTTGACTACTATTTTCATTTTATTGAAACTTCATACCCCTATTTGTTGGATCATTTGCTCACTCATTTGATTTCTCATGAAAATTTTCCCAGTGTTGTGTGTTTTCCGATCAGTTGCTGTAGTCTGACTAAGGCCTTCTTCATGACATGAACATGAATTATAGGCTTCAGTATGAACATTGTCTGTCTTAAAAATAAAAATCTTTCAAGAGGAATTTCCAAGAAATTACTTGGCAATAAGGAACCCCTTAGATAAGACGTCCCTGTGGTATTTACTTCCTTTGTTCTGAAGGGAACTTATGGGTGTGTGTTGTGTCCATGCGCAAGTGTGGGTTCATTTTTGACACTGGTGTTTATCAGTAAGAGCCAGCTGGGGTCTAAACACGCACACACTTTGCCTCTTGGAGTGAACATGAGAAGCACATAAGTCTTCTGCAGGCACACAGTACTGAAGGTAAATGGCTCCTCTCTTGTTTTTTAAGACTTTTTAGGTGAACAGTCTTCTCTGCTGTAAGCTCATAATTTAGTTGTTCGTTATTTAAGTCTTTTGTTTTACTGCAACTTGAACCCATACTTTAACAGCTCATATGGGGCTACTCTATATACAACAGCTCGAGTAACTTGTCATACTGTTCCTCTCTGGTGAAAATCATGTGTCCTGTATTTCGATGCTGGATGTCTCTGAAAAAATAAAGGATAAACTCTTCATCATATGTTTGTAAAATTCGCCTCTAGAGTGGTATAAATATTTATATATAAGAAAATGATCCGATCAAACTGAATCTAATCTTTCTTCTTCTTCAGTGAACGATTATCATGAAGGGGCTTCTGCTCCTATGTCTGCTCCTCCTGGTTGGAGGTCAAAGGTCATTGGCATGCCCTCACCCTTGCACCTGTGATGACAAACAGGTGAACTGCAGCGGCAAGTCTCTCACCTCTGCTTCACTGCCTACACATTTCCCTGATGGTATTACCGAGCTCCACCTCCACAACAACCATCTCACCCACCTCCCTAACGGGATCCTGGATAGTCAGACCTCGCTGCGCTCCATCTCCCTTCATGGTAACTCCTGGGTGTGCGACTGTGGTATCCTGTACCTGCGGGCCTGGCTGCTGCGCCAGCCTGCCAGCGTCACGTCACACCTGTCTGTCTCCTGCAGCTCTCCTCCAAGCCTGAGAGGGCGGCAGGTGGTGTCTTTGTCTGAGCAGGAGATCCTGGAGTCCTGTCACTACTGGTACTGTGACCTGGCTCTGACCTCGCAGGTGTGTCTGTTTGTGTTTGTGGTGGTGCAGGCTGCTCTGTTGGTGGCTCTGCTTGTGTTCCTAAGGAAGTTTGAGAGGCTCTTCAAAGAGGCGAGGAGGACGACGGAGGAGAGCTTTACAGCGGGGGAGAGTCAGAAGGAGAACGACTACACAACTTTAAGGGACAGCGACATCTGAGAGGGAGCTGGGATGTGTTTGGGTGTTAGGAAAAGAGCAGTTTATTATTGAACACTGAACAGAGAAAGTTTCTGAAAGTTTCAAACTTCTACTCCGGTTGGTACACAAGCCAGTATTAAATTAACATTAACACACGAATAGATTAATAAAGGATCAATGTAAAGTGGTCAACACAGCAAAAGAGGAGTGCATCAAGAAGTATGAACATGATTTGAATTTGTACACCAGGATCAGATCTCAAGTATCCAACTTTGCACCTATAGGAGATTTCGGACAATGCTGCTTTGTTATTTTTTCCTTATTTTGCCAGCCCTTTGTGTGTCTGTACACCAAAGTGTACCCCTGTAGACCCCTGAAAATGAGACCTGTACAATGTTAGAATTATATGGTTCAAACACTCTGCACTTAAACACATATTCAACTTTGTTAATAAGCTTTTTTGACTGAGTTGTGCTTTTACACTTGATCTACGGTATGTTCCTAATCCCATGAATTCATTGGAATTCATTTTTTTAGGAATTCATTGCTCTTCATCTCAATAAATTATGCTGTGGTTCTGTTTTTTCACATAAACGAACCGAATTTTAAATGTTTTTATAACATATATAATACAAAAAAATGGTTATTTCCTAAGTTCTTTATAGGTTGACTAAATGCATTTTTATCTAAGTGTGTGTGTGCGCGTGTATATGTGTGTGTGTGTGTAAGGAAGAGAAAGACAGAGAGAGAGAGAGAGAGAGAGAGAGAGAGAGAAAGAGGTTACAACACACATTTATAAACTTCTCTAATCACAATTTATTGTTGTTACTGTTGTAAGGGTATGATATTCATTTAAAATTACGAAATTGTATGTTAAAATATAAAAATCATGCTCTGAACCTAAGAATGAGTCTGGAAACCCGATTTCAGAGTTGATTATCATCTTTCGTCCTGACCCTGTTCTCTCATTCCCAGTAGATTTTAATGGAGCTTCATTTGTATGCTGGAGGATATGCACTTTGGACGACCATAGGAACAAATAATTGATTAAAACTTTAAATTTCGACGTCCAATTCTGACGTCTTGTGGACGTCCAAATCGGACGTTGAAATCAGGTCCTCTGGAGGTGCAGAATAAGTTGTAGATAAAAAAAAAAAACATCATAAACGTAACATTTTATAAACACATATGAATATAGTATAGGATAAAAAAGAAATAATAGTGAAAAAAGGTAGCAAATAACAGCGCGTGGGGTGTACCTGGCTCCCGGCCTAAAATGTCAGATATTCATTAAAGACCCCCACTCTTGAAATCTCTTTATGGCATATGGTAATTTTGTATAGTTCTTCAAAACACAATAAAAAAAACCAATGCTTTTCATTGTAACTGGAGATAAATAAATATTATATTAAAAAAACTCAAATTTTCGTATTTTTTTAATCCCGCTTTGTGAGTGGAAACAGCGATCTGCATAAGCCTAACTTTTCGACTCAACAGCTTGTAAAATCGTCCATAAACTTGCAAATCAAACGTTTTCAAAACGTGGAAAACAGAAAGTAAATGTTTCGCCCTCTCTAACAACTTATCTCTCTAGCGGAACCTTTCTGCGGGAGCTAGCGACGGACAGTTCAAGCCGACGGACCCTGGTGTGTTTACACGTGAGAATACTAGAGGGCTGTGATCTGAACCTTCTCCTGGAAAAACTGCTCATGTGTTGTACTCGTTAAAGATAAAGGTTTGTATTTGATCATGTTTTAATGGGTTTAGTCGCTTTTTGAATTACTTTATGTACATTAATCTCCAGCGTTAAAATCATTCCGTCCTCTTCTGTACTTGGCTATGGTTTTGTGAATATACTCTGCATTTCCAGACCTTATTTTAAAATGGGAAAACTAAGGAAGAAACACAACTGGAAGGGAAGACAGCAGAGTGACCCCCAACAACCATCAGATGTGGAGAAGAAGACAGAGATTATTCTGGATCTGAAAGGTGAAACCCAGGAGTTTGCTCTGAAATACCACAGAGACGTGCTGCCTTTCTGGTTCATAACAGTTTCTGGGTTTTGTTTCTTTAGGTGAAGAGAGGCTTAAAGGTGTAGATGAGAGCAACGCTTTGGTCCTACCTGCCAGCAAAGCCAAGAAGCAGAAAGCTTTAGCGACACCTGCTTCCACCAAGAAGCCCCTCACTAAGAAACAGAAGAAAGAGCTGCAGAAGGTTCTGGAGAGGAAGGAAAAGAAAGCTCAGGTGAGAGTCAGAGGACACTATTATGATCCAGTCCATAAGGGGTTGTCTATTAAACCACAAGATCCGTCTGAGCTGTGTTATTGTGTCGTTTTCCGCTGTTACCGACCCTCCATGAAAATATTGGGCCAAAACTAAACAATATAAAGGTCAACCTACCTCTGCCATTGACCTCTTCTGCTGTGTCTCTCATCCAGAGAGCAGATATCTTGGCCAAACTAGCCGAGGTGCAGCTTCCAGAGTCTGAACTGAAACTTCTTTACACCACATCCAAACTGGGAACAGGAGAGAAACTCTACCAGACTAAACAGTAGGTGGACCAGCTCAGAGTTTAGGTGACATAAATTAAAGTCAGTTCAGCAGCTGGAGCACAAACCATAACTCCAGGGTGTTTTGGGTTATTTTCTAGGTCATCAGATGAAGTAAAAGATGGAGAGTCGGGGCCAAAGATCAGCAGCGTCAGTGGAGCGAACAGAAAAAGAAAATGGAAAGATGAAGAAGATGAGGAAGAGGAACAAAAGGGAGAGGAAAGCAGTGACCTGGACACCTCATCTGATGAAGATGAGGATATTGATGAGGAAGTGAATGGGACTGCGGTGGGTGAATCCAAGGAAACCTCCGATCCCCCTGAGAAGGCAGAGGACAAACAGGAAGAGAAGGAAGAGCAACACAAACCAGATCCAGAGGGGCAGAATGAGAAGAAGATCTCAGCTCCAGAGAATAAGACACTGTCACAGCCGGCCATTTTTATACCTGTTGACAGGACACCAGAAATACAGGTGTGTGTCTGTGTGTGAGTGTGTGTGATCACTTCACATAGGAGAAGAACAGCTGTGTGAGATACCGTCAGGTTGTTTAACATCTCTAATCCTCTGCAGGAGGCTCGTCTGAAACTCCCCGTATTGGCAGAGGAGCAGGTTATCATGGAGGCAGTGAAAGAAAATCCTTGCGTTGTCATCTGTGGAGAGACAGGAAGTGGAAAGACCACTCAAGTTCCTCAGTTTCTGTATGAAGCCGGCTATGCCAGGTGTGTTACACTCTGCTGAGGAGCTGGAAATAAACTGGATACTCATCTTAAGATGCAGCTTACATTTTTAGGTCTTTTTCCATGAGCTCACAGACTTTGTCTTCACTGTATTTTCTCCTGCAGTGGCAGTGGGATCATCGGCATCACAGAGCCAAGAAGAGTCGCAGCTGTCAGCATGTCACACAGAGTTGCAAAAGAGATGAATCTGTCCACACGGTAATAAGAATTTGTTGACTGTAGATACTCTGACCATCTACAGAAGCTTGAAAGCAGTAAAAAGCCTATTTATGACATTTTCTTTTTGTCTGGTTATGGAAATATTGAGTTTCTAACAACATTCACTTTTGTGCATCTATGTTTAGGGTGGTGTCATACCAGATTCGATATGAAGGGAACGTGACCTCTGACACAAAGATCAAGTTTATGACAGACGGTGTTTTGCTGAAGGAGATTCAAAAGGTATCGTCTTTGCTTCCCACCGAATTATTTTTAAAAAATCCATATAGAGCGCATGATGGAGAAAGTTTTAAGTGTGTGGTATGTCCATGTTGAGTTTGTTTAAGTGTTTTTAAAAACATCAGTTTACGTCTGTGTTTTATCTTTTGACCAAGCAGACTCTAGACATCATTTTGGACAAAAATTCTGCACAGGTACCATATTTGTGCCTCTGTGCAGAGTTCTTTATACTTTATTTATTGGGGGGATAATGAGAGGGATCAAAGAGCCCCTGTTTTGATTATGAGACACAATGTTTTCACTGTGACATTTTATATAGTTTCAGAAACTCAAACTCAAGTGGAATCTCCTGAGTGGATTTTTCAACCCTTTATTAAAAAGATACGACAGTGGATAGGGTGGTACACTGAAAAAAGAGACAGCCAGTGGTTAGATTTGATCTGTGCATGTGGTTGAACCACTAATCTAAACTGACACCCCTAAAGTTGACTGTTTAGAAAACTTTAAACTATGAAAAACTCAAAAGTAAAATATAGATTATTTTGTCTGTATGCCTTGAATGTTCTTGATGTTTCATCTAAGTTTCCTCATCTCTGTCTTGTCTGGTAGGATTTCCTGTTGCAGAAATACAGCGTGATCATCATTGACGAGGCTCATGAAAGAAGCGTGTACACAGACATCCTCATAGGGCTGCTATCACGAATTGTCCCACTCAGAAATAAGGTAAGAAAATCTGCTTTTTTAAAAAGAATTTGGTGTGTTAAGTTGCACCCAGGTTTTTTTGTTGTTTTTACAGGTATGTATGATACGAGCTTTAACTTTGTTTTGTTAATTTTGAATTCCTGCAGAAAGGTTTACCCATGAAACTGCTGGTCATGTCGGCTACTCTGCGAGTGGAAGACTTCACAGACAACACAAAGCTGTTTCCAACACCCCCACCTGTCATCAAGGTGGACGCTCGCCAGTTCCCCGTCACAATACATTTCAACAAACGCACCCCAATGGAGGATTATACCGGAGAAGTTTTCCACAAAATCTGCAAGATCCACCGGATGCTGCCTCCAGGTTTGCATGCACACAGACACGTTTCAGAGATTTTGTACTTGCAGTAAAAATTTTTATTTAATGTATGAGAAAAATCACCAACAAAAGGTCACATTAAGATCAGCAAAAAGGTTTCATGTCAATGTCCTTACATTTAATATTTGTTTAAAATTATGAATGCAATCATTGTGAATTGCAAGTATTCATGACAGCCATAATTGCCAAAACGTGTCCCTTCACTATTGCTCTGATTTGTGTCCCTCAGGTGGTATTTTGGTGTTTCTTACGGGTCAGGCAGAGGTCCATAGTCTGTGCAGAAGACTCAGAAAAGCTTTCCCTTTCAGGAAGGGGAACATAACCACAGGTAAGTGTAACACCCTCGAGCCTTTGACACAGCTCTGATTAGAGTTCGTTCTGGATACAAACATATCTTTGTTTTTAGGTGAAGATGAGGAAGCAGACACTTCAGAGGCCATGAGGAAGTTTAAGAAAGCCAAACAGAAGAAACCTGTTGTAAGTCCACTAAAAAAAAACGCCCAGGAAAGCCTCTGACCTTCATTCTAGATGGACATTTCTTACATCTGTGCTATACTTCAAGAGTGTTATCTCTGTCTCCAGTCTTTGCCCCGAATCGACCTGGATAATTACTCCGCCCTTCCAGTGGATGAAGGAGACGAGGATAGAGAGGCAGGGATCGGAGATGAGGAGGATGACGGCTCTGATGTGGACATTGGAGATGACCCTGCAGATGGAGGCAAGCCACACCAAATGAATCATTCTCCACCACCAATTTTGATTGTAATCAAAACAAGTGCCATCATTAATTGTCCTTTGTGTTTTGTTTCTGTAGAGGTGAAGGCTGACCCCTCTATCCCTCTCTTTGTTCTCCCTCTGTACTCCCTGCTGGCTCCAGAGCAGCAGGCTAAGGTAAGATTAATAAGGATGTATTTCTACATTACTGACAAATGTAAGTGTGGAGCCATGAGAATGAGTAATGAGAAATATATTTTATTAAGATCTGATGTCAAAAATCACAATGACAAATGTGCAGCTGTGCGCACTGAACAGGTTCATACATATTTGGTGGTGGTGGACGGCTTCTCTCTCTTCGCTGCAGGACAGAAAGATTCAGAAGATCTTTTGTACCCCCAGCCATCAGACTTTACAACTGTTTTATAAATATTAGATTACTTTGGAGACATGACAAATGAGACGACAGACAATTGAATTTCCCTTCAGGATCAATAAAGTTATTCTTATCCTTTTATCAAGTATCCCAAACAGAGTTTCCAAATGTCCAAATGTTTGGGCTTATGCCATAGCTGCTGACTATTTTAACTTCACAGATCACAGATGTTTGCTGAGAGTAGTCTCAAAGCACCTTGATCTGAGGATGTAGAGGAAACACCTCAGGATTTTACATTACAGAGTAAACTAATAAGATAAGAGTACAGACTCTTGCTGTCTTTAATAAAATGCTTATAATCTTCAAGGTAAAAAGCAGTAATGTCTAAAGTGAAGTCCTTGTGACACAATAGGCCACAATAAAATAACTTTTACTAACATCATGAGCATGTGCGTCATCCATCTGCAGGTGTTCAGGCCTCCTCCAGCTGGGACTCGTCTTTGTGTGGTGGCCACCAACGTTGCCGAGACGTCTCTGACCATCCCTGGAATTAAGTATGTGGTCGACTGTGGACGAGTTAAGAAGCGTTTCTACGACCGAGTGACCGGAGTGTCTTCTTTCAAGGTCACATGGACCTCACAGGCGTCAGCCAATCAGAGGGCAGGTAGAGCAGGACGAACTGAGCCAGGACACTGCTACAGGTGTGGATATTTTCAAACTGTATGACTATGTGTAAAATAATGAGGTTTTTTTTTTGTGCCTGAGGAGGATGCTCACATGAGTTTGCTTTCTGTCTCTGTGACTTTGGTGCAGGTTATACTCCTCTGCTGTTTTTGGAGACTTCAGTTTGTTCTCAGAGGCAGAGATCACTCGCAGACCTGTGGAGGACTTGGTTTTACAGATGAAGGACCTCAACATAGATAAAGTCAGAATAAGTATAAAACAATGAACTCACATTATGAGCAGGCTTGTTACTGAAATGCTGCTGAATGCAGGAAAAAAAACAGCCTCATTATGAGTTCTTCTTGCCTTTTCTGCAGGTGGTTAATTTCCCGTTCCCCACGTCTCCTTCTGCTGAGGCTCTGGTTGCAGCGGAGCAGTTGCTGGTCTCATTGGGAGCTCTAAAAGAGCCGCCTCACACCGGGAGGTGACTAATGTTTTCATGATGTGTATTTACTTGCTCCAAACAAAATCTCCGTAATACCAGGGTCACATAACTATTTATGCCAACAGTTTTGTTGAAGTTTCTTGCATGACACTCGAAAGTTTATCAAAGCTATTTCCTGGTAACTTGATTATCATTTAGCTAAATTTAAATAGTTTACAGTGATATTACATGACCTCAAATTACTTTTTTGCAACTTGAAGGTTAAAAGAGATGAAGAGAGCAAAGCTGAGCTGTCCCATCACCTCCCTGGGCAGAGCTATGGCTTCCTTCCCTGTGGCTCCACGTTATGCTAAAATGTTAGCTCTGGGTAAGCAGCAGGATTGTCTACCATATGTCATCGCTGTGGTAGCCGCCATGACAGTCCGGGAGCTCTTTGAAGATCTGGACAGGTGAGATTGAACTTCTAGTAGATTTTTTTTATATCAGTGAATAGATACATTGGTTAAAGTGAGTATATTTTATTTTACCTAAATAGAAAACTGTAAAATCAACACTTTAACACCATTAATGGTCTCTCTTTTCTCCTCAGACCTGCAGGAAGTGAAGACGAGAGCTCCAAGCTCACCCAGCGTCGAGCTCGTCTCACTCAAATGAAGAGGTTGTGGGCTGGGCAAGGAGCATCACTCCTGCTGGGGGACCTCATGGTCATGCTAGGTGAGTTTGCTTTTTGTAAAGTCAAATATCAGCAGGGTTGTAAAACATTTACTAATGGTGATACACTGCTTTTTTTTTTGTTTTTACATATGTTGACAGGTGCGGTTGGTGCTTGTGAATTTGCTGGCTGCACCCCAAAGTTTTGCGAGGAAAATGGCCTGAGGTACAAAGCCATGGTGGAGATCAGGAGGCTCAGAGGACAGCTTACCAACGCAGGTACACACACACACACACACACAAGCACATACTCAACCTTACACAGTGATGTGCTACGGAAACCAAATATGCTCATGTGCTCTCTTTCCAGTGAACACTGTATCTCCAGAGGTGGGAGTGTTTGTGGATCCAAAGATGGCTCCCCCGACAGAACACCAGGTGGTCTGCTTACGTCAGATTGTTCTGGCTGGACTGGGAGACCATCTTGCAAGGCGTGTGCAGGCAGAAGATATCCTGGACCCAAAGTGGAGAAATGGATACAAGGCAAGTTAGTCAGTGGGAGTGTGTTTGAGATCAAAGAGGGTCTGCAGTGCTCTCCTTCACTTCCTCATCTTGAATCTGTTTCTGCTCATAGACGCCTCTCATGGATGAGCCAGTGTTTATCCATCCCACCTCTGCACTGTTCAAAACTCTGCCAGAGTTTGTCGTCTATCAGGAGATCATGGAGACCACCAAGATGTACATGAAGGGTAAATGAGTTTTATTAAAACTTGTCAAGTATCTTTTCGGGACGAAGAAAAAAGAATTAAAAAACACAGGAACTTTTTCTGAACTTTTTTTTTCAAATCCAGGAGACAGTTTGAGGAAATAACATTAATGTTGCACGGGGATTCAAGCAAGGCTGACATTATATATAATCATTGTTGCATTTATAATTTTTCAGTGAAAACCCTGAAATCGGTTATTCGAGGTTCATACAGTTGGTAGTTAGGAGTAAAACCGGTCCTCCTCAAGAAAATATGTAATGATGGTGAGGACTTGGACTCAATTTAAATTCTTTTTTGGTGACCCAGACTTCGACTTGAACGTGGGATCTTATAGGGTCTCCTTGGCTTTTACAGTCGGCCTCAAGTGGACTCTCAAGGAACTGCAGCTACTGACACAAACACAATGGCTTCATTTTTAATGGGTTGCTGTGTGGTCAAAATTCACTCTCTTTCTCAGAGTTCAAACAAAGTTGTAGTTAGACAGGGAAATGAGACTCGAGATTCACCATCATAGAATTTCTTCATTATTACAGTAATACAGTAGAACATCTGCAAATTCCAAGTGTTAACACTTGTACAACTAAAAACATTTGGTTTAATAGAAGTAGTGACAATAAGGCTTTTCTTGAGTAGATGTGCTGCTGCAGTGATTGAATCTGTGTTTAATGTTTTAACGTGGTGAAATTCTTTCTCCCCGTCAGGTGTGTCAGCAGTCCAGGCAGAGTGGGTCCCCCAGCTTCTGCCTCAGTATTGTCATTTCAGCCCCCCGATGGAAACACCATCACCATGGTTCTGCTCATCCACCGGCACCATCAGGTGTCACCGTGCAAGCACCTTCTGTACGTTCACAGCTGAGGACTTGTGAGGTAGAATAGATGGTCTCTTTTCTATATTAATTCATTTGATTGTGTCCCTCCTTCAGTCCGTGTTGGGTGGCAGCTGCCAGCAGTGGAGCAGGAGTATCCAGACGGTCTGGAGCGCTACAAACTGTTTTCAAGGTTTCTGCTTGAAGGACAGGTACGGCAGATACAAATTTTTATTAAAACAGTTATACAGTCACACGAATACACCTTTTAAGCCAAGTGTTGGAATGATAGTTTTGTCTGTCCTTTGCAGGTTTGTCCCAAACTTAAGAAATACAGTGCCCACCTTCTGTCAAACCCCTCAATCATGCTGAAAACATGGGCTAAGTGAGTTGATGCTCCCTCACACATGACTGTCTATGAAGCATGTCTCTGTTTTTGGTTATCAAGTTATTTTGTTCTCAAAAATGAACTTTCTCATTATGATGTGTCTTTGCTGCTTCAGGCTGCAGCCCAGGACAGAGGCCGTGCTGGAAGCGCTGGTGAAAAAGAGAGTAGACAGCAGAGACGCTCTCCTCACAGTCTGGAAAACTGAAGATAAATGTGAGGACTTACTGTGTGAGATTTTGGTACCAGAGTCTAATTTGATCCACCTTATTGTTCTTTAATGGTGTCCCTCTTTTTTTGTCTCCTCCTACAGATCTGTTGTCCACATACTGCCAGTGGTTACCTGAAGCCTTACATCAAGAAGTGGCCAAGAGTTGGCCCCCGATATGAAGACTGAAAAGAAAGCAGAGACAGTTTTGGTGCTCTTGAAATATGTTGACCTATGTTGACCTATGGACTGATATGAAAGGATTTATGGGCTTCTTTAGACTTTTCATATCCAACACCACAACCCAACCTTTTGTAACATTTGTATTTTGTATAATGCATCTTTTACTTGTACAGATTTTGTTTTAAAAAGGACAACTTCACAGAACTTCTTACCTGTAAACACTGGCTGCTGTCATTTGTTTGTCTTACTTCATAAGACTCATTAAATCTGTGGCTCTGTGTGAAAATAAAACATGCTCTTCTGTAATTGTTGTTAAGTGAGAGTATAGGGCAGTTTACCAGTCTCAAGGAATACAAATATCAGTATAATCACATGAGCAATCCCCAGACAAGTCCTGTAAAGTGAGGTGATATCTCTATGGATTGGAATTCTTTGTACAGCACATCTCACAAATACTGTTACTGTGGACTTTGGCATAGGATTTCTCAAAAAGAACACTGTAAAACTATTTTGCAGTTCTTTTGCAGGTAGTTTATGATGCCCTGAGTCAAAATACATGTTACTAATTGACCACTTATAGAAGATTTTGTTTTTAATGAACTTCAAAGTCTGAGAAATCAATTGCTAAACTTCTGTAGTCGTAGAGGTAAAAAAAAAAAAGCAAGCAAGGCCAGGCAAACTTGTAGTTTAATGGTGAAGGCGGCTGAAAGACAAACAGGATCAGGCTAACCTGTGGTGTAGTTGCAAAGGTCCCTGCCTTTCCCTGGGTTTAAGATTACAATGTCATTTAGCAGACACTTTTATCTGAAGAGATGTACATGCAAGTTATACACCAGTGGAGGACACACACTGGGAGCAAGGTGGGTTAAGTGTCTAGCATAAGGATGCAATGGACAGACTTGGGATAGGGGGGAATTGACCGCCAACCTTCTAGTTATTGGACGACCACTCTACCTCCTAAGCTACTGAGTTTCAAATCAAGAACAGGTCCTCACATGTGAGCAAGATAAAAATGCTGTCCTCAACTATATGTAATACAATGTTTTTTTTACTTTAACCGTCAAAAACTAGAAGGGATCATGACTGATGAAATCAATAAAAAAGCATGGGAAAATGAACAGGAAAAAACAGTCCTACATCAAAGAAAAAGACTGAAATTAACATTGATGCTTTATAAAATATGACATCCATAAGCAAGCAAGACCAACAGAGACATGACCGATAGTTTTTATTTCACAATTTTGATGCCTGAAAGAGGGGATATGTGTCAGCCTAGCAGATGGATAAACATTCCTGTTTTCACAGTTTCCTCATGAAATATTCACAATTAATAATGTATTTGACAGTTAAATGTCAGCAGGATGAGGTTTCTTGTAAGAAGACATCACTAATGTATGAAGAGGGCAAAATAAGCAAAGACTGCGAATAGTTTTTTATAGGAAAATATGCAGCTGTTATGCAAATTGAGCGAACTAAAAATAGTAACACTTGAATAACAGATGGGTGGTGAGGTAACGTCTTTGTTTATCATGAAATAACTCCAGTTTTAATTCACACACTCAATTAACCAGCATCGCCTCAATCAATCTGCCAATGCGATTCACCATCGGTCAACATCTCAAATCCTAAAGCATTATTTAGTCTGACAGAGGGTAAAAATGATCAGAGATGCTGTGCTGCTGTATGTTTTTGCAGTGGGCGGGGCTTAAACGCTGATGGCTACAAAACAGCAGCGTCATACGTCACCTTTCAAACTCCAGTACTGGACCAGCGATCATGACAAGCCAGACCTGAACAAGGCTTCAACTATGCTCTGTGTACACCTACAAAAGGTATTTCAACCATTTTAGGAATCTGTGTGCCACGTTGACGCGTGTTTTTTTAGCGTTTAGTATAACCGCAGCCGCACATTCAAGACAAACTCTAAAACAAACATGAACGCCAGCCGTTGCTAGCTGTGCAACCAGCTAGCCGTTAGCTGCCACAGATAACAAGCTAAATAGCTGAAGTTTACAGTAACGTCAGCAACCGTTGCCAACTGTATTATCTATTTAATTTTGGTGGCGTGGTAGCTTCTTGAGAGGTAGAGTTTCACGTCCTTAACCCGAAAGAGGAAGCTTTCATGTTGGAGGCAAATCAATCAGTAGAAGCTAGCCAGCTAGTTTATGCTAGCACCATGCCATAACAGGCTGAGAGTCAGCTGAAGTGTTTGCTAGTGTTTCACACAGACAGGTCACTTTAGTTAGTGTGTCTGAACGGAACCATTCATAGTGATTAACGTGACTGTGATGTTATATAAAAGGAGAAGAGGTAAAACTGGATAGACCAGCGTTAGAGCAGCTTACAAGGAGTTGTCAGATGGTCAGCTAAGAACTGAGATAAGTCAGTGTTGAATAATAAAAGTCATTGAACATGGACCAGGAAACTGTTCTGTGGTCTGACAGATAAGAACATACAGCTGAGAAGGCTCCTTTTTAATAAGTGACAATATTTACAGGGTTTGGAGCACAGTTTGCTGCCGTCCAGATAGGGCTGGGCGAAATGAGAAAAAGTTCATCACGATATATTTTTTTCATATCAGTGGATATCGATTTATAACACGATATAAAAAATGAAATTGAACAGTGCTTATTGGTAGCATGTCTTTTGCAATACAACAAGCTACTGCATCTGTGAGGTCTTTGTGATCTTTGAATGGTCGGCTGTTTCGGCTGCACAGGTGTCACCCATAGACTGTATATACTATGGACAACTTTGTTCCGCCTCCCACCTGTATATGGATTTGAAGCCAAAAAGCTCTCTGTATTTCTGGGATTTTTCTTCATTTCCTGAAACCAGCGCTGCGCATTCGGCGGGAGAGTCGCCATGATGACGCTCGGCTCAAACAGCGTATCCCCCGGGAGAGCTACGCAATCCCTGAACGCCAGTAGGCTGTATCAAGTGTCAATCAAAGAAAACATGAACCCCCTAATAACTTTTAAAAATGGAGCTTCACAGAAAAAAGAGGACTTGAGCACAAAACAGTCATACCGTAACTACATGTCAACATCTCAAGCAGGAGGGACAAAAATTTATGTTCTGTGTAATAAATTTCTAAAGTTTGTCCACATCTCCATAAGCTTTGCTGGCGGAGGCGGGATTTATGACCTTTACTGCAGCCCGTCACCAGAGGGTGCTGTTCTCGGAGTGGCTTCACCCAGCGAGGAGGCAGACTCTGTCAATTCTATATACAGTCTATGGTGTCACAGGCTCCTTGCTCCTTGCTCGGGGTTTGTAACCTTTTGCATTGCGCGTGCTCTGCCGTGTGGCACTGCTTCAGGTGGTGAAAAAGATTTGAGGTATTCCCTAACTTTGCGGGAACATGTACTCAACATAAGTTGCAGTGCACATTACTCTGCTCCGTGTCTGACCTCAAAAAAACAAAATATTTCCACCGATGTTTTGGTGCCAATGTTGTAGACAATGTCATCATCTCATGAGCCTTTTCTGCTGGAGGTAGCACTCATTTTCATTTTCTTTTATTCTCTCCGACAGTGCTGTCAGCTTTACATGTTAAAGTGCTATGGTTGCATGTAGCTGCAGCCCGCTACTGCGCAGTTGTTTGCTACTTGGTTCTAATTGATATTGATATTGAGGGGAATTAATTTTTGATATATATCATTATCGTTTTATCGCCCAGCCCTATATACAGGTTTTGGTTACAATTTGCTGCCATCCAGACCCTGTCTTTATCAGGGAAGATGCTGTTTATTACAGCAAAATAAAAGCCTAACCATTTTGCATGAGTTACAACACCATGGTGTGCTAAAGTGGTCCGCCTGCAGTTCTGACTTAAATCCTATACAACAGTTTAACTTGTTGTCCAACCCTACTATTTCCCAATTAACTGAAATTTAATTCCCCAGTTTTAGCATAAAACCGTTATGGAAAACTCGGGCAGGCCATATCGAGCCAGGCAAGGCGGCTGGGAAAGGGGAGCAGCCTCAGACAAAGCAGAAAGCTGGAGGACCCAGGACCACGGACGAGGACAGAACTACAGATCAGATGGGGGTCAGCAGGGCAGGAGCCATAGCGGGCCATACCGGGCCAGTCCCAAGAAGGGAGGGCTGGGGCCCATGAGTTTTTCCCCTGGTGGCTTCAGAGGAGGTCACAGCCCCTCACACAGCGATGAACCGCGGTGGTACTCTGGTCCTGGGAACAGTGGTGGAAGTCGGGAAGATAACTGGAGAGAACGCTCACAGCAGCAGCACTGGAGGAGGAGTACCCAGGGAGAGGGTCCAAGAGAGGACAGAGAGGACAATGAAAGTGGTCCTAACAAATCAGGTGAGGGCTTGAAAATTAGCGTCATTAAAAAATTGAACACTGTCTTTACTGTCATCATTACAACAATAATCTGGGGCCGTCTGTTAAAGACAACAATATTTACACACACTTTGGCACCAGTTCTCAAGGATGCAGGCTGCTGTACAATCAATCCTAGTTTGATTCTGACTGGAGGAACTGGTCATACTCAACCATCGAGCACATGTTTGCACTGCTGATAAGCTTGACATTTTAAAAAAAATCAGCAAGTAAAATTTTAACGCATTGTTTTTTGGTTTTAAAGGGAAAAGACGAAGAAACAGAAACAAGAAAAAGCCTTTTCCCGAAGAGAGTAGAGGTCATGAAGAGTCCACGCTCTCCGCCACAGAGCTGCGCAGCTTACGGCAGACAGAAAGGCGACTTAACAAAGAAGAGATCTACTCCTTGAAGAAGGTACATTTTCTCAAATTATTGTTAAAAAGAGACTAGAAACAAATAAAAACAGATTATTTTAAAAGTAAATATTTTTATTTTTGGACTTTATCAAGTTAAATTTTTAAAACAAATGCTGGTTCCAAGATTGTGTAAAACTTTATATCTTTTATGCAAGTACAATTTGTCAGTCATTTTGGTCAGTGTTACAGATTTTTTTGAGCTTATGAACTGCTGCTGACTTACAAACACTTGTAAAATCTTGATGTTTTATGATACCTGTACTTGTCTCCCTGTTGAATTCAGAGGTCTCAGAGTAACCCTGCTGCGCTGTACACCTGTACTCTGTGTGACATTCTCCTGGAATCAGTGTCTGATGCTTACAGGCATATCAGAGACAAACGGCATAAGAAGAGGGCCAGGGTGAGACATGGTTTTATTGTGCATCAAAGCATCAAAACAATTACACTATATGTTCTCAGTCAGGTAGTGTTGCTCTGATGCCATTCCGCCTCAATGTCCTGCATGTTTGTTATCCTTTAAAACCTGTTGTAAATGTGTATGTGTTTGCATCTCCAGGAGAGGCAAGAGCAAGTGATGCTGACGGAGATTCTGCCTCCTGGTCCAGAGCACATCAGTGCTGTGAGTGCCGCACTGGAAGTTGTTATCCGAGAACACGGGCTGAATGACGAGGATGTTGAGAAGAGACAGAATGTTGTCTCCGTCATGCAAGACCTTCTTCTGTCCGTCCTGCCCGGTAAGTTAGGCACCCAAGGAGGTTGTGATCTGAATTCATCCTGATGGTGACATTTCTGTCCAGTACTCTGGCTCGTTCTTCTTAACATTCATTTACTCAAAATGACTGTCTTCTGATTTGTGTCACTTTTAGAGATCAGGCTCAGGCTTTATGGATCATCTTGCACAAAGTTTGGATTTAAGGATTCTGATGTCAACATTGACATCCAGTATCCACCTCATGTGAGTAGCCTAGTGTGTCTGATATCACCTGAAAGCAATCTTTTTTAAAAAGACAAGAGTAGTCCACCTCAATAAACGACAACATTTCCTTCTTCTACTATTAGATGTAATTATAGTATATGCATTGAATGTGTTTGATGTGAGTTGGACACTCTGTTTGCAGATTTTCATTTTATATTGCAGTTATCTTACACAGAAGTTTTTCAACTACTTGTATCCACAGATGCATCAGCCAGATGTCTTGTTGTCGGTCAAAGAGACCCTCTCTGTGAGCCGTGAGTCACCTCCTACTCATTTATCAGCAAGAATTTTCCTCGCTCCACTCGAGGAAACTTTGTCACGCGCTTGAGTATTATGGAAGTCTGAAAACTGTCATTGTTTCCACAGCGTTGTTTGTTGATCTGGAAGCTGATTTTCATGCCAGAGTGCCAGTGGTCATCTGCAAAGAGAAAAAAAGGTGGGTGTGAACAGCACTTTCTCATAGTATAGAAATCCTCCAAATACAGACAAAATACTTTGATCTGGTTTTATTACAACATGCACAAGAGCAATCGCTAATGAAAACTGACTTTTTTTTTCCTACAGCGGTCTGATCTGCAAAGTCAGTGCAGGGAATGAAAATGCCTTCCAAACCACCTCCTATCTCTCTGCTCTGTCCAGTCGGGAGCCTCTCGTCCTCCCACTGGTTTTGGCATTCAGACGCTGGGCTCAGGTATAACACTCGAATCTGTGAGCCAGCCAATTACTAGAGTCCTGGAAGAAAACAGGAGTTTTTAAAACATGACATTTTGTTTTTTAACACTGTTCCCCCTCTTTCTTTCATAGATCTGTGAGATTGACCGTGCAGAAGAAGGTGGGCTGCCACCGTACATCTTTGCCCTCATGGTTATCTTCTTCTTACAGCAGCGTAAAGAGCCCCTCTTGCCTCCCTACCTAAAACAAGAGGTGTGTTTCTTTTCATGGTTTTTCCTGAAACAATAATTGCAGCCCTTATTTTGGTGTTTTTTTCCTAGTTTAACCAAATCATCTGACTGTCCTTTTTTAGATCAAGGTGTTTTCACTTAGCAGGCTGTCAGACTTCAATCTCACGCATGTGGAGGATGGATTTGTACACTGGACCTATACACCTTCCTCCAAAGAGTCCTCACAGCCAACAGAGAGCTCCACTATAAAGGGAAAGGTAATCATGAAGACACAAATATTGTTGTGTGTGAGAGGAGTGTGTTGGTTCCTTTTATCAAAGAAATAGTATCAAGTTCTATCATTCGAAATATCTTCAAACTTAGTAACATCAAATAGTTCCTGAAACTGATAGTGAAGGTACTTGTGTGTAAAAGCATAAGCTGTATCTTCTGGTTCTTTGCAGGTTCCACTGGTGTTTCAGAGTCCTCACCAACCTGTAGAAGTTGGACTCCTCTGGGTTGAAATGCTCCGCTTTTACTCTTTGGAGTTCAACATTGCTGACAATGTGATCAGTGTGCGAACGAGTGCAGTCCTCTCGAGGGAGATGAAAGACTGGCCAAAGAAACGCATCGCTGTGGAGGGTTAGGAAACTTCTTCTTCTCATGAACTTAGAAGATTTGTCACTCTTGACTTCTGACAAAAATCATTACGGATTTCATGCATCAAAAATGCTAAACACCTACTTTTACAGCTGTTGCATGGCTCACAAATCAGGCATCAGCTTTAATTATAAAACAGAAAATGAGGTTGCAGTTTGACAAGTTTGCCAACATGACAGATAATAAGTTTTGCTTTAGCACTGTAAAAAAAATGCCATTGCCAGCATGAGTGAGCACACCTATGCAGTGTTCCTACCCAGAATGAAGCAGTATAACTTAAGTATGTATTGTATGTAATCAATCAAATGTTATTTATATAGCGCCAAATCACAACAGTTGTTATCTGAAGATGCTTCCAAAAAAAAGATCAGGTCTAGACCACGCTCATTGTTTGATAAATTACCAAGACCCAACCCTGAGATGGGACAGATTTGACCCATCTCAACTAACATGAGTGACAGTGGGAAGAAAAAAACTTCCTTTAACAGGAAGAAACCTTGGAGAGGACCAGACTCATGTTAGCCAGCTACCTAGCCACTGCAAGGGAGAAATACAGACAGGGAGGGAGAAAGAGACGGGAGTAGGAGGGGGGGAAGGAGAGGGAGAACAGGCAAGGGAGAGGGAGGAAGACAGAAAAGATAACGAGTGTGGGAGAGAGCGAGAGAAAGGGGACAGCAATGTATTTCATGATGTGTTGATGCTGTTCATACTTTTTATAAGTAGAAGTTTTCAAAGGGAAACATCTGCACGCTGTCCAACTTGCAAGGAAAGGTAAAATTAATTGGCAACATTTTGATACTAGACCTCCATCAGTAGACTAGACTTTGCCTGATAAAGGTCTAGTACTGAAACATTACAGATAAATTTGACCTTTGCGAGTCAGACAGTGTGCAGGTGTTTCCTTTGAACCATTTGCTGGATACCCTGCTTTCTGTTGCACCTGTTCTAAATAGTAGATGTCCAAAGTACCCCGTCTATAAGTAAAAGTTTTAAAATTGACAGTCTTGCTTATAATGTTCGAATTTGACATCACCGTTTCGTCTTTCAGACCCTTTTGCCGTGAAGAGAAATGTGGCCCGCACAGTGAACAGCCAGCAGATGTTCGAGTACATCGTCCACTGCCTCAAAACTACATACAAATACTTTGCACTGCCTACTGATGGCCAGAAGACACAGGCTCAGCGTGGTTCAGTTAAAGGGGCGAACGCTCAGGCTTTAAATGAAGACATCGTTTCAGATTTCAGTCAGCTCGGCGTTCAGTCCCAACATGAAGCTAAAGCTGTAGAAAATGGTCCTGAAGACTCTGACTGCATCATTGAGGAAGAGGAGGAGGTTGAAGAATACAGCGACTCCGATGAAGAGAGGGAGAAGGAAAAAGTGGACCTGGGAAAAAGCAGTCTCTCTGAGGATGAAGAGGATGAAGACGTTGAAGTGGATGTGGACACGCATACCAGACAACACCTGGACAGCTTCACCACAGAGGACGAGGAGATTTTCCCAGTGGATGAGATCTCAGGAGAGGAGCTTTTGTCCGATGAGGAGGGTCCAGATCTGGACACACCTGGTTCAATGGATGAGGAAGAAGAGGAGGAAGATGGAGAGGGGGAGTTGGCAGCTGAGAATGTTTCGCCTCCACCTTCAGAGAGCGCCAGTAAAGATGGAACTGCAGAAAATAAGAACCAAAAGCAGAAGAAACAATATGTGTTCACGAGACAAGCTTTCACCAAAGGAAAGGTAGGTCAGAACTCAAGATAGTTTTCACTTTACAAGCAGTGGGAGTTCAACTCTCTCTGGAAAACAGTTTATAAGTTCAAACATGAGGATAAGTGATGCAGTAATGTTGGTGGACCAGGAGGGTTTTCATTGTCAGAAACAAACTCAAACTAAGTTTAATCTCTCATAGTCTCACATGGTCGTGTGCAGCTTGTGCAAGCGAGATGGGCACCTGAAGAAAGACTGTCCTGAAGATTTCAAGAAAGTGCAGCTGGATCCTTTACCGCCGATCACCCCAGACTTCCTCAACATCCTTAACAAAGTTTGTGAACAGTGCTACAGTGAGTATTTTTTCTGACTGTGTGAGTGTTTTGGGTCAGAGGCTGGATCACATTAACTAGATTCAAACATGAAAACAGCATCTTGAGTTTTAATCAGCTGAATGTGTCATTGGATTTAGGCCTTGTACACACGTAGCCGTTCAATTTTGTCAACAAATATCCAACCCCCTCTGTTTATTTAAAAAAAAAAAAAAAAAAAAAAAAAAAAGGTCAGGTACACATCGTTTTCAAATAAAATCCCATCCACACAAAACCACAGAAATGTGCTATTGACTGCGGTTATCAGCATGCCAGACCTGGAGTTGGTAGTATTTGCCAAAAATACAAAGAGCAAAATTCCCTTTCTTGTCGTCACTTCCCCAAACATGAAACATAACCCTGTGTATTTAGTTCGTGTAGACTGACAAAGAGGTGGATTAGCTTTTAAGCATCGTTTTGGAGTATAAAGTCAACAAGACACAAGAAACGTGGAGGAAGGGTTATTTGGTGTAAAATAACCAACTGCAACTCCTTCTCCTTTGCTCCTCACAAGAATATATATTCTGGATATATCTGAGCTGTCCACTGCCTGTCTTAAACAAGGACACATAGTATATGATGTCTATCTATTAGTTGTCGCGGACAATGATGTTTTGGAATTTAAAACTCAGATTATCTATTTCTTCAAAAGCTTCACTTTGGCCGGAATTTTCCAAAAGCACCTTTTTTTAATAACGTAATCCTGCTGTTTTGTGTGGATGGCAAACCAAAACGTATAAGAATATATTTGTTTTAGCAAATACCCATCAACATGTGCACAAGGCCAAAGAAAATGTATGTAATTACATCCTGATGAATGTCACCTGTTGATGAAGCAGCAAGATTGAGCAGTAACAGCGCCCCCATACGTCTATACAAGGCAAACAACTAGTACACTACGGGTGGCTGGTCCTGTGGTCAGAAAGATCTAGGTTGTCCTCATACTCTGCAATATTTATCATCCAGCCATCCATTTTCTATACTGCTTATCGGGGTCAAGGGTATTATATTTATTATTCTACAGCAAATAGCTCAACCTTCTAATCCATATGTAGATATACAAAATACATTTCCTAGTGGCATTTTTCTAGACGGTCTCTTACTGAATGAACCAACAAAAAGAAAAGAAGTTTGATAAAACAATTACAATAAAGAGGGGGTATCTGTTTCCTTTCCAGCTGACTTTGCTCCAGATGAACTTGAAGTGGGTGTCAGAGAGCACATCCTGCAAGACCTGGAAACCTTTGTCAGGAGACAGTTTGCAGGTAAAGAAAACCACTACGTCTGTCTCTGAAGCATCTTCATTTGTGTTTAGATAATGATCATGCAGAATTAGCCATGAAGATGATGGGCCTGTGAGTATATGTTATTACATATCTGTCGGATGTTCTCTGATGAGCAGGAGCTCGGCTTCAGCTGTTCGGATCATCTAAGAATGGCTTTGGGTTCAGACAGAGTGACTTGGACATCTGCATGGTGCTGGAAGGTCAAGAAACAATTGATGTAAGTTTTTTTTCTTATGGCAAGTTTAATCTGCATGAGGAGACTTTTCTTTGTTATAGAAGCTTTAGGTATCTTCTTGTTTAACTTAAACTAATAATCAAACTCTACAGGGTGTGTAGATTTAACTTTTGTAAGAAATTAAAGTTTGGCTTCATCAAACTCATAATTCAGGAATGATTGAATTTGATTCATTGGTGGACAGAGTAAAGATTTATTTATTTGTTTGAGCTGGAATGACATCCAACAAATGTTCCAGTCTAAATAATGTAGTCTTTCCCTTAACCCCCCCAGGATGTGGACTGCATCAATATCATTGAGAGCTTGGCGCGACTGCTGAAGAAACACCCAGGTTAGTTCAGTGGGTTTTATGTAGGCAGTCCAAGACAAAAAACTTTCCATAGATTTGATTTATCTTGATTAACTCGGGTCTCTTGTGGCATATCGTCTGAAGTTTGAGCGCATTATAGATGAAAATATGTGAATAAACATCTGTGTATTTGAACTATCTGTCAACAGGTCTGAAGAACATCCTGCCCATCACCACAGCCAAAGTACCTATTGTGAAGTTCTACCATATTCGCACTGGTCTAGAAGGAGACATCAGCCTCTACAACACTCTGGTAAGGCTCATTCTCTCTAATAAATTCCTAAAATGCCATTTGGCCTCAAATTTGGGATGCTTGAAGAAAAATGTTTCTGTTTTAGGCTTTACACAACACACGCCTGCTGGCTTCATATGCTGCTATCGACTGGAGAGTAAAGATTCTCTGTTACGTGATGAAGGTTTTCGCCAAGGTAAGAATGCTTTATATACTTAAAGCTCCTCACTTTGTATGCCCTCACTCTGATTTAATAACTTTATATTTTAGTGCCAAACCTATTTTCATCCTTTTTTCAGATGTGTGACATTGGCGATGCTTCGCGCGGCAGCCTCTCGTCTTACGCGTACACCCTCATGGTGCTGTTCTTCCTCCAGCAGAGAAACCCACCCGTTATCCCCGTGCTGCAAGAGGTACTATTGATAACTTTGGAGAGCAAAATATTAGCTCAATCATTCATTTAAATTTCAGTTTTTTCAGCTTAGATTTTGAAATGTTATCAAACAGAAACAGTTTCTCTAACAGCCCCGTATGCTCTGAGTGAATAAAGAGTGTTTAAGTATTAATCTAAGTAAGTGAAATGTTTTAATTCTTCTGTTTGTGAAACAGATTTACGATGGAAAAAAGAAGCCAGAAATTCTCGTTGATGGCTGGAACGTGTACTTTTTTGATGATTTAAAAGCACTGGTGAGCATCTTCATTTCACACATATTCCATGAGTTGCCATTGTAAATATCTTTATTAAAAACTATGTATATCACAGAGTCTTAAGAACATGCCAACCTTGATTCCTTCTCGCTGCAGCCCAGCCGCTGGCCGCAGTACAGGACCAACACGGAGACGGTGGGGGAGCTGTGGCTCGGCCTGCTCTGCTTTTACACTGAGGACTTTGATTTCAGGGAGCATGTGGTCTGCATCCGTCAGCACAGCCGCCTCACCACCTTTAACAAGCAGTGGACGTCCAAGTACATCGTCATTGAAGGTCAGCTTGTAGAACACACTCAGGGTGCAGATGTTTTATAAGATAAAAACATGCAAGAACAAAAATGGAACAGGATTTTGTGGGACTACATTTAGAAGTTGGATAAAAATAATTCTATGACATGTTTTTTTTTTTTTTTTTTTTTTTTAAGATCATACCAAGCTTCTACTTGTTTGAGTTGATGCAGCTTTCTAAGACAATCACATCAACTCTGTGTGGAATATTAGAATTCCTAAAATAGTTTTGCCTTCTCTGTCCTGCTCACATTACAGATCCATTTGACCTGAATCACAATCTTGGTGCTGGTTTGTCAAGGAAAAGTAAGACAGTTTCTGTTCATCTATCACTTTTCTAATGTAATCTTTCTTTACCTCTTCAACTTTCCTTTCCTATTTTAATTGTCTTTTACTTACTCCCTTTTGTTTTTGTTTTTTGTGCTCAGTGACAAACTTCATCATGAAGGCTTTCATCAACGGCCGAACAGTGTTTGGCACACCTGTCAGAACCCTTCCTCCTGTGTACCCTAGTCAGATGGTCAGTATTTGCTCTGTAAACTCAACATTACCACATTGAGGAAGCATAATCTGGGGATTGACATTGTGGCTTTATATTTCCCAGGAGTATTTCTTTGACCCTGAAGTCCTGACTGAGGGAGAAGTGGCTCCAAACGACCGCTGCTGCCGGATCTGTGGCAAGATTGGCCACTTCATGAAGGACTGCCCTTTGCGTAAGAAGTAGGTGAACTCACAAGAACTGTCTAAATAAGTCGCACAGTTTAAGCATCTGCACCATGCCTGAAGCGGGGTGTATTTGTAATCTAGATCCAAGCATAGAAGGGACTCTGAAAGAAGACCTGAACACATGCGGGACAGAGTAGATGGAGAGGACGGCATGGATCAGGCCAGACACAAGAGTGATCAGTGGAGGAAAAGAGATGGAATGGAGATGCGCTGCTGCTACCTTTGTGGATCAAGTGCCCACATTAAGAAGGACTGTCAGTTCTACAGAAGCCCTGCAGGTTCAAAATTTCTTGCTTGACTTTTTTATAAAGACATATTTGAGCCTACAAGATGATTTAATAAACTTTTGCAAAAAGTAGGACTTCTTTTGTCTGTGCCGTAGCAGATAAAATGAAGTAAGCCGATATTTAGCGATGTTTGTAAGATAATGGTAAGCCAGTTGTTTTAATTTTAATCTTCTGTTGTCATTTGGCAGGTAATATGAGAATGGAAAACTATTCCTCACCATCTTCGGCCCACCTGAGGAATTTGAGAGAGAAAGAGAGACAGGTACGAACTTAAAAAACCCTGAATTTGAAATGCATAATAAAATAGTCTGCAGTTCACAGCTTTGCAAACCAAACACCTTTGACCTTGTTAAACTTTCTTCTTCAGGGTTTGCCAATACAAGAAGAAAAGAAGAAGAGAAAGCAGCAAAATGTGATACTGAGTCCACAAGCAGGTATGTATTAATACAAAATTCTCCACCACATCTGTCTTCAAAACACAATTTTCTGTAAAGGGATGAAGCTTTACCTGCAGAATATGGTCTTCAACATAAAGATGTGCACTTGTTCGTCTAAAATGACAGAATTTTTTTAGTTTGATTTTGAGCAAACTGTTTTGTTTCAGGGTTAGTCACGAGGGACAGTGAGAGCGAGAAATGTTCAGAGCAGCAGGTCCAGGTTTTTCCATCTTCCTTTGCACATTTCAGATCAAATTTGCTAAATATTTTGTTCATTTTAGTTGCTGTGCTCTGTTTGTCTGTCTTGTTCTCTGAACTCTCCAAGCGCACATTCTGTAAGCCTTGATATTGTTTGAAAAAAGCAGCAAAAAGCAAATACAGAAGTCATTTAATCAGGGCGATCTGTCAGGTTTTCTTTCAGCCTGGTAAGACAAGCTGTGTGTATTAGTGTACTTAAGTGAGTTGTAAGTGTTGACAATCCCATACTGGTTTGTTTCAGGAAGTTTAGCCTGCCGAAACTTGGGTCGCTCTGGTCACAGGAAAAGCCCGGTGGAATGATCAGCAGCTGTGGCTACACAGACCGTAAGGTTCCACTCCTGTCCAGGCAGAGAGCAGCCACAAGTCCAGAGATCCTTAAATCTGAACGGGACTGTCGGGCAAATGTGAGCCCGTTAAAAAGCCAAAGCCAGGACGCCTTCACTTGAAGCCAAATAGGGCCTTTTTATGTGTTTTATTTTCTTTTCTCCCCTTGAAGCTCTCCTCCCAGAAGAGCTTTTTAAAGCTTTCATTTTAACCAGATGAGCCATCATTGTGCATGCACCTCATGCCTTTGTTTACCTACACTGCCAGTCAGTTTTTTTAACTCATTACTTTTCACACAGTGTCTTGCAGATTCAGTGTGAGAAACTTTACATTGAAAAAAAAAAAAAAGTGTTTGTCAGGTGACAAATAACTTGGATCGTATCATCATAAGGTTTTTGCAGATTATAGAATACATTTTTGTCTTATACTTGATTCTTAAGTTTTTGTTCCACTCACAAGCACAGAAACAGTTAGGGACTTTGTGTTGATGAAAAATTTATGCTGTCAAGACAAATAGATATTGCGATATGCATGGTATTCTGTCTGCTATTAGAAGTTGTTCGAAGTCCATTTAATTTGAAAATTCATCCTCTATTTTAAACCAAACCAAAAAGTCTCTTTTAGTTCACTTGTTTCTCCTTTTTAAAGTTGAAATATTTTAAGGCAAACTCACACTCCTTTTTACTTCATGTGAGTTTCTTATGTAACCATGGGAAGTTTTGAGTAGCTGTGCACTTCTCAGAATACCTTGGATCTTGTTTCTTTGAGATCCTCTTTGATTTGTCCTCTGCACTGACGTCCAGCAGTTCATCTCTACTTTATCCTGCAAAGAAACTCAATATAAGGCATCTCTGTTTGTGTGTCTTTGTGTTGGAGAATCTCCCTGTAGATATTTTCCAGGATTGTCCTTTTATTTTTTTGAGACTGCTGACCCACCGCTGAATTCACAGACTCCAGCTGCCCCCTTTCATTGCCTCGTATGGGTTACTGACAAGACAGTGAAGCTGCACTTTGTTGATCCTGGCTTGTTTCCGTCTTTTTACAATGATAGGAAGTGTCATAACTGTTGCGCACATGGAGTAGAGAAGGTTTGGTGAAAGTTCTCATATTCCCTCTCAGATAACATTTCTCAGAAACCTATAAACTGGTCCAACTGATTGAGTACACTGCTGCAAACACTGTTTATCTTTCCTGAAACTAGAGTTAACTCGGTGAGTTCAGTGGGGAGATAAATGTATTTATTTGCCACAAAGGCTTTGTTTTGTCGTTCTAGTGCCACCGAATGGTAGCTGCACTGTGAGGGTTCATGCCCTCGAGATTTGTTGCTGCTAGTTTGTCTCAAAGACCTGCTTATCATTTTAATTTGAATATAAACTGTCTGGCTTTGTTGTAGTCCTAATATGGCTGACTTTTATTCTAATGAAAAGAAAGTGCTGATGGTATTATAATCAAACCTTTCATTTTAATGTAGCTTTGTTTTTATGCCAGCCCTTATGCATTATTTTGAACTCAAATTGAAGGTTTAGTTTGTTCTAAAGGAACCCCAACCCTCCCTGGAAAGGTGGGCTTGCAATCCATTTTGTGACGCAAAAAAATAAACAACTCAAATTCAAGTGTGTGTGTTTTTTTTTTTTTTTTAAGAATAAGAACTTCATTTATTCCCGAAGGGAAATTCAATTGTTTGTTGTCTCATATGTCTCTAACAGTTATCTACTATTTACACAAGAGTTATAAAGTCTGATGGCTGTGGGTACAAAAGATCTTCTGAATCTTTCTGTCCTGCAGCAAAGAGAGAGGAGCCGTCCACCACCACTGGTCCTTTGGTCCATCAAGGTGTTGTGAAGTGGGTGATCCATGTTCAGGACTCAGGATCCATGTTCTTTTAATTTTCTCATGAGTATTATTTTTAAGTTTCTTTAGTCTACTACAGTTAAAAACCTGACCAGTGGAGTATTTTACAGGAAAATGTGCTTTTGTAAAGTATATTAAGGTAGACCTAGTAAAATTGATATTACAGTAAGTCCAATTATATGGACTGATTGTGTGTTTTTATCTTTTCCCACTCTACTGTACAGAAGTTAGTTCTTGACTTTGGAAAAGTTGGTTTAATGTAGTTGAAAGACTTAGGAGGCAATGGGTTATAAGCTTTAAGCATTTTTGGAAGTAAATTCAGGAGTTAAAAATAAAAATTCATGAAGAAAATACTCATTTAACACGTATCTTAGCCCTTTATTATCTACGCCTTACAATACCTCTCTAACTGCGAGGTTACGCAACGAGCTTCCCTACCAATTTAATTCTCATTTGCAAGCCCATTGGCTGCCGTCCCTGTCTGTCAAAATATTGCCCAATCATTACCCACGCTCTTTATTTTGGGCGGCTGCTATGTTTTTTTTCACGCTTGCGCAGTACATTGTTGTGATTTTTAACTGTAGAAAACATGTCTGCCTCCATGGTGAGAGCGACCGTCCGAGCGGTCAGCAAAAGGAAGATATTGCCCACAAGAGCCGCATTGACTCTGGTAAGTAATGCACCGTGTACGTACACTCACGGAAACACACTTTTGTCTATCAAATGCCCTCCTTTGCGGGATTTATGGCGTTTTAACTCGCTGCTGTTTCGTCGCCTCACCGTTACGTGATCGTTAGCTTAGCCTGCTAACCACCTTTAACTTGAAAGTTAAACGTAGAACAGCTTGTTCCGCTTCTTGTAACCTCAACGTTATTGTCTCGTTAATTAACTTACAATAGCTCCACCGGAGTTGTTATGTAAGTGTTGTAATGGCGTTAGGGCGTAAGAACGTAACCATTCCGGGGCTTAATAGATGCTGTTCCCTCAGACAGGCGTACTAAGCTTCCGTTTGGTAATGTGCCATGAGTTACTGTGTTTCATAAAACTGACCGTGAACAATCATTAAGTAGTTAAACACGGTGAAGAAACTGCGTCAGGGCGCAGAATTATTGTTCTACAGCATCTGTTCATGGTGTAACGTAAACCATTGACGGTCGGGCATGTTACAATCAATCAAGCTGTTGATTTTACTTAGGGTATAGACAAGATTTCTTGTTCCTAACCGAAGTATTTTAATGGTGTACAAAACAAACTTAACTAAAGTAAAGCAGATGTTAGTTTTAATGACTCTTAGCTCATCCAGTGACTAAGGCTATAAGATTGTATTTTTAGTATTTGCACTTCTTAACATCCTAATATGCTTTTTAATATCCATTTTTTAGCTGGGACAATAATGATGTATACACAGTCAGCCCTTGTTGGCATAATATAAAAACTTGAGCTACAATGAAATTCACGATGCTGTATTTCTTTACAGTTGCAGCCCCTCTGTCTATGACATCCTTAACTTGGTCGCTCACCAAAGATATTTCATTATGCTCTCTTATGATTTCCTCCTCAATCTTACTGCTACTCTTCACTGTTAGATGTCTAACACAGGAAATCACACTGAAATAGATCATGTGGAGGAAAACTCATTTGTGATTCAGTTTGGCCGTTACTAAAAGTGCAGAGTCATGGTGTCCTTATTTGGTGGGATAAAGCCTCTCGATCGGGAATTTGTGATAGTGAATCTCAACATGACGCCCTCATCTTACAACGCTGCGTCACATGATAATGTTTGAGTAAGGTGGTCGGAGCTGATAAAGGTCAGATTACGCACAAGGAACTACATATTGTTTCCTTTTAAGGTTTCTGCTGTAGTTAGTTTATTTATCTGTAAGAGCAATTGTGCACAGAAATGCATCAAGCAGAACTGAAGACCCTGATATAATAAAAGTTTGTAAGCTTGGCCTCCTTTCCTTATCATGTAAAATTGAATGAGTTATTAGCACTTGAATAAAGTCACAAGAATTTCAGATCCAGTCAAAAATAAAAGCACAGCTATTATAAGAGTGGCATTGACCACAGTTTGCAATACTGTTGTGAGACAAACTCAGCTTTGGCACGGTTTGTGTGTATTGTCCAGCTTTTTGGCATCTGCTGCCCAGTTTCATGCTGAAAACAAACTTCAACTTTAAGGGTTTACACCATGTAGCAATTTTGTCCATCAGAGTCTCATTACCAGCCCCACATTGAAAGCTTTAACACTCCATCACAGCTGAAGCCTAAAAGGTTTTGGGTCTTTATTTTGCTGATTGCAGTTTCTTATCGACAACAAGCTGTATTGTAGGTCCCCGAAGTATTAACTCATTACAGTGTGGACAAATGTAACATAGGAACTCAAATAGAACCAGGGTTCTTCTTGCTGTAGAGCACTGCAGTTACTTGAAGTCCATGTATGTTAAAGCTCCAAACAGTGACCTTTTCCCTCCTGGTTTCTTTTCTCAGACTCCATCAGCTGTGAACAAGATCAGGCTTTTGTTGCAGGATAAGCCGGAATATGTAAGTGACTGACGCCCAAACATTTCCTGAAACTTGATCTCACAGTGTACAGAGTTGCTCTCTTTCTGTTTTGGTAGTTGTAGCAGGGGTCTGTTTTGTTTTGGATCTCGGATCTTAAAGAAAGAGACACGTGCCCTTCTCTTTAGGTTATAAAAAAAAAAAAAAACTTTTTCAAACTTCTGTCCCAGCTTTGCCTATAACTTGTCACTTAACTTATACTGGCCTTTTATACATGTCATACATGTGAAACTTGAACACTAACAGCTTTAAACTGTTGACTTCAGTCATTGTTAGACAACATCTGATCTGAACTGAACGGTTTCTATTCTAGCTGTCTGATCCCAACACATCTGCTGCTCCAGTCTCCCTGAAGTCCTGCATATATGTTCACATATAGGGGACAAATAGATTTGGATATAAAGAACAAAATTTCTTGTGCTTTCAAATGTCTCTTTTTAGTATTATCTATGTGGTTCTTTGTAGATCGGTCTGAAGGTGGGAGTGAGAACACGTGGTTGTAATGGACTGACTTACACACTCGACTACACAAAGGACAGAGACAAATCTGATGAGGAAGTGCTGCAGGATGGTAAGCTGCGTGTTGTTGCATCATCCCTTTCCCCTACTTTCATTTGTAACTAGTTCAACTTTGACATCTATTGTCTATTCGTTTGTAATTTAAAACATAAACCTCCTCTTGTTTTTGTATTAGTCTGTACAGGGCTTGAAATTTAGTATATGTAACGAGCTGTAGAATAATCAGCCTTCCTCTTCCTCTTTATGGATAACTTTCAATGTTTGGGATACAAGGACAGGGCAAACCGCCACTAGGTGGTGCTCAAGTTGGAGCTGTTAGATCTCCACATCATGGTTTTAGAGGAAGTGTGCTCTTGTGCAAGTTAAGGGCCATAAAGAGCAGTTTTCTCTTTTTTGATAGCGATAAAATCTAAAGTATGTTTATGTTGGACTTCTGGAGTAATGACAGCTCTGCTCCCACTCTCTTGCAGGTGTGAGGGTGTTTATAGCGAAAAAGGCTCAGCTCACTCTTCTGGGAACTGAGATGGACTTTGTGGAGTCAAAGCTGTCAAGCGAATTTGTCTTCAACAACCCCAACATCAAGGGCACATGTGGCTGCGGAGAAAGCTTCAACATCTGAGCATCCCTTAGCTTCCGCCTCCCTCGCAGCCACCCTGCTTCAAACCCTGTCCCATCTTTAAAGACTGAGAGATTGAATGAGACAGACATGAGGAAATCTCTGAGATGTGGACGTGCCTGTGTTCTTGCCACTGCTCTTCCTCGGACCACTAGTATATACACACACACACACTGGTTTAGATCAAATGTCCACTTTTATGCTTTGAAGAAGGTTCTGATACCCTCAGTTTAGTCAGAACCGTCAAAATATGTTGATTTTAGGTCCAGAAACCTCAGATGTCAGCTTCAGATAACCATGTCTTTTAAATCTAGCGGCTGGCTGCCAACACATAAACACGCACAGTATTTTTAGAACTTAAGTGAAGCTTCAATATGAGTTGTATGCAGGATGAAGTGGCTGTTCTTACTCGCTTCAGGTTCATGTTCAAGTTGGTAAAGCTCAGAGGGGAGAAGAAGAAGAAGAAGCATGATACCATTATGTGGCCATGTTCAAATCTGCCCTCTATTATCCATACACGCTGTTTGCTAACAACACTTTAGGACTGTACAATATCATCCTGTTATCAACCAGCAGTATGCAAAAGTGGAAGAGTCCCGAGTGTCTCGCTTTCTTAGCTTGTAAAGTATATATTTATCTCTGTGTGTAAATATAAAGAATGTAAATCTCAGTTGAACCACAAAAACGCACAAAAAATAACCCACACACCAAAACATGTATCCTCCACATAAGAGTACATGAGGTCAATGTTGGTTTCCTTTTCAGCTTGAACAAAGCCAGAACTTTGTATGATAGACTGTGTGCTCTTTAATATTTGTACCTGTGCAATACGTCTGTGTACATATGAGAGAATAAATAGAGAAATCCTCTAAAATGAAAGTATGTCCTCTCTGATTAATATTGAACTCTTTCAATGTTTGATTGTGGCATCCCACCTGAATGATAGACTTTGACCTGTTGTCATGGAGATGGCTCGGTTGTCATTTGAATCTTCATCTCAGTTGTCATGGCGATTGCTCTGTTGTCAGAAGCAGATGGGTTGTGTGTCAGTAGTTAGCAAACTGATGGTCTCTCCTCTCTTGCTTACTTGTAAATTTGCAGTCAGGCAGAAGGAGTGGTAGGTGGGGCCGTGTTTATTTTTATTTGTATTTTTAATCCTGCTTTTTAGGATCATGACATAACGGAAGTGACAGTGGCTGATTTTTTCTTAGGTTTCTTTGGAGTCATGTGTGACAGGATCAAGGGTTGTGATCCTGACAGCAGAGAGTCTTATGGACTGAAGGTAGTTAAATGTGGCACCTTCAGAGTTATTAGATGTCTTAAAAGGTTTCTTTCTCTGGACAATCAGGAGTATCGTTAATTACACACAAGACTGATGAAGTTTATACAGTAGACTTCAGTGTCTTGAAACCAGCCGAGCAGCTGAAGAAAATGCCCCATTTTTAAGATTTCCATATAAAATATTCACAGGAAATGAGTCATATGACCATCAAAGTTCAGCAGGATTAGACTTTTTGTCCAAAGCAACAACTTAAGTATTTACAGGACAGAAACATCAATGTCTGCTTCGTCCACAGGGACGCCAAAATCGACAAGAACTGAAAGTTCTTCACAGGAGCTCTAAAGAGATCAAACTCTTACTATTGTCCATTTACTTAAAAAAACTTTAGTAAAGCTGAGTAGATTTGCAGGGTTGTGTGATGAGCAGTAATACTACTTACTGTTTGTTAAGTTTACAATAAACACTTTAAGCACAGCATTAAATAGATTGCTGCTGGTTAAAGTAACTATAAACCACAAAAAGTATTTCGATTGGAGTCCTGTTCACTCAAAAATCTCGTTTTTTTTCTTAATTTTTTTTTTTCCTCCTAGATGAGTAGTTACCTGATTGATTCAGTGTCAAAAGTGTGTGTTTTTTCTTAAGATTTCAGACTTCTTAAATGCTTTGGCTAAAAGGAGACCGCCTTCTCACACCACACATACTGACCCCCGTAACATCTCCACCACCCTCTCCATGATGAAGAACACAGGGTCCTTCAGATCCAGAGCCGTACTTCCTAAAAACATCAACCAGTTGTCCACCAGGTCTCAGTTTCAGAGGCAGGATCACCTGAAAGAGACCCCACCTGCCTCTGTACCTGTCCCTACTCTGAACCCTGCAGGAACCTCAAACACTCTCTTCATGGCACACCTGGTCAGAGAGTCCAAGATGGTGCCCTCCTCTGAGTCGGTCTCTTCTATTCAAGAGAGGCTTCAGAAGCATGAGATACATCTGTTCATCCTGGGTGTGCGGACATGGACCAAAGTGAAGTCCTGTGAGCTGCACCGATGAACACTGACAAATCAGACCCTCAGAACTGGTTAATAAACAGTTAGTACATTCACAAACACATCCAGTAACAGCACTAACTGTCTCAACCAGGCTGAAAACTTGACTTTGTTCCCCCCTAATCACGTTAGTTAGAAATCAAATTGCATTAATGTCACTTTGACATTTGGAGCAACAATAGAGCAGAAAATATCAAATCCTAGAGATCTTGTTGTTCATTAATGCAACTTAAAACTTTACTGTGATCCTGAAGGATAAAATCAGATGTGGTCAAGGAAACCAGAAGAGAACTAGACTACAAATCACCACCAGATACATGGTTTTGTTATCTGATGTTACTTTCCTTCTTGTATACTCATGATTATGTGTAACCAGGAGCAAACAATCTTTTTTTTCACATCGATTTAACCATATAAATCACTTAAAATTTACATGATGGTGGCATTAAAGGAATGACTGATAGCACTGACTCTTGAAGGGTTTGCTTGTTGAATATTAGAGTCTTAGCATACAGTGAATTACAATGTATCGTGGTAAAACAGGAGCACATTTAAAACTCATTTTCCATTATTTGATGCAGAAAAATACAGAATCTTGTGGCCGGTAAACAATGGAAACACAGGCAGAAAGAAAGAGTGGCTTTGAGTTTTTATCTCTCTGAAACCTCAAAAATCTGGCGGTCGCTCCCAGCTGTCTTGAGAGAATAGTCTGTGGATTCCAAGTCTAAATGAAACCTAAGATTAAAGTAAAACTGAACCCAGTAGCTCACGATTTTTTCTTTACAGTCATGCTCAGATGGTATTTAATCACCTGTTGCACAAAACGAGCATCATTTTGATTTCAAATGGCTGCAAACACAACAAACGTCACCTTTGCCCATAAACACTTAGTCTCCACTTGTGTCGTGCTGTGCACTCAGCAAATGAGTCACTTTCTGCCTCTCTCCGATGGCTGTAATGACTGTTTTTTGTGCTGAGAGGGGCACAAGATCAAGCTGCTCTGTCACTATGACCCCCAGCTGACTTTATTTACTCTTGTTTGCAGGCAGGTACCTGTCATTCAGATTTTTGTAGAAATTTCCTTTGGTCAAGTGTCTGACTCAGATCAGCTTCATTCAACCAGATTTACTCCAGCTGCACTCAGGAACACCTGCAGTTTCACCTCCAATTTAAAGAACCATCTGCAGTCATTTTAACAGGTCACACAGCCCTGACTAACTACAGGAGATAAAGATTTAAATCCCTGACTCTCCCCTCGATCTCTCTCTCTCTCTTTAGAAGCAGTCTAACCTCTGCCAGCCTCAATCACCCCCTCCCCTCTCTGGTTATGTTGGTCTATAACAGAGCTTTCATCTGAGATTTGCAGACAACAGCACAGCAGTAGCAGTAGCTGACACGACGTTACCTGCTGCACCCTGATCTCTAGAGAGCATCACTGCAGAGGCAAACAGGCAGGACACGGGTAAGAGAGGCTTTTTTCATCGAAGACACATGTTCATTTATGCACATATTTTAAAAGTACCAGATTTATCTTGCTGATCTTTAATTTGGTCAATTTTTTCTGTGTAACATGCATGTTCAAACTGGAGAAACACTGCAGCAAAACTACCTGAAGACGCTCCCCTTGTGCTGTTGATATATTCCCAGACTTCAGTGGAGGTGATGATTGTGGAACCATCAGCTGATCCTGATCCAGACTGTGGCTTCCTATGCAATAAGTCCACAGCTCTTGAAGGACAAGGACCACCTATGTTGGTCGATGCCTGGCTGGTCCCCACTTTCTTTGGCCTCATCATGCTAGTTGGTCTGGTCGGGAACTCGCTGGTCATCCATGTGATCACCAAGCACCAGCAGATGAAGACCGTCACCAACTTTTACATCGGTACTACATTTCTTAAGTTGAGTATTATATATTTTTTTGTGTGAGAACTTGCGTGAGCCACACAGATTACTCACATTCAAACACTTCTGTTCTTGTTTTTTTATCCATCTAGTTATAAATCACCTCATCATGTGTTGAACTATTTCTCTTTGTTTAAGAATCGCTGTCTTGTTCTGTCTTTCAGTGAACTTGGCCACGACTGATATCTTGTTTTTGGTCTGCTGTGTCCCCTTCACTGCCACTCTGTACCCTCTGCCCAGCTGGATCTTTGGGGAGTTTATGTGCCGAGTGGTGAACTACCTTCAGCAGGTAATACTCACTCACACATGAAGAGCTTTAAACTAAAACAGGAGATGGATCTTTAAATATTTGGTCACTGAGACGATAAAAGCACTGTAGCAGTGACCATCTATAATTTTCAGTAACAATGTTTACAAAGTCCCTGCTTTCACTGTACTTTCTGCAGTACAGCAGGTAACATTCTTTGCAGAATAGAATGACAGCCCTTCACAAATGCTTTTAACTGTTTGTTTAAAAGTGACATTTTTTTTCCTCTCTGACACCATGATCCACTCTAAACACACGGACTGGTCACAGAACTACCTCTGCTTCATGCTGGTTCTCTTTGTCCTGTCTTTGTCTTGTCTCTCTTTTGAAATTATGTTGTCAGTAAAAGTTTCAGGCTTTTTTGTGCCCTCTACACACTATGCAGGGCTGTACAATGTTCTTCAAGCTCTCTGAAGATGGATTCTGACAAAGTAGCATCCAAATCTAAAACAAACATTGACACAGACCTCTCTGAAAGTGAAATTAACAATAAACTGAAAATGGAATAGATGTAAACCCATCCTAAAAATATACCACAGAAACCTAATGAGAATGTGTGATCAGAGTCACACATTTCATCTGCTCCTTTATTTCAGAGACTTCAGATTTGAAGTATTTATGACATTGAAAGTTTTCAAAAATGTGTTTTTCTTTATAAGATATTCTCAAATTAACGAAATATTCCAGGACAATTCAAGACTTATTTCAATGAAAATTCAAAGGTTCATTCACGCCGATCTGCATATCTTCATCTCCCTAAACTCCTCACCACCAGAGGTCAATTCACAATTAGATTTAGAGGGACTAAGTTATTGAACAGTTTCTCCCATTTAGCAAAAAAAATGTTCTTCTGTGAAATATTTAAAAAACATTTAACTGCTGCTTTGTAATGTATTGTTTATGTAGGTATTTGTCTTACTGTTCATTGATAATTATATATTTTAATACTTATTATTCTCATTATTATCGTTCATGAGTTACCAATGGACACATGTAGACGCACACATACCCACAAACACACACATGCTTATATTTTCTGTTTTTTTTCTCTATATTAATGTTGTCAGTCATTATTATTTTTATTATTTTTTTCATGTTATCTTGTGCTTTTGTACATTAAATTGTAATATCAATATTAGGCTTTTGTAGGTGGAGGCTTCAAATAAGCCCATCGTGGCTTTTTGCCTCTCCCTGCACTGTTTCATTATTAACCATCATGTTTTATGTTGTATTCTTTTAAATTGTAAAAAAAAAAAAAAAAGAATAAAAAAGAAAGAAAGGACATAATAGTCAAAAAGTGTCAGTCAGAGACATTTGTGTGTTTGTGTTTCAGGTGACAGCTCAGGCGACATGTATCACTCTGTCAGCCATGAGTGTGGACCGCTGCTATGTGACCCTCTATCCCCTGCAGTCACTGCAACACAGAACCCCCCGTATGGCTCTGACCATCTCTGTGTCTATCTGGATAGGTATGACACAGAAGCGCACACACACACACACACACACACACACACACACACACACACACACACACACACACACACACACACACACACACACACACACACACACACACACACAAACTTTGTCAAAGAGAAAACATGAACAGCAAATTGCTGCTGTTTACTTTTTCAATATTGTGGCCTTACTAAAGTGGTTGCCCTTAATAATATTGTTAATGTGATAAAAAGTTCTGACTGTTTTTTAAACCTTTCTTCAAAAAGAAGTTCTGTTGGGGGTTTACAAGCTCCTTCTGAGTCCTCTGAGTCCCACACTCATGATTCCTGTCCTCTTCAGGCTCCTTGCTGCTGTCCATCCCTGTAGCCGTGTACCAGCGTCTGGAGGAAGGATATTGGTTTGGTCCTCAGACATACTGCAGCGAAGTCTTCCCCTCTGCCCGCCTCCAGAGAGCCTTCATCATCTACAACTTCCTCGCCGTCTACCTGCTGCCTCTGCTCACCATCACCGCCTGCTATTCCTTCATGCTGAAACGCATGGGGCAGCCCAGCATAAATCCCATCGACAGCGGCTACCAGGTTAGAGGGAAAGAGAGTTACAGTCACCATTATTCACGGATTACAGATATAAAAGAGTTTACAAAGTCTGCATGGCTTCAGCTTCAGGCTCAGGCAGAGCGTGCTGCAGCTGTGCGGGCAAAGGTCTCCAGGATGGTGGTGGTGATGGTGGTCCTGTTCCTCATCTGCTGGGGGCCAATCCAGATCTGCATCCTCCTTCAGGCATTTGGCCTCCGCAGCTATGCCCTTTACAAGGTTAGTCACTGTCCTGTTGTTTGATTTGATGGGCTGCACTGTGCATGAAATAGGGAGGTAGTAAAAATCTTACATATTACATACTTTGATTCACACTGTCAATCTTAATTCTTTGTTATACTTGAGAATGTTCATCAGACCAGCCTTTTGAAATCAAGAATTCACTGTCCCAAAATATTATAATTTTACAAAACACTAATTTAAAAAAAGATTTATAATGCAGGACTGTCAACCTCATGGAAAAGAACATTAATTTATGCTCTCAGTACTTGGTTGGGACTCCTTTTGCACAAATTACTGCATCATGGTGATGTAATATTGAAGCAGTTGGTGTATCTCTGTTGGGGTATTGTGAATCCCGGGTCTCTGTGATTGCTCCTTCAGCTCATCTGTATTGCTGCTCTGTTGTCTCTCATCTTTGTCTTGAGATCACCCCACAGAGGATCTGTGGGGTTCAGGTCGGGCCAGTTGGTTGGCCAATCAAGCACAGTAATCCCACAGTCAGCAAACCACTTTCTGGTAGTCTTGGTGCTGTGGGCAGGTGCCAAGTCCTGCTGGAGAAGGTAATCTGTATCTCCACAAAGCTCAGCAGATGGAAGCATGAAGAACTGTAAAATTTCCAGGTAGACTCTGGGCTTGATAAAACACAGTAGACCAACACCAGCAGATGACATGGCACCCCAAATCATCACAGACTGTGGACTTCGAACACCTTGGATTATGGGCCTCTCCAATCTTACTCCGGAATCCGAGACCTTGATTTCCAAATGAGATGCAAAATGTACTTTTATCTGCTAACAGGACTTTAGACCACTGAGCTACAGTCCAGATCTTGGACACTGAATATTGCTAATGTTCTAATCTTGACCCTGCCTTTACTTCTGCAGCTGAAGATCTGGGGTCACTGCATGTCTTACTCCAACTCCTCTGTAAACCCGCTGGTTTATGCCTTTATGGGAAACAACTTCAGAAAAGCATTCAAACATGCTTTCCCTGCTGCATCTCTCTGGCAAGTAAAAGGTAGAGTGAGGGTGGGAAACATGGACACAGAGGACGGTGGGCGGACGGATCACCACCAGGCACCCAAAGGGGAAGCAGAAATGCACTTTCTTTCATCTGAGTCCTAAAGGTCACACCCTGTGGTCAGACACTCTGCACATTGTTCATTTATTTATAGTCTGTTTGTTCTGGAGATGAGAGAGTATTTCTAATATGTGTGCATGGTACACACACACACACACACACACACACACACACACACACACACACACACACACACACACACACACACACACACACACACACACACACACACACACACACACACCATCCTTGCTTATAAGGAACTCTGAAAAGACAGCAATGAGTGACAGATTTACATGCAGCCACAATCACACCCTTAGGATCACTGCCAGTCATGTGACTTCTTGGATAAACCAGTCAGGTGACTCTTGTGACCTCCACGTGCTGCTGCTCAAATACAATTATGTTTGTCACATTTTTCTAGTTTAGCTGCTCTGGTTCATCTCTTCACTGCCTGTTAAATATGTTTGAGCTGCTGGTTTTATCTTGTACAGGAATTAAATAAAAACATTCTTTGTGACAAAAAAGACGTCAGTGTATTTGGAGGTATCACCGAGATTGTCAAAATAAAACTTGACCTCTGTAAAACACGGCTTATCAAGTACATTAAATAGTTATTCACAGTTTCTTGTTGTGTTCATATTATTATTTCAGAGTCTGCTGTAATTTAATTTGACATCACTTAAAACCAAAAGGTTGTGGAAGATCATGTGTGACTCGTGCCTCATCATGAAGACCACATAACTAGAAATTAACTGGAACAGAGAGGAACTACACTATAATATATCGAAAGCGTAGGAGAGAGTGGGGTAAGATGAGCCATTTTTCATATTTCCGATCACTACATCAAGGCAATCATAGTTTTGTATCTAACTAGTGTATCTGCATATATTTCAAGATGTTGTACATCCCTGCAAACCAACAAAATGAGTGTAAACATAACTGTCTTGATTATATAGCATGCCAAATAAAGTGGTATCCTATGGTCAGCTTACCTCGTGTATGGAGTAAGTTGACCATAGGAGCGGGGTAAGTTGAGCCATATCCCTACGACCCCCCACTCTCCACCCCAGCCCTCCCTCACCTTCTATCTCCCTAAATAACAGTCACTTCTTCACATTCATGTGTATTTTTATCTGTCATATGCTATTCAACTGGTACAATACTATGACTATGACTTTATTAGTCCTCTAAGCTAAATGGTGGACTTTAATGTTAGGTTTTTGGCCTCATGTTGTAGCTCATAGATACCACTATTGATGTATAAAACAAATTTAAAATGATCTTTTTTGGTTTGAACACAAATCTAATAAAACTTATGACAGACTAAATTCACTTTCAAGAGTGAAAAATGTTTTTTTGGGGGGAAATAAATGTCTAACCCCTTCACCCATGTGCGTCTAACCGTCACAGACTCCATGAATTGATGCCCATCGCCTAAATATTTGGTCACATAATCAATTTCTTTTACCATTTCCAAGCAACGGGGTGGCTCAACTTACCCTTTGGCTCGTCTTACCCCACTCTCCCCTACAGTTAATGATGTGGAAGTGCGCTCAGGTTGTGGTTTAACAGCGGAACCAATCAGTGCAGCGCTGAGCCCATATCCACCAATGACAGCCATTTATCAAACCGACATGTGAAATCAGCCAATGAGATTACTGGCAGAGAGTATTTGGGCCTAGTGCTGCCTTTAAGTGCTATCAGGAATACCTGAAATTTGCCATATCTAAACTCAGCACCTGAATTATCGCCTACAAAGCTGGGATCTGCGCGGTGGATCCTATCGGTTCGACTCTATTTGACCGAAGCTGGTAACTCATTCTCTATAAAACTGTCACTTACAATATTTATAAATAAAAATGTCGAAAGCATAACAGTTTGCTCATTTGGCATCAACTGAAATTACTTTTCAGTCGTATTGTTGTATTCATGTCTTCTTTTTTGGGTTCTGTGTCACGATACTGAACAACTGATACTATCTTAATATGGTTACAGTCATTAACAAACATATTTCACTACCACAGAATTCAAAGACACGAAGCATGAATTGGCCGCAAACACAAGAGTACTAATGTAAAAAGTATCGAATGAAGTGGAGAGGTTAGTAGCTATACATATGCTAACGATAAAAAATACTTCATGAATAGTGCGTGTATTAAGCAGAAGTACTAGGAATACAATTAATATACAATATATATTACGTCTTTGGTACCAAATGAGGCAAGGCCCGACATGTTCAAGGTAGTCAAACGTAATTCACGCAGGATAGGCTGCCAAGTTTTGTTCATTTGTGTTAGTGGTGTGTCAGTCGTACGAGGAGCACTTGAACGCAACACGCTTCACCTAGCTAGATAACTAGCATCCACGCTGAGAGTGCAGCAGGAGGAGAGCAGCAGTAGCAAAGCCGAAGCGGAGGAGAAACCATCCACTTAGCCGATTTAAGCCGAAGATACCTCTTCTGTCTGAACACAGAAAAGATTTTCACATCATGGATCAGAAACAAACCATCAACTTTGGGGCTGGACCTGCGAAACTCCCTCAAACCGTAAGTTGTGGATACTTACATTTAAATGCTTGTGTAACCAGTAAAATGAGAAAACGGTGCAAAAGACGAGCCGATACTGTACAATCTAAATGTCATTTCAGAGTATTAAATGATAGATTTTTCTGTGAGCGTGGTGTTTCTGCAGATGCATGCTGCAGTCTTTTTGTACACAATGTAACCTGCTATTTCACCCGATCTGGAAAGACAACATTAAATCTCTGCATTTACACAGTCACGGAGACTCTGTGGGACATATTTCTACATGGAGACACAGAGAAAAGGCCCGCTGTTACATGTGGGTTAATGACTGGGTTGATGTCGGCTTGGCGTTTGTCAGCAGCTCCAACAAGCTGAAAACAGAGTGTTGAGTTGCATCAGCCTCATTCATTCATGTGGAAACCTGCTCCTTTGTGTCTGACTGGTATGCAGCCTCTAGATGGCAGAATTACCCCACAGAAAAACTAAATCACAGCCCGCATTTACAAACTAACTAACCACTTAAGATCAGGCCTAAGTTTTTGTAAAGAAAGTATTTTACTTATTATCAAGCTTTTGGATTTAAGACACTTTGCATCTTAATTTCTAAACCTTCTAAAATCTGGTCCAGTCATTATTTCTCATGTAATCTGTGGTTTTTGATTGAAAACTTGCTCTCTTGCAGGTGTTGATTCAAGCACAGAAAGAGCTCCTCAGTTATGGCAGCACCGGTATCAGTGTCCTTGGTGAGCACAACTTCAGAAGTTACTATGAGGCGAAACTACTTAATGATGAAGACAATCATGCAATATTGAATATGTTAAGCTGATGAATGTCCAGTTTGTTGAAATGCAAAAATGAGGGAAATATCTGTATAAGCTTTTTATTTTACCATGATGTTCTTTTGGAAATGACACAAATTGTCTGTTTGTGGAAAAAGAGGCCACCAGTCGAGATCAGTGTCTGGAAAATCTTGTGAAGCGTCCATATGAACACTAAAAGTCAGATTCTCAGTGATATCAAAATTAGTAAGTAGGAACTTGAGACAAATAAAATCGTTACAGGAATTATAACAGGGTTAACTATTCCCATGGACACCAGACTACTGTTTCATAATCGATTGTGGCCTGTAGTTGACATCTCTCATGCATTCTGTGTTAATCATGTAAAAAAAACCTCACACATTTTATGTATGCTTTATGAGTACCTTAGAGTACTTAAAGCAAAATGCCAACATGCCAACAATTCTGTTTTGTTTTGGTATTTTATCGTTATTATTATTAATGTAATGTTTTTGATTGTGTTCAAACCAGAAATGAGTCACAGATCATCAGACTTCAACAAAATCATCAACAGAACGGAGAGTCTCCTCAGAGAGCTGCTGTAAGTGTTGCTTTTGTGGTTTCACATACTTGTTTACTTTTATATTCATATTCACACACTGTATCCTTCTCCTCCCTCACTCTTTTATTTTAAGGCCAGATCAGTGTTTTGATTTTTACTTCAGCACCATCATGACAGCTCATCGCAAACAATATTCATTTGATGTATCTGTTTATAGTCTAAACAGTTTTAAATTCTTACTTTAGAAGCAGAAAGCGCCATCTAATCCAGGAAGTCTGGTTCCTGGTTCCTGATGTATTGTTTCAAGTTTATTTTTCAACAAACATGTATTTAAGGCATGCAATTTTTAATGATCTTACACACCCAGATATGCAGTGGGAAAGTGGTTTCCAGTTATCTTTTAAACACCAGCTGTTTTTCTTGTGTTCACGTGTTCGGCTGATTGTGGCTGAATGCCAAAACTGTTATGGTTTGGCCAGGCAAAGACAGGGTGTGTAGTTCAAGGTGTGTCCCAGTCAAAAGTTGTTTATGTGAGAACATAAAGGAGAGAGCATAAGCTTCATCCACTGCTGTCTTTTTGTTTGTGATTTTACAAACCTCCTTTAGACTCTTCATCTTTTTAATTCTGTAACTTTTTTGGTTGAAGTTTTATAAATATATGTTCAATAAAATCCAAATCACTCTGTTCGGAAACATCTTCAGGGCTTCAGTACTCTTGTACCATTTTTATTACACAGGTTAACAAGACTCAAAAGTGCCTCCATGTACATTTAGATTTAAAACTAACACTTTGTAATGTAAGAAACTGCAAACACAAGTATTGATATTAAATCAATAATAGAATAGTTTTAATGATTAATATGTAGTGTTAGAATAATTTTCTCAACGATACAAAATAAGTAAGAGTTGGTGCATTTGTCACAATGTTGTGCAAAACAAGTTTATTTTTATTACTCCAATCAATGCAGAAGAAGAAGCTTGAGGATTATCGGTCCGTTCTGTCTGCACTGTCCAACACAATGATTCTGCCTCCACAGAAACATCCCAGACAACTACAAAGTGATGTTCCTGCAGGGCGGTGGGTCAGGCCAGTTCAGCGCTGTTCCCCTAAACCTGATTGGCCTCAAAGGGGACAGGTGTGCAGATTACCTGGTCACTGGCACATGGTCGGCGAAGGCAGCAAAGGAGGCGGAAAAATACGGCAAAGTCAACATCGTTCACCCGAAGCTGGACAGTTACACAAGTGAGTGTGTGCAAGAGGAAATATTGAAAACGGTCAGATTTTAACAAAAGGAGGAACAACTCAGTCTGGACATAGAGGTTTCACAGGTACACTTGTGTTCTTCAAGACATGGGTCATTTCTGGTTTAGCCTTATTCCTCTATTTTAAAAGAGTTCACTGAAGGTACTTTCTTCGTACCAAATATAGTTCCAGCTCATTTGAGTTGGTCATTGTCATTCACGCTGCATTAGAATGGTCCTTGTACAAACTCTGGCTGTGTGATCAGGCTGTTGCGCAAGAAAACAAAAGAGCTGACAACCAATGAAAGCCTCTGGTATGGGAGCAGCCCTTTTCCACATGGTTGTGTCCTATTAGGGTTTTCATCTGAGTTGTTTTTATTCTTGCATTTGGAGCAGTTTTTTTCCTTTTTCTGGTTAAATTTTTTTTTTTTTTAAAGATAGGAATATTTGTTTCTTTCTCCAGGAATCCCTGACCCCAGCAGCTGGACCCTGAACCCCTCGGCCTCCTACGTGTACTACTGCTGCAATGAGACGGTTCATGGTGTTGAATACAACTTCACCCCTGACACAAACGGGGTGGTCCTCGTCAGTGACATGTCCTCAAACTTCCTGTCCCGACCTGTGGATGTGTCAAAGGTGAAAGACTATTTATCTCATTCACTTATGTAGCTCTTAACCTGTATTCAAATGGTCTTTATTTGTAAGACACAACAGTGATAATAAAATAAAGAGGTGTAGGATATTATGAAGAAGAAAAAAAGAAGAAAGAATTACTAATAAAAGATAAGACAAGTGAATTACCTAAGCTCAAGTAGAGATAGTAGGAACAGACAAAGTCTCATTTTCACATGTCCTCTCTCTTTCTGCAGTTCGGTCTCATTTTCGCTGGGGCTCAGAAAAATGTGGGCTGTGCCGGGGTGACCGTGGTCATCGTGAGAGAGGATTTGTTGGGCCAAGCTCTGAAGGAGTGCCCCATCGTCCTGGACTACAAGGTGCAGGCTGATTCGAACTCCCTCTACAACACACCACCATGTTTCAGGTACACACAAACACACAAAGAAAGTGTGACTGCACTGTTCTACCCTAAGGTTAAAAAAATCACCAGGCAAACATATTTAACACTGCAAAAACTGAGGTATGACTGTGCCATGTGCTAAGAGTGTTCCCCCTGATTGTTTATTTGCTCTGTGCAGTATCTACATCATGGGTCTTGTCCTTGAGTGGATAAAGAACAACGGTGGCAGCGCTGCCATGGAGAGGCTCAACAAGCAGAAGTCCTCCATGATTTATGACATTATCAGTGCTTCTAATGGTTTCTATGCGTGAGTACCATTAAATTTAAGCTTCAAACTTTTAAGCTCTCGTAAGGAACCTTTACTTTGTGTCAATTCAGGTGTCCCCTATGGACAAACCAGTCTTTACTTATCTTATCCTCTACATACTTGAGTTGTGTCTTTTGATCTCATCCTGCTGACTCCTGACAGTCAAGTGTATCATTATTGTAAAGATTTTGTTAAAATTGTAAGAACAGGACTGTTTCTGTAGCTGCTCAGCTGACACCTACCCCCATCCATTGGTTTCAGGCGTTGAAGATCAAAATGTAATGAAAATAGTCTTGTCACTGATGGTCATGTTGGCTTTAAGATATCAAAAGAAGACATCAATATGACTCCAAGTGTTTTACATAAATGACAAAAAACTTCTCGCAGAAGCATTAATGTTTTCTTTCATAAAAAAAAATGTAGAGAATTCACCTTTTGTTAAAGCTTCCATGCAAACATAATCAAACTTGGTCAAAATATGAAAAAGAGAGAGATTTTCACCCTGCACTTTTACAATTGCTTGTTACAATATTTATGATAATGTAAGGCATCATTTTAAATCTGTGTAAACATATCTGCATGTACTACAGTAACAATGAACAAAGTGATGTATAAACTTAAGTAAATCACTTTTTTTTTAACTCCACCTGTCTCTCTGTCCAGGTGTCCTGTTGAAGACGCCTGCAGAAGCAGGATGAATGTCCCGTTCCGTATTGGGAAGAAAGAAGGAGACGAGGCTCTGGAGAAGCTGTTTCTGGATGGAGCATTAAAACGTGGAATGATTTCACTGAAAGGACACAGGTTAGAGATGTGTAGCGTTTTTTCTATTCGATAGGTAGTTAAAGGGAAGTGCCGTAACTTTATAATGAGTGAGTATTTGCATTATCATGAGTAGTGATTTGCATTTGTTGATATGATTCTGCTCTGAAAGACTTGTTCACATTTTTCCTCTTCAAACCTGATGCCTTTGTCTCCCTCTGCAGGTCAGTCGGAGGAATACGCGCATCTCTGTACAATGCTGTGACAGTGGAGGACACTGAAGCTCTGGCAGCTTACATGAGAGAGTTCCTCAAAGAGCACCAATAAAACAAACTGCCAGTTTACACATAAGCAGGTCATCACTGCAGAACGGTTTTAAGAAGTGTGTTTTTTTCAGTCCTAGTGTCAGTAACAAAAGGTGCGTCTAAACCACCACTGTTGACATTATAACCTTCATTCAGTCTGTTTCATAGAGCTAATGTTTTAATGTATATGTCCACTAACAGGGCTTTGTTGTACATAATGTAGTTGATTGTTGATATTTGTTCTAAATATATTTGCATTCCAGTAAATCTAACTTCACACTCCTTACACTGTGCGGTGTTATTTCTTTTATTTTGATTATTTTTCACCAACCACATTTCGCAATTTAATAATATCAACCAATGATTTTTTCTCTTTTCTGAAAACCCAGAAATTGCAGCCAAATTTACTTTCATCCCTTTACAAACAAACATTAGCCTACATGTGAGCTCTACCACCGCCACAGTATGCTGCCACCACTGCTGAGCTTCAAACTTGGTTTTGTTTGATGTTTTAATGGTGTAAAAACCTGCAAGGGTTCAACCAATATGTGGGCTTTTTTCTGCACAAGTGCAGTCCAGTACTTGGTTCCTTACAAAATAATAATAATAAATTTTATTTATAGCACGCTTTTACAAGTGCTCAAAGAAGCTTTACAAAAAAACACAATTAAAATGCAGAACAATGTGGAATAATACACCAACAGGTGCAGTCAGTGTGTAGTATTTAGTGGCATTCAGCAGAACAGACTCAGTAGAAATGCAAAATTAACATTCATAACTACATATTTCTCTGAAGGATACCATCCCTTGTGAAGCTTCACTGGCAGGGCTGAGCAAGGGAAATTCGAATCAAGAATCTAGAGATACCTGAATCTCTGCACACTGTACCTTCAGTGGATTCCTGCAGCACATTATGGTAAATAATGGTAATGATAACAACAAAGCAATTCTATTTCCTGAGGAAACCATTTGTTTTATGATCATTACTTTATCAATTCCTTGAAGTAATAATCATAATAATCATTTTGCACTGCAGACTCGGTAGTTCTTCTGCCTTAGCGTCTCAGTCTGATTGCATTTCCATGATGTTATGATCATAAATGTTCTTCCTTGAGCTGTGTTACCCTGCCTCAGTCAATGATGGACTAGTCCGAGCTTACCCTACAAACAAGCGGCTGCTGGAGGAGAGTGGGTGAGTTGTGTTTAGTCTCTTTGCTAAAGAAATTAGGCAAAGTTAAAAAGATGTTTGGTGACTAGTGCTATGGCTGGGACCCTATATGTACTGTTGATGGGGTTAGGTGCTGCTCTGGGCATTATTTGTGGCTACAGAGTAGCTTTTTGGTTAAGGTGTGTATGTGGCCCCGTAGAGTGCTATGTATTGCGATTGTGCAGTCATTACTAAAGTTGGTATAACTAGAGAAGCAAGCGGTCGGCCACTTTCATCTCTCGTGGGGATGTCTACCTCAGTGTTGCGGTGTGTTTGACCCTAACTTAATTTTACAACGGAATATCCCTTTAAGTAGAGTCTTCTGGCAAAAGAAAAACACAGTTTTTACAGTCAAAGGCATCCGTATGTTTTTCAGTCTATTTCATGAATGTTAAAAAACACTTACAGGAGCTTTAATAAGAATCTGAAAGCTAAGTTGGGCAAAGGTGAGATTTGACTTTTTAACAACTACTAATACGAAGATAAAACACTCCCTGCATTTAGAATCAGTGAATTGAAAATATCTCTGCACTTCTCTCTTACTGAATTTAAAAAAAGCTTTCAAGCCCTGAGTTTCTCTTAAATAATTATGCAGATCTACAACTTTACAGACTCAGTTTGTGGCCTGTGAGGTCAAACAGTCCCCTCCTGCCTCTTCAATGACAGCAGGAACAGCTCAGTACGTAGCAGTGAACAGGTCCATGTTAAACCAGAACGACCTCACAGTGAGAGAGACACCGTTGTCCAGCTGGATGTCCAGAAGTCTCTTCCTTGCTGCATTCGCCCCGCTGAGGCAGTTCTCCAGCTCCAGGAGCTCTTAGAGTATCTCACCCTGACCTTTGACATCTCGCTAAGGGAAGCAACAGAGACGGGAGGAGGCAGAGGAGAAATTCAAAACGGGGATCAAGGATGGAAAAGACTTCCAGGATGCTCAAAATACAACACTAAAGAGATTTGGTTCTCAGAGAGATTTCAGGAGGCTGAATTAGACTGTAAAGACTGTCAGAGCTTTGGTGAGTATTTTCTTTACACTTTCAATTCTTACTTTTCCACTGTCAACACCTCAGTTCCTCTCTTTTTGAAAACTACAGATTTTAACCTCAGTGGCTCTGACACCAAAAGAAGCTCAGGGAGGAAAAGGTCAAGATGACAATGATAGAATAAAGAGGCATTCAAATGTAGCAAATAACAGAAAAATGGTTCAGCAGACCGAGTTAAACACAGAAGCATTTGAAAGTCCCGACGGCAGCATGTTTTCCAACTCTTAAACTGCAGTAGTTTTGGAGTTTAATATGTAAAAGCCATGTGGGTCAACCAAATGTAGTTTATTTGGCTTAGTCTCAGTTTCTACCGTTGGACTTTTATACTTTTGCATTAAAGCTGCCTTTACATTTGCTTCAGAAGGTCATATGGGGGGCATGAATGTTAACTCCAGTTTGTTCATAACCAGCCAGAATAACAAGGATTGTTGGTGATTCCATAGTAAATACAACCATATTTTAGAAAAGGAGCTTACTCGCATATTCACCTTGGAGATGCTTCTTGTGTTGCTGAAAAAAAGAAAAAAGAAACCACATAATGCTCTGCTACAAGAGACCTGTAGGTGGAGGTGTTTATCAAAAAACTCAGTTCGCAGAATGTGGAGATGCTCAAATGAGGTCTGACTCCTTTATTAAAGGTTTCTGCTGTTTCTCCACTCAAAAAGGAGTTATCAGCACAATGTTTTGAGTACTATAAATGGATTAAATGATTATTGTTATAACAATAGCTTGACAATAAATTATGTGTAATTATAGGAAGAAATTTTTCATGTACGATGAAATAAAGTAGTATATGGTAATGGATGGGCTAAACAAAAACAGAAGGAGCACGAATGAATGTAAGAAAAATGTAAAATTCATGTTTTTTCTCTCACATTCACGCCTGAACGCTTACAAAAATACCCACAACACACACACACACACACACACACTGATTGCTGTGGTTTTCTCTGATAAGGTCAACTCAAAACCACAGGCAAAAAGTCCTCAACTCTAGAAAAAAATCCATAAACTCTACAAAAACACTCGGCTGCACCATACTGTTTTGACCATAGACATTAACTTCCCATCACAATCTTGTCCATGCATTTATTTCACTAACAATGAATACATTTAGTTTTTTATGGTTACCTCTGGAGAGAAACTTGATACAATCGCTTTTTAGGAGCTGAGGAGTTTGAACATGAAGATGTGAAGGAGGGATAATGTTAACAGATGATGAGGTTTAGCATTTTTGTCGCTGGAATAAGAAAGAATTAAATTATTAATCTTGTTTAGCTGCAGCAGACTTTGATAGAAGAAAAACCTCAAAGCTCTCTTTCTCATTAAGTTACTTTGTCCTCATAGATTCAACAGAGCTCCTAAAACCTAGATGTTGTGTGATCATGAAGTGTGACTCTTTCTATGACCACTATGAAAAAAAGCACCTTGCTATTTTTCTTACTTTCATTTTGAGATGTAATGAAACACAAGGCAAAGTTGATCCAGGAGTTATTATTTTATATAACATCCCAGATGATTCTTTCCAAAAAGTAATTTTGGCTGTTAGCAAATATCAATACCAAGAGCCAGGGAGAGAGCACGAGTGCTGTTGTTGACTGTGGATCCCCCGAGCGGGAGGTGTTGGACCTGCTGCAAAGGTTTGTGTGCTGAAAGGTAAAAATGTTCTGCCAGAGCCAAGTATTACTTCAGGCCAGATGAGTTTTGTGTAAGTAGGATAAGACAATGCTTCATTATTTTCTTTGCATTCCTGTCTGCATCTGTCTGAGGCTGGTGTCTGAGCAGCTGGTCTTAGTTTATGAAAAACTCTAACGGTGTGGCCTTGAAAGCTTTCACACTCGCATCAGCTGCAGGAACTTTGATATTTGGCAATCTTAACTCTATACATCAATGAAACTGTCTTTGTAAGGTCATATTAAAGCCACAAAGCAAAGTATAAGCACACTTCTGATTACCTTTACTTCAGTCTTAATCTACAAGTGTTTTTAAAGTGGAGTCAGTCTCTTAAAAATGAAGTGCCGTAAAACCTACATTCTCTGTAATGACCAGCAGGGGGCGACTGCTCTGGTTGCAAAATACTCTGCAGTCTGATCTGAACTTTGGCAGTGGTGCAGTAATTGGTGAACAGGTGACTCTAAATTGCCTATTGGCATTAGTATTTAAGTTGTCTGTCTATGGCTAGGCATAATGTTGGCCCTGAAATGGACGAGCAACCCTATCCTTCTACTGCAGGCACTTGTGGCAGCTGGATACTGAATTGGATAAGGTCGGTAAAGGATAGATGGATGAATAGTTATTTGTAGTCTCTTTCTATAGACCTCATTCAAAAACACAGTCTGTAGGTAAAGTACCAGATTTCTGTAGTGGGATTCCAGTGTTTGGGTTATAGTGCGAGGTGTAGTCTATCACCTGTTACACAGTACATTTCAATACTTTGTTTTCATTTTTTTAAGCGGTTGATTGGTATTTGTTTCCCTGACATTCTTGCAGTTCTGAAATCTGGAGAAAGTTGTAGTTGTAGCCTGGTGCTGTACAGTAGCTGTCCGTTAAGGGTAGGATTTAACACATAGAGATTTTTGAGGCAATGCCCACCACTTTGTTTAACTTCATCTCCATCTCTTTAGAGACGTATACCCAAACCAGACAGTTACTGCAAGGTGAGGATACTTTTTACTGCTGCTGGGTATAACCCCACACTTTTTCAGGAAGGAGAAAGTACTTGACTTTTGTCAGTAAAAGTGGGTTGACGAAGATTTACGGTTCAGTCAGTGTGGA